CCAACCAGATGGTGTCCCTAATGACAACGAGTGCTAATGCCTAATAATTATTATAATCATCGCAATTACGTCGCAGATTTCTCTTGTATTGCCAGTTCATTTATTTTTTTTGGCTGGCGAGTTTGGAATGCCTTAACGTCGGTCGCGCAATAACGTGTTTGACATCCCTCTCGAACAGAATGCTGGATTTTAAATTATGGCAAGTAAATTGGAGAGAACAGAGATGCATGTGGAGGATGATGCAAATGTCATCGAAGGATAGGGTAACTTGAAAGTTTGGAATGCCTTAACGTCGGTCGTGCAATATCGTGTTTGACATCCCTCTCGAACAGAATGCTGGATTTTAAATTATGGCAAGTAATTGGAGAGAACAGAGATGCATGTAGAGGATGATACAAATGTCATCGAAGGATAGGGTAGGCAACTTGAAAGTTTGGAATAGAACGTGGGGAAAAAGAAATATTGTAAATGTAATCACAAAGAGGAGAACGCTGTGGGTGGAGGACGCATGCATGACTGAGGAGGATAGGGATAAGGCACTTGGAGGATGCGAATAGAACATGGCCATAAAGCGCTGTAGATATGATCAGATAGCAGAGGTGATAATAGGTGGGATATGTGCCCAAGGAGGAGGATAGGGTAAACAACTTAGACGTGTTTGAATGGAAGTCGCTAGCAAGGTGCTGTAGATGTACTCAGAATGAGCAGGTTGTGATGGCTGGGACACCTGTGCAGGCTGGAGGAGGGCCGGTTACCGAGGCGACGCGTTGGAGTGGTTTTGGGGACAGAGGGGGTAAGATGACCCAAAGTCAGATTGTGGTGACGGTCAGAGTGTGAGAGTGGCCCTTGAAGGATTTGTTGACTATATCAAGGGGAAGATCTAAAGCCATATGGTGGTGGCGATGAGACTAAGCCAGATCTTGGAGGTCAGGGGTTAACTGTGTAAGGGGGGGGGGGGGGGGCTAGCAGAAAGAAGCCATGGTGAGGTGTGATGGTACCAACGGCATTTGTCGTGAAGATCTCTTGACCTCGAGCAAAATTTAATCATTTAATATTGAATTCTTGTTTCATTGTAAAACATTAATTGTTTTACAATTTCATTCCAATGTTGCTATCGACGCGGCACATGTGACGGATTTGTTCGGAGCTGTGACAGAATGGCACGTCATCCTGTGTGTCAGAGGAGGACGGCCTGCAGAAAGAGATATCACAGAACTAATTTTGAGATCCCTTTAAGAGACCTATTGTATCCCACAGCCCTGCTTCAGAGAATTGTTTCTCGTGTGGCAGTCAGACCAACGCCTTTTATTCTCCAGGCTTGAGTTTTACCACGATAATCGTATGACCACATTTAATGTTAGGAATATGTTGTGCGGTCATTGTTGACTCGGCTGAGACTATGAAATGCTCTTGAGAACCGAGTTTGAAATCAGATATTCACCTTGATTTTAACCCCAGGAACTCGGCAGTGCCCACTCGGCACTCTCATACCTGTGAGACACGTGGCCACATCCCTGTTCTCAAATAGGATTTTATATATCTTCTTGGTTCTTTCGATAAAGTCACGTAGAAGGGAAATAATAAAATAATAAAAAATAATAAAATAATAATTCTCGCGACGTTTCGGCCACAACGCAAGCAGCCGTCCTCAGGTGAAGAACAGGTCTGTCGGGGAGACAGCGTCACCTGAGGACGGCTGCTTGCGTTGTGGCCGAAACGTCGTGAGAATTATTTAATTATGTTTTATTTTTATTATTTTATTATTTCCATTCTACGTGACTTTACCGAAAGAACCAAGAAGATGAATCCCTGCAGTCACGAAAGCTTTAAATCGTAGGTTTTTATATATTTTTTGTTCTATTTGTGGGAGCAAACCAGAGTAAGTGAAGAAAAATCCTTCCACGCAAGGGGCGCACAATCATAATGTGCGCGTGTGTTCTTTCATTAACGTTTCAAATCCGTCCCCAGGTGTTCCTTCAGAGGGGTTCACATTTTCCAAGCGTCGAGAAGAGCTTCGTGTGGAGCGATAGGCCGGGTAGCTTCCACACAGGTGCTTCTTTCGTGGCGGCAGCAACTCATTCATTATCTTGCAGGTGGCCTTTTTGTATGTATGTACGTCGAACTTTTTTTGCACCGTACATTGCCAACCGTGCTAATCGGAGGTGCTGGGGGGAAGGACAACAAACTAAACGCCCAAAAGCAGTTCCAAAGAAATGAGTTTTAAATCTAGATGATTTAAAAAGTGCATTAGCTCCAGTTCCTTTCTAATTTCAGAAAGGAGAACATTCCAGACGACGCGTATCTGACCACGCGCGCGATGCAGTGACCGTCTTTGTACGATAGCTCCCATCGCCACATGGGACAACCAAACCCACCTTCGGCATCGCTGAATCGCAGTGTACATCCAGTCCTTTGCTTTGAAAGTTAAAATCCCCAATCATTCTCAACCCTGGCCCCTATATTTATCGAACAAAAATAGACTTCAAGTATATTCAAGTCAAAGTGTCTGCCCTGCTCAAGCGACTGTGAGTCAGGCCTCGTATGTTTGCTTTGGAAATACAGAGCTATTGGTGGAGATTCCACATTTCTATCGTGGGGAGCGGTGATGCAGTGGGTTAGTGCCCTGTGCTACAAACCTGGCGACCTGAGTTCGATTTGTGCTAATGGCCAATATCAGTAGTGAATGTTTGAACTGGTTCTAGGCCTCCCCTAGGTTGACTCAGCCTCCAATGAGTACCTAGTGCAGTGTGTAAAAATTTCCACTAGGGAGATGAACGTGGCCAGATGTGGTGCTGGCCACCCACCCCCTCGTGTGCCTTTCCGGCCTTCGTAGGTGCACTTGCCCCATCAGTCTATTAAGGCTATATGGGGGAACTTTGTTTGTCTTTGTATACTTTGTGAGTACTAAGCCACTGGTGAAAATTCCACATTCCTATTGCGGCAGCCCATATATACATACGGCAGCTGATGTTGATGTCCCCCAAAGTGGTATCTGGTTTATCGACCCTTGAGAGATGATGGTGCCGAGTCAACCCCTTGGCCGAGATGTGAACTCGCAAACTTTATGACTGCGAGTAGAGTTATCTGACCGCAGCGCCGCCCGGTCAAATCATCCGTTAAGCGAATGACACTAGCAGCAGCAACAATTGAAAAGAACACATTAAACAGATTTGCTTTTGACCAAATCACCCGTGTAGTCAGATCTCAGAAGCTCAGCAGGGTGAAACATGGATAGTGCTTTGATGGTTGACCGCCATGTATGACAGGAGTTATAGGCTGTGTAGCCTGCATGGTTATTGTAACTACCAGCAAAACGTTGTACTCGAATTGTAAATGTTGTGGGTTGACTCTCCAACACACAAGCGGTGTGCTGAGCTCGTAACTTATTGGCACAATTTTGTTCACGTGACAAACCTTACTAATTGGCTGTGTCGGGTGATGGCGGGCTTAACGACACATTCATATTTACGCGATCTAACCCCAAAAAGAAGAATCTCGAGTATGAACCATTGTTGTAATGTGCTTCTATGCTCCCCATCTTTACCAACGCATCGCGGTGAAGTTCAAATAAACCCCCATGACCTGGATGTCATGGGGAGGTGCCAACAAGCAGTGGAATGAGAGAGGACTGTAGCTGTGCATTCAGTAGATGTCCCTGGCAGGACGTACGGAGCTTAACACATTGTCTTAGCCCATTAGCTGCTCATGCTCGTGTGACATTTAGACAGGCGGTTGATGAGAAATGAGCATTGAACAGTTTATATCATCCGAAAAAAGCAGAGATCATGACATCTGCCTCCAGGGGTGAACATAACAGACCCTGAAGGGTACAACAAGCTTTTGTAAATGTCGGTGTGTGTGTGTACACATCTCCTCGTGTGCCTTTCCGGCCTTCATATGTGCTCGCGAACAGCACTTGCCCCAAAAGTATGTTAAGGCTATATTGGAGATTTTTGTCTTTGTATGTGTGTACTTTTATGTACGTGTGGGAGATGTAGTGTAATGATTTTCGCACTGCACAATGAACCCAAAAACCCGAGTTCGATTGCCGCTCACAGCCAACGTCGGTGACGATTATCTGAACCGGTCCTGGGCCTCCACTAGGTCGACTCAGCCTTAGGGGCCATCCATTTAGTACGTACGCAAAAATCGCAAAAATCGGTCAAAACCTAACCCCCCCCCCCCCCCCCCCATGCATACGTATATTGTCAGTGGACCCCCCCATACGCAAATGTACGCATTTGGGTTAACCCCCCCTCCATGCGTACGTACTAAATGGATGGCCCCTTAAATGGGTACCTGGTGCGGTGTGTAAGCATCGCTACTGGGGAGACAAAGGCGGCCGTTCGTGGTGCCAGCCAACGGCCCCCCGTCATGTGTCGTGTCGGCCTTCATAAAGGTGCTCGCCAACAGTATTTCCACCAACAGTCTTTTGAAGGCTATATGGCAGGGGATCTTTATCATTGTGTGTGCGTTGGACCGAGGCAGCTACACGGAAAGCCACCAAGCACGGAGAGCGAGAGACTCCCGCTTTCGGAATAGCTCGTGCCCTGCTACTGCCGTAGCACGTGCACGCGGCTCCTACGCACGCACACAGCAGTCACCGCGCACCGTTGTACTCTTAATCTGCTGCTACTGTGGCAGGCGCACGCGCTACCCGGGCGGCTTGACTCACAAATCCGTATTTATACCCCGCGTTCGTATTTTCTTCCCATCGGCCGTTAACGATTGGCGTCGCTGCCGCCGCGATCTGTGATGCGACGAATACTGTCGCCCGGGCGTCCCTAGAGGTTGCGTGAGCAAGAAGGGGTTGGGGGAGAGAGAGGGAGGGAGGGTGGTGGGTAGGGGGGTGGAGCAGTGGGGAGCGGCTGGTGCTGATTTCTCTTCCGTTGCTGCCTCTGCCTCCGCTGCTAACTGCCGCTGCCGTCTGGCACGGGGCTTGTCGCGTCTTACGTTGCAATGCTCAACATCATCGGCAGCGTTTTCTGCTGGAATTTCAGGGAGAAAAGCGCGGCAGAGGCTGAGATCAAGGACCTCGAGGATGCCAACAAGCATCATGCGGCAGAGGTGCAGGTACGACGCACACGCTGGCTCGCACCGTGTGCAGTTGGATAGCTCTGACAACGCGTACACATACACACACCGCTCACACCACTGGCTCGCACGCTTGGCGTAATGATGGCGCTCGCATGCACATGCCCTGATTGCGCACGCGTCTATGACAATTACGCTGATGGGCACACGCGCGCAGACACCGAACGCGCACGCCGCTCACGCACACGCACGCGTGCATAATATGATTGTGAGCATATGTACATGCACACACTGACAAGCAGACGGTTCGCTGGTACATGCGCATTGTTTTCCGTGGTCGCAAGTGTATGCGTACGCACTCAGGCTGCTTGCTCGCATATGTATACACACCATTATGTACACGTACACGATTATACACATACACGATTGTGCACACATACATGCACACCAAAGACAAAGACCCCCCCCCCGCCCCCGTATCGCCTTTAACATACAATTGGGTCAAGTGCTTCTTAGTGAGTACATACAAAGGCTGGCACAGCACTAAGGAGTTGGTGGCCAACAACAACACCTATGTCGCCCCAGTGCTGATGTATTAACACCGCACCAGGTATTAAGTTAAGGCTGAGCCAACCCAGGGGAGGCCCACACATGAACCACTCTTGCACTGCTGTTCACTAGCTTTTGCACACACACATGCACCGTACACACATTGCATGCGTAATGTGTGTGCGGTACATGCATTGGGTTTGGTGCATAATACTGTCCCTCACTCCTGCCCTTGGGCTAAAGAAGATAAGTGAAACGTGCGGAGGTGATAATTGTGTTTTTATTATTGTTGTTGTGATCATCGAGTTTGCATTGTGACAGATTCACTTATTCACCTGAAGTGGGCCAAAGAGACCATGAATGACATGAATGAAATGAAAATGACACGCACGTACACATTATCCACATACGTACAGTGCTTGCAATGTCATTTTAATGTTTTGTGGCATCTGCAGGAGCGTACTCGCACTATGCATGGGACAAAAGACATTCGCAGTATAATACAGACACGTAGCTTAAACATTGCCAATTTTGTTCCCATCCAGAAAAAATTGCTTTCTTTCATAATGTAATTGTTCATCATGACCCATCATCATTGTCATCGTTGTCATTCTTATCTTCATGATGCAATATTCGCAAAACATATCTTAATTTACAGCCTTCTAAATGCATTTTGCAAATGTATATTTGCCTTGACCAGATCTACTATAATCTATGATGGATTTAAAATAAAAATGTATTGCATTTTAAAACGCCGGGATTCATGTACACATTTCTCTGTACGTATACATATGTACATACATACAAAAAGACAGAGATCCCCCATATAGCTTGAACAGACTGTTGGGGCAAGTGCTGTTAGCGAGCACCTATGAGGGCCAGCACGGCACACGAGGGGGTGGGTGGCCAGCACCACACCTTTGTCCCCCCAGTGGCGATGTTTTACACACCGCACCAGGTCTTCATTTGAGGCTGAGTCTTCCTAGGGGAGGCCCAGGACCGGTTCAAATAATCGTTACTGGTATTGGCTGTGAGCGGGAATTGAACTCGGGTTGACGGGTTCATAGTGCAGCTCACTAACTGCTACACTACTGTTCCCATTGTACACATGCATACATACACACGTACACGTGTATATTACATTTCATGAATACACAGACACATACCTATATTTCTCACGTACATTGCTTTGTGATATTTCAATGAAAGACGCTCTTAAAAAAGTATGGAGTGAGAGAGAGAGAACAAACTGTTATATTGCCTTCTATGCCATTCATCTCGTTGAGGGCTACCAAAATATTTACATTTTAATGCTGAACAAGTATAATCGATGTGAATAATCCATTCCAAACAACTTAACTGTGAAGGGTGTGCTCTGCCTACTGTCGGCGTGCGAGCGCTGACCCTGGCCGGCTAAGCTTAAATCATTGACACAGCCAACTCGGTGTCTCTACCTCTCTATCCACACCAGAGATACCCCTTCATTCTCAATCAATCCACCCGTGCCTCACTGCTACTCTACACTAGCCCTAGTTAGTGGCATCTTCATTTCAAGTGTCAGCCGCCTTAAAGACCACACGTTAATTTTCCTACGCACGTTCAAGCAGGCTGTGGGTTCCACCCACCCCACCCTCCACTCTCCCCCACCCTGTCCTTCACCTCCAAAGTGCTGGATTACAGGCACGCATAGCCACCACGTCCACCACCACCCGACTAAATCATGAACTGTTGTTTTGCAGGGCTATTCCCCCAATATATTGTGCGTGCATTGTCTTATTCTCCCGGCTCTGAATTCTGGAAGAACATTTCTCCGTCTCGTGATCCTGATTCCAACAGCACGGTTGTGATGTAATTATAATAAGGAAACGAATAATGTGCAGACCTTTTGTCAATTCACAGCTGGATGAAGGTCTCTCCATGCCGTGTCAGTCACGGGGGGTGGGGGTGGGAGTTCTTTGATCATTCTGTTTTTTGCGGGATGATGATAAGTTCAGGGATTGGGCAGCATGGAGTGAGGGTGGGAGGCGATGCAGAATCAGTTCAGATAACATTCACCATTGATGTTCGCCCTTGTTGGGAATTTAATTTTATGTCGCTGCATTCATGGCGCAGTGCGCTAACCACTGTGTTTCTGCTCCATCCCAGATACACTATATTCTCATGAAAAAAGATTGTACTTAAATTCAGGGCTCAGAGATTTGTCGTCCAGGGATATCACAACTCGGCGGGTTTTATTTTATATTTCAAAATATGTGGGGCATTCAATGCCGTACACTATATATCTGGAGTCTGGATGTGCATTTTCATTACCGCGGGAATGGTAATGTTCCCCTGAAATATTACATAGAGCAATGTAGCCGATCATGAAAAATATTCGGCTCTTCGACTGATGAACGACAGTGGCATACTGATTATCAGACTGGGGAGGCTGGAGCATGCTTATGTACAGACGTCACCCAACGCTGAATGCGGTTACATTAATAAATCATATGGCCCATTTAAATTTGCATTTGACCCCAGGGCTGACAGAAAGAGGTAAAAAATTTACCGTGATTTGTTTTCAGCCCCTCAGTCAATTCCCTGGTGAACGAAGGCCTCGCCATGCCGTGGAGCTTGTGGGGAATGTTTTGCCATATTTCACGAAGGTCAGCAACGGGGTTGGTCAAAGGGGATAACCATTTCGTCAGTGACTTTATCCACAGCCGGGTATCGAACTCACGTGGTCGGGTTAAGAGCAGAGTGCTCCAGGGCTCCTTCCATCGCTGATATTTCCGTCGCTTTATGTGGTGTGGTGGCTGTTATTGAGCTGTGCCTGTCAAATCTGACAAATGACCAATGCAGTGAGACCCTTCCTCTTCGCACATCGCCGACTCGTAAATCTAAATATCGATATTTCTCATGCGGCACAGGCATATTTGTAGAAATGTAAGAAATATATATAAAACCGTGGAGATGTAATATCAGTGAACTGCAAATCTATTTTCAGTCTGAAATGTATACGGGGCTGTTAAGGTTATTTTATTACAAGGTTATCAGTTCTCATCCCAGCCGGTAGTCCATTCAGCCCATCATCCCTTTGCAATTGATCAAATAAGTACCACTTTTTTGGAATCGTTTAGTGGTTTCTCCGATCGGAGAGCTAAAAACCCATCGGGGAGATCCGTTGCAGCTCAACTGTCTCATCTGGGTTTACCGATTGCTGCCATGTGAACGTGGAATATCCACCATGGGCGAAGGACTGCAATCAGAGATTGCCATCTCCAAATTCTCATTTCAGCAGGAAAATAATGAACCCTGTCATTCATCGTATCCACTGCCAATGATTTATTTTGACAACGAAATGTTTTGGCAACATATTCTAGATATTAAGGAGGTTTCCTCTGCTCCTGGAAATCAGCAAGAAAATGTTTTGCTGTGGTTTTCCCACCTGATGATGATTGCTTGTGTTGCAATCTAAACGTCGTGATTTTATTTATTTTATTTTATACCTACGTGACTTTACCGAAAGAACCAAAGAGTATGGATCCCTGCAGTCACGAAAACTTCAAATCTAGATTATATATAGGGTTTTGCTTTTAATAATTTCACACATTAGAGGGTTAAACACTTTGACTTTTGAAACAACCTTGCTCACAAGCACAGAACAAAGAGTGAATAACAAAATTGATGCCATTGGCCTGACTTTGCTGATGAGACGTAGAAGGTCAAAACCAGTCCAGAGTTGGCCCGCTAAAACGAATGTCGTTTCAAAATGTTCGACTACAATGGCAGTTTGCCGATAGCCTATACATTTTTGTATATTTTTTAACGTGGGGACATTTGTAGAATTCATTTGAAACCAAGTCGAATCCCCCGGAGATTAGTGTGGTTTGTCACAGTGCTCAAGGTCTTCATCAGTGCCAATTTGTAATTGTCGAGTATTTCAAGCTACCAGTCTGTTCTCCAGTTGTCGACGAGGAGTCGAACTCAGGAATTCATAAAATGCCAGCTCAAGTGCCTACCATGGGTGTTATTGTAGCATCATCGTCCCCCCCCCCCCCCCCCCGAGCCAGCATGGCAGATCTTGTGGACTGTGTCCAAGTTGTTGTGTCAGTGCAAGGCTTGGTATATTTTTTTGTAATGTTTTGGTTTCATATTTTTCTCAATTTTATTCCAATTGTACTATTGGCATCTTTCCAGGCCATGAGACGAAGCAATTTCCTTTCGGAGCTCTTGCAGGGCGGGGGGCCATCAACGCCACCGTGCCTGTGGATGGTGACGTCATAGAACTATTTCTGAGGTCACTCCAAGTGACCTCTCATCGAAACACTAGGTGGGGGTGCTGCTGCACTTTCCCCGCTATAAATCATGGAAAAAACTAAATTCGACCTGATGTTTTTCTTTCCTGCGATGATCGGTGACCAGACTAAGACTATTAACTCCATACACTTGAGAACCCAGTTTAATCACCGGTAGTTGAAATGCGGCTTTCAAACCGAGGATACCCGAATAGTTGGTCGTATTCCACGCCATCTGCTCGATTCTCTCGCTGAAAATGCATAAGTCTCCTGCACAACCCAGCTGTTTTGCTCATTTTAAAGGGAAAAATAAATCTGAAGTCTAAACTCTGGAAAACAACGGAAATCCTCTTTCCGACATGCCCCCGCGTGCCTAAATGTGAAGCACAGCTGGTCAGATCGTAAGACAGCTGTTCAGATCCCAGTGAAATGGCAAACTTTAGCGTGCCACTAATCTTATCAGTTCTCACCGTGGGAAGCCTCTTACGGCTGGACTTTCCAAACTCTATAATCCGTGCGAGGTAATGAAATCTGGCTCCTCGGCTGTCGAGTTTGGGTTACAAACGAAAGGGCTGCAGGGAATGGTGCAGCACAGCGGTTGAACCCGTTTTATTTATGTCACAACTGTGCGAGTATAATGCCACATTATTTGATAGCTACTGCGGATAGAGCAGTGGGGTAGCGGTTCGTGCGCTGCGCTGTGAACCCGGCCATCACCTGAGTTGCATTCTCGGTCACGGCTAACATCAGTGGCAAGTGACATATATATATAAATACACACACGCACTGCTCCTGGGTTCTTCTTCGCCCCTTCACCAGAAGCCACTGACTAACCAGTGTGATGAAGTATGATTAAATAATCTCCACGATCAACGTGATATGGGGGGGGGGAGACACCTTCATCCAGCGGTGGATTGCCAAAAGGACTGTACATGTACTCATGTGCGACTCGGATGAATTTGAAATGTTGACTTTTGAGGGTGACTTATGTGCAGAACTATCCTGAGGTTGCTGCTAGCGCCAGCCTTGATTGTATGACACTCATGCCGGTGCTGATGATGATGATGATGAGGCTGGTTACAGTGAGTCTAGTGACAGTGGTGAGGCTTTCGGTGATTTTGTCGGCGATGATGCTGCGTTTACCGATAGTGCTGTTTTGTACTTCTACTGCAAGTGCCAATGCTGATGGTGCACACACTCATGCGGGTGCTAGTGATGATAATGAGGCTGGTTACAGTAAGTCCAGTAACAGTGGTGAAGCTTGCTGTGATTCTGTTCTACGATGATGCTGCGTTTACCGATGGTGCTGTTTGGTACTACTGTTGCAAGTGTCAATGCTGATGCTCATGCCCGTGCTGCTGTTGCTGCTGCTGGTGCCAATGGTGGCAACGTCGCTCTGCCCAGGAGCTGCAGAGCGAGTTGGAGAGAGAGAGCAGTCGACTCCGAGCGCTGGCGGCCACGCGGGAAGAGACGGAGCGGCGGGCGTCCGAGCTCGAGACGGAACGAGCAGAGTTGGCCGAGAGGCTGGCCGACACGCGGCGGCAGTGCCAGAATGAGGCCAACCTGGTAACGTACGCACGAGCGCACGCACACACGCACGAGCGCACGCACAATCACACAGATTTTCCCCCGCTGTGGCCTTTCAGAGACTGTTGAGGCAAGTGCTGTTTGTGAGCTCCTTTTTAGATGCCACGGTGCCGAGATGTTAACTACTTCACCTGGAATATAGGAGGTCATGGGTTCCATCTCAGCCCTGATGCCTCTATGTTTGTAGTGTGCGTGTCTCTCTCCTCGTGGTCGCGTGGATTTCTCTCCGAGTCCTCCGGTTTGTCTCTCCACATTTAGAATCAACGTGCGTTTAGAGTATTTGGGTGGTGTACATTTCCACATGATAAGCCATTTCGTTGAGCTATCATTTGTGGCCAGGTCACTTCTGAAAATGAGCTATATAGCTCAGTGAGCCTTACCTGGTAAAATAAAAAATAGTTTAATCGATAGTGACACTAGATGATCGCTGGGCGGATTATCCAACTTGTGGATTAACTAGTTTGTAGTTTCGGTTTTTAAAGCCGGCACGGCGCACGAGAGGATGGTGTTGGCCAATCCCACCATGCACAACCAACTTTTCCATCCCAGTGCCGATGTTGACACACCGCAACAGGTACTCAGTTGAGGCCGAGTTGACCGAAGAGATGTCCAGATCAGTTAATTGTCACTTAATATTGGCCGGGAATCGTGCTCTGGTCGTCAGGTTCGTAGTGCAGTGTGATTCTGGTTAATCTACAATTCCACTCATCCTATTGCACACACGTACACATACAAACACATGCGCATGCACACATCCATATACTCCCACCCGCATGTAATCGCACATGCAAAGACAAATATCCCCTGTATAGCCTACACAGGCTGTTTGTGCAAGTGCTGTTAGCGAGCACCTATGAAGACCGGCACGGCACATGAGGGGGTGGGAGGCCAACACCATGCCTGGCCGCCTTTGTCTCCGGAGTGGCGATGTTTACACGTCACACCAGGTACTCATTTGAGGCTGAGTCGACCTAAGGGAGACCCATGACCAGTTCAGATAATCATCACGTGCTTACCGCTACACTATCACTCCCCACACACCACCCCTACACACACTTGGACACGTGCACTATGCAAAGCCTAGAACATTACTCACACACATGTGCGGGCACCGCTTATGAGATGGTGGTCTAAATCTTTACAATGTCTCTCAGGGTATTACCGGAGCGTATAATTGCACAGAACTTAGTCGTGGTGTGGTTAGCGCACCACACCATGAACCGGATAATCTTGAGTCCCAGTCACTGCTAACATTAGTGGTTGAGTAAAATCTTCACCGGTCTTAGCCACCAACCCTCCCCTCCCCTTCACCGACCACCACAAACCAGCATGGCAAAGTCTGGTCCAACAGCCCCCATGACCAAACACGGCACGGGGAGGCTTTCTTCCAAGCATTGGATTGACAAAGAGTGGAGCTATAAATGACTGTTAATATAATTACACACTCGATGGTCTCGCTGCCTTCCCGGAAGGTGTAATCACGGAAGAAGGGTTTGGCGAGTCCCGAGCCAGATTACAGCTCGCGCCTGCAAAGAAATATCGTTGCTCGCTTCGGCATGCAACGGGAGATGGCGGCGGTCAGCTGTTAGCAGCAAAGTGGTGCAGTGCGGCTTGCTTTCTGGCACTAAATATACAAAAAATTGATGAATAGCGACCTACCGCAGACGCTGCTTACACTTTGCCTCCTCTCCTCTATTTATATTTTATTGCCCTTCATTTTTGTCCTGTGTTCTGCCGCAGGCTTTAAATTTAAATTTGAGAGCTTGCACGCCGTGTGATTATTTTATTTTTGGGTTCTGTATTTTATTTTTAAAATCTTGACATCCGCATGTCAAACCCCCTCAACTCAATTACCACTGGGACATGTCGCATTTTATAAATGTATTTACATTATCTAAATACTTTTTAATGTTCTATTTTTGGAAATAAATGTTTCATTGAGCTGCAATTACAGCGTGTCAGCTTTCAGCCTCCAAATCAATGTGAAGTACGATACTCTGCAGGCTTACAGGGCTGTGATGGTCAATCCATTTATGAGATCAAAGCCATTTACACTCAACTCAGACTTCAAAGGTCACAAGTTCAAATGTCTGTCGGAGTTCAACTCTCGGCCCATCATCTAAGCGGGATTGCTAAAATAGTCTGCTAATTTTTTTATGAAGTCATTCGTGATGCATGACCAGTGTTGAAGAGCAACTACAGTGAATTTGTATTTGCACATAATTTACGATTGCGTATATATTCCAGAGCCGTAGATGAGAGTTACAGATCATTTGGGCGACTGATAGATAGGCCAGACGCAAAGAGAGAGCTGATGACAAGAGGCAAGGTTCGGTTTATTTCACGAGGCAACGTGATGTTACCGTTTGTATGTATTTTGAACTTCTTTCGCATCGTACGTAGCCAGACGTGCTAATCGTGTCGTATAACATCCTCTGGGCCTGCCAGCACATGCTAATTTTATATATATATGTGGCCCAACTGGAATGATTGTTGGAAGAACTATGCTGGGACATGGATTATAAATGAAAAACATGAACGAAGAACATAAAACAAAAACGGAACATTTCACAAAGAAGCTTGGAGGGACTACATGCTTGAACTTCCAGTGAGAGACAGACAATGGAACACGTGAATAAGACAATATGAACTAAAAATTTAAGTAAAAAATATTTTTTATTTTACCGAATAATGCCCATTGAGCTATATGGCCCTTTTTCCGAAGTTACCTGGCCACATGATAGCTCAACGAAGTCGCCTATCACGTGGAAATGTTTAGCAGCCAATTACTCTAAAACACATGTTCATTCTAAATGTGGAGGGAAAAACCAGAGAACCCGGAAAAAAATCCACGCGACCACAGGGAGAGAGACATACAAACTCCAGATTTACAGGCATCAGGGTCGGGATCGAACCCACATCCTCCTGCATACCAGGCTAGGTAGTTAACATCCTGCCACTGCGGCGCCCCAAACATACACAGGTAAAAGACATCCCTGGAAGGGATGATTGCCGATGTTCGTGAATGATAACAGCTTGGCAGCCAAGGATGGGACGTGTCCAATGGGCCGTACACCAAGGAGTTGGATCCATACAGTTGTCTCATGCGCCAGTGCAAGGTGGCCGACCGATGTGTTTTTGGGTCGTGCCGCACGCTAACCTACTCAAACCCGCCCGCCCGCAGATCTCGTCGCTGCAGACGCAGATGGCGCAGCACGAGGAGGGCGTGCGCACCGGCCGCCACGAGATGGCCGAGGCTCAGGCGCTGCTTGCGAGCCTGCGGCAGCAGCGCTCGCGGCTTGAGCAGGAGGTGCAGGCGAGCGGCGCGCGCCTCGACGCCATCACTGCCTCCGTGGCGGAGGCGCAGAGCGAGGTGGGGCAGGTGAGTGGCCGGGGTCCGATTCGGACAACTTGATGGTTTGCCGCAATTCTGGCGACGGCGATTGGCGTCCAGCATCGATTGTTTTGTGGGTTTTTTTCTCCCCCGCTGTTGATGGGTTTGGCGGAGGCGGTGAACCCGTAATGATTGACCACCTTCCCCCCCCACTGCCCTTTCCAGAGGTTCTATAAATTGCCACAATAGCAGGATTGTGATATGATTCGAGAATCAATTACGTTTTGTCTCGGTGATGATGGGCCTGGTGGGGGCAATGAACGTGTAAGATCCACTCGCCTTAACTCCCACGTTCCGGCTCAGTGAATTGCCATGATTAGGTGTCCTCAGTTGATTCAAGATGAGATATTTATTTCATGTCTTTTGTTTTGCCAAATCACGTTCATTTTGTTGTGTTTTTGTCTCTTTTGGTCCGAGACTCTATAATAGCTTTGGGTCCCTTAGCCCAAATGCAATAACAAAGTATAGGTTGCATAAATCATCCTCAATAGATTCCCACATACACAATTTCATTCACATGACGATTTTAGTGAAATTAAATATAACTGATGATTTGTCATATGCCGAGTGGGTGATATCTTGGATTCTCACTCTCGTGTGTATCACTGTGCGAGTGTGAATGTGTGTGATTACTGTGTGTGGGTAGCGGTAGTACAGCAGTTAGCACGCCATGCACCCAGCAACCCGAATTCGCCAACAATAGTGACGATTATCTCAACTGGTCATGGGCCTCAGCCTCAAATGAGGACCTGGGGCGAGGCGGCCGAGCGTGCTGCTGGCCACACTACCCCATCGCATGCCGTGCTGGCCTTAATAGGTGCTCACTGACAGTACTTAGCCCAACAGTCCGTTAAGGCAATATTGGGGAGCTTTGTCTTACTGTTTTTGTGTACGGCCTTATTTGATGCTTGCTATAACAGCACTTGGCGAAACGATCTGTTAAAGGCTGAATGGGGATGTTTGTCTTTGTATGCGAGAGTGGTGTGGTAGTTTGTGTGTATCTAAAGCCTCATACTTTCCCGTAACCTCTAGTGGACTTATGTATGTGTTCTCGGGATATGTTTCAGATATTAGATATTTGGATCTTAGGGGAAATTTCATATATTTTTCGGATATTCGGTTATAATTTTACTTGTCTTCTTCGTGCTGATGAAGGGGACCTCACCCAATGGCACGTGACACCACTTTTGTCAGGAAAAGTGAGGAATTGGTCTAATATTAATGATATTACTTCCAATGTTTTCAGATTAAACTGAAACAAGCTACTCTTCAGATAATCCGAATCTTCACATCTAGGCCACATTTTCTGATTTTTCGGATTACCCTGATCATCAGCAACATGGCCAAAATACAGGTGGTCTTTGGTTTACATCGGTCTGAATTACAATTCTAGATTTGAAGTTTTCGTGACTGCAAGGATTCATATTCTTAGGTTTTTTCGGTAAAGTCACGTAGATAATTAATTACAATGTTTAAGTAATGCCACCATGGATCAATTTACGACACAGAAACTTGATTTACGACGCATCTTCCAACATTACTCTGAACACATTTGAATCGAGTCAGTCTCGTTTCTGATGTGACTGGGTGTGGAGCTTTCATTATTTTCAAGTGTTTTTGTGGATGTTTACCGATGAAGCCCTCTTAAATATGGCTGGTAAAAGGAAAAGCACATCCGCAAGTGGCATTTCAACTGTCTGTGGGAAAATAGGGTTTGATTTACGACGGGGTTTCCAGGAACTTATTGTGTCGTAAAAGCTTGGACCGCCTGTATTATATACACTGCACGTAAATATCTCTCCGATTATTGCATCGGCAGACCAAGGTGTGCTTGACGGAGCTCATCCACAAGAGCGAGCGACGCAGCATCCGTCGCAGCGTCAGCCGCCAGAGCAACACGAGCACCAAGTCGTGCTCGCCCGTGTCGCCCGGCCCGCCCGGCACGCCGCCCATGCGGGCCTTCCGCTTGCCGTCCACCACCGCTGCCATCACCGCCAACAACAACAATGCCGTTAACAACAATAACAACGCCGTCGCCACTGCCCCGCGCAACACCACTCCCAGCGGCGCGGAGAACGGTGAACAACCGGATGCGGAGACGAGCAGCCTTGGGGAGGCGGTGGACGGCAGAACGTCGTCCGATCATGACCGCGCGGCCGTCGGCGCCACCGTGAGTCGGCCGGGCCGCGTCGGCCTCTCATTGACGCATTCTGGCCCCGGCATGGCAGCTAGCTACCGTTACCGCCGCATTCATTGGAGTCACTTGTCTCTCAGCACGGTGGCGAGATGTTAACTACTTCGCCTGGTTACAGGAGGTCGTGAGTTCGTTCCCGATCCTGATCCCTGTAGATTTGGAATTTGCATGTTCTCGCCATGGTCGCGAGGTTTTTTTCTCCGGTTCTTCCGGTTTTTTCCTTCACATTTAGAATCAACATGCATTTAGAATATTTGGCTGCTATAAATTTCCACGTAATAAGCAACTTAGTTGAGCTATCATTTATAGCTCAGTGGCCCGTGTCTGGTAAAAAAATATATGTGTTTGTTTCATAAGTTGTTTGGAGTACCTCCGAAAACAAAACTGCACATTGGAAAGCATTGTGTAATTCGTACAAATGCACGCTTGTATTTCCCCCATCTGTTTCTTGTTTTGTTTACCATTGTACCATCTCCCGCAGACCAACAGCAGCCCTGTGAGTTCCATGAGTGGGCTGAGCGTGAGTTCCGGCATCACAGAAACCAAGATGGAGGAGAACAACCCGGATCTGGTAAGCAGGCATGCCAAGATTCTACTTGAGACCAACTCGTGATGTATGAAATACGTCCTTCTTCTATAGACAGCAAAAAGAAAATTAAAAGTGTCTTGTTCCGAAAAATGGCAAGAACCAGAAATAGAGGAAGACCTTAAAGAGAATAGCTTGATGACGACATAAGAGATTGATGCCAGACAGATGTGCACTACTTGAGCATGCTGGCACAAGATAGAGGAAAAGTGGAAAGAAATTACGAAATGTGCAGTGGATACCTACGGGAGATCTGCCTATGGATCATGATGATGATAATGTTTTTGTTTAATGCACTGCTGAACACAGCCAATTAATTAGGCTGTCACGTGGTGAACAAACGTGCATCATGATGCTGGTTGTGACCACCAGTGAAACGTCCAACTACCCAATTGTGAAATGTTGTGCAGATCGCTCTCCAGCAACAACAACACACATATTGCGCTACTGAAGCGGTCATAAATTGGCCACATTTGTTCATCATGCGACAGATTTATTAATTAGGTTGTGTCGGGTGGAGGAACAGGAGGAGTTGGGTGTGCGACACACATTTTAAGTACGCGATCTGACTGGGGAGAACGGCACAAAAACAATGATGAATCGGAGATGTTGTTTTTGTCAAAGGACATGCATCGCACTACCTCTGCCACGAAGGTTTGATCGTATCCCATAGCACTGGGCTTGTTGTTGCTCGCACGCTTATGCGTCCAACGCAGTACCTGGTGTCGTGTGTAAACATCACCTCTGGGGAGACAAAGGCGGACGGGCGTGGTGTTTGCAACCCACCCCCTCGTGTGCCGTGCCGGCTTTCATAGGTGCTCGCTAACAGCACTTGCCCCAACAGTCTGTTCAGGCTATACAGGGGGTCTTTGTCTTTGTCCATCGCAGGATGATCCGTTCCGCAGCGCCCCACCCATATTTGCAGACTCTTCACTCTTCTCCTCCAGCGACCCGTTCAAGGCGGACGAAATATTCAAAGACCCCTTCAAAGGCCGTAAGTCGTTATTTTCTCCACTGGCCCCTCAATACCTACGCTGGAGGCACAGGAGGCTGCACATGTACACACAGACAACAGACAGTTACCTACCAAGTATGTACGAGTGTGTCTAGGTAAAGCCATCCGTGCGTCGATGGATAATTTCCCAGTGCCCCTTGTAAATACGTTTTGATTAACTGCTGTTCTTGCCCTTCAGATGACCCATTTAAGAGTGACCCCTTTGCAACGGACGACACTTCTCCAGGTATTTGTCCAATACCGAGCCAGTTTTGCACTCACCTGCGCCCTCAGCCCTCCGTTATATATTGTGCTATACAAAGCATCGTCGGCTCTGTCATGTTTTTTTTCATTGCCGCCCATTGTAAAAAGCTTTATTTGGCACGAGCCGTTAGAGCGCTCGACTCAGAACCTATTCAGGTGGTTAACTTGGCCCATCATCACACAATTAATACCGGTGTGTTGGATGAAGCCAGCAGTGGTTGTCCTGTGAACAAGACTGCACCCTACCATATGAACTTGGAATTTCCACTAGTGACTAGGGACAACCGGCAAGAGCCAATGTCCCTTGGGCTCCCAGCATATCGAAGCCATCGAAAAACCGACCGAGCAACCAATAAATTTCAACCAATTGGTGTCATTTTCGTGCGATGGAGAGCTCACATCCCGCGTTGCTGTCACACGCAGGCTTCTCGTCGGACCCGTTTGGCGGAGACCCCTTCAAGGACAGCGACCCATTTGCGGCGAGCGAGCCGGAGGAGAAGTTCTTCAACGCGAGCGCCGTTCCTGCCGCGGCGCCAGCTGGGAACAGCAGCAGTGACAATGGCAGCGCTGTCCCTGCCTCCCAGGACGACCCATTCAGCGCCTTGAACTCTGACCCCTTCGTCATGACCGTTGAGACCTCTGCCGCTCCCACCGATTCTGCGGTACGCTCCAACATGGTCCACCCTTTCTATTCTGCGATACGACAAAGTTACATATTTTTTAAATAATATGTTCAAAGAAACCTATCTACGTGACTTTACCGAAAGACCCAAGAATATGAATTCCTGCAGTCACGAAAGCTTTAAGTCACGACAAAGTTACATTTGAAACTAAAAAATGTTTATTCTACCAGGTAAGGCCCACTGAGCTATGTAGCTCTTTTACTGGTAGGAACCTCCTGGTTCCACCAGCCCACAGGGGATTATTGTATCCGTCTGTCGTGCAGGAAGGGGCTGGGTGGGATGGGAGGGGCTGGGTGGGGAGGGGCTGGGTGGGGAGGGTGGGGCTGAGTGGGGAGGGGAGGGTGGGGAGGGGCTGGGTGGGAACGGTGGGGGTGGGAGGGGTGGGGCTGGGTGGGGAGGGGCTGGTCACCCCGTGGTGCCCTTATAAAACTCAACGTTTAATCTACTCACGCCGGCTTGTGCCCGCCCTCACAGTCGGGCATATTTGCGGAATACACCACGCCGCCGTTTACCCTGGCCATTGACCGAGAAACCCAACGTTCCTACCAGCTCCCTCCGCAGGAATGTGTTGTCATAAGCAACCTGGCCACAAATGATAGCTCAACGAAGTGACTTATCATGTGGAAATGTGTAGCAGCCACATACAATACACAGATGTTTCTAAATGTGGAGGAAAAACCCCAGAGGACCCAGAGAAAAATCCACACGATCACGGGGATTACATGTAAACTCCAAATATACAGGCGTTAGTCGGGATCGAACCCACAACCTCCTTCATACCAGGCAAGGCAGTTAACATCTCGCCAATGTGGCGATGTGCTGTCATCTCCAAACTTCCCATGAAATGTCATGCTTTTTTATATAGTGCCCTTGGCTATTCAAGAAAATTCTCAATGTATTTTTAAATTAAAATTTGAATTTTTAAGGCTCATATCTTTTGTGAATCCCAATGCGGTGTGCATGGAAGCAAGAGGTAAATCAGAATCAGGGCCAACGGCCAGAACTAAGGGTTAAAGGCCAATTTAAATATAGATAAAGTACCGATTTGAAGGTCTTAAGTTCCAATTTTAAGGACAATCGCATTAATCGCACCCTGCCCCCCATATCCCTGCCGTGTATCCGCCACTGGCTCCATGTAATATTAATAACAGTTCTAAATATTTAACAAAGACATATTCACTAAGAGCTAAGTAGATTTTAGTTTCTTCAAATCAGGATGAATTTGCTCGTCCATCATAGCAACCTGACGAAGGAGTAAAAATGTAAGATTGTATGAAGTCATTGCTCATATTGTTTATCTCAGATTTCTTCAATGAGTCCAAAAGCTCAGTCAATCCACTGCTGGATGAGGTTCCTCCCCCCGACACCACGCGGGTCATGGTGATCCTTCGGACATACTCGACCACGGCGATTGGTGCGGTTTGGTGAATTTGGGCAGCACAGATTTCGGGAGACAATGACACGGCAGTGGAATGTTTTATCTTCTTGGTTCTTTCAGTAAAGTCACGTAGAAGGGAAATAATAAAAAAATAAAAAGAAAACATAATAAAATAATTCTCACGACGTTTCGGCCACAACGCAAGCAGCCGTCCTCAGGTGAAGAACAGGTCTTAGAGTCGCGGCATCTCTTCAGAAAGGTGAGAGACTCGATTAGCTATTTATATTTTTTTATTATTTTCCTTCTACGTGACTTTACCGAAAGAACCAAGAAGACGAATCCCTGCAGTCACGAAAGCTTTAAATCGAAATTTAACGGCAGTGGAATGTTTTCCTGCTCTACCCTCCGCTGCCCACCGCGTAGTGCTGCAAGCCCGATGACAGCCTCGTTGTTGGGCATGGTGGTCGCCCATCCAAACCCTGCGTGGGCCCAAAGCCTGCTTGGCTTCTGGGATCTGAAGAGATCGGGGCATATCCTGCTTGATTTGCTCATCAAAACTTATTTGATATTTTTGGTACATTTTTCGGTGCAGATTGGTCAAGAATACCACGATGTTTGTCATTTATACGTTTAGTTTTTATACGATTGCTTGTTTTTTTGCATAATATTTATTTTCTGATGTGTTAATTTACATAATAATGGATAGGATTTAGCCCTTAATGTGATTACTCGTATTATTATTGTACAACGTTGTGAGCTGCAATTAGCATGAATTACCCTCTATAAAACTTAAATTATTGTTGTTATACACAAGGCAGAACACTCAAACTTGGTACGCACAGGGTGGTGCAAGTTCCCTCGTGCGTGTGTACGTTTCGAATTTCATGACAAGTGAAAATGCACGAATATTATTTTCGTTATCTGTTGTGGTTATTTTTTTAGGATCCGTTTAAAAGCAACGACCCCTTCAAGCCAGGAGGAGTTATGATTGGCAAGGCCTCTGGTGAGTTTGCCGGCTACGCATTGGGTAGCTCTGCTGAGTTGGGCGGCCAGCCGGCTCGGCAGCAGCAAAGCGAAAACAGCTCGCAGTCGGAAGGTTACGAGTTCAAATCTAGGTTTTTTGGATTGGCTCAGCCCATCATCCGTCCATGTCCCGTAAAATAAGTACAACTTAGTGGAGAAGTCAACAGTGATCTATGGAATAGCTTCACCCGCAGCAAGGGAATGTGGAATTTCCGGCAGTGGCTCAGCACTGTAAACAGGAGATGAGCACCGCCTCAATGCTTATTTGAGCAGCAGCAGGAATTCACTTTGAGTGGTGTCACCATGGAGGGGGAGTCGGGAGACTCTTTGGCCATGATAGGTGGATTTGTCAGCTTAGACCGTTGTTTAGCATCGGGCAGTGACGGCTAAAGGGTTGAGGCTCTGGCCTTACTCTTTGGCCATGTTGGGAGGACCTATTGGCTTGGATCAGGGAGTCAGCAACCAAAATAACAACAAGAGGCATTTTTGTTTGAATTCGGTAAAAACAAAAAACTCTATTTAAAGAGCCGCAATGCACTGCGGTGAATACGAGACGGTGATCCTTGATAAATCACTATCACGAAGCAGTCCTTAAAGAGCCGCAGATTGCCGACCCCTGGTTTAGACCGTTGCTCTGAGGCTCTGGCCCTGTGCTTAACTTCGGTTCATTGCTTCTTATACCCGCAGCCAGTGACCCCTTTGCGACAGTGGATGGGTTTGAAGATGTAGGCTTTGGCGACTCTTTTGCCGACTTCAGCCAGATGTCGGTAAGTGACGCACAGGGCTCAACACTCTAAGGCGCTTGTGTGCATGGACAAAGATCCCCCGTGTAGCCTACGAAGGCCGGCACCGAACATGAGGGGGTCGGTGGCCAGCACCACGCCTTTGTCTCCCCAGTACTACTGCATAAACACCGCACCACGCACTCATTCAGAATCAGAATCTTTATTTAGACTGGAGGAATCCGATGAGCTATGAAGCTCTTTTTCACAATTGTCCAGTATGTCTAGTATGGGTGGGTTGAAGTTTAGTCGACCTAGGGGAGGTCTAGGCCCAATTCAGATAATCGTCACTGATGTTGGCCGTGAGCAAGACTCGAACTCGGGTCGCTGTGTTCGGAGTGCAGTAAGTGATGTTGATGAACAACTGTTACGGCTAATAAGGCACATAGGGTGAGTGGTTTGGTGAGAACGATTCTTGGTCACATTTGTTTCAATGCTGCCGATGTTCATAGAAACACCGCAGTAGGTACTGAATCAGATGATGACACTTTGGACCTCCTGTAGCATGCACTTGAAAGCCTCAACCACCTTTCCTCCCGCTCTGTGGTGCTGACGTTTACACACCGCACCACTTCACCACACAAGCACGTAATGTACGCACAACGTGAACAGCAGCGGCATTTAACAACAACAGTGGCAAGGAAAAACACCAACATTGGTAGGGGTAATACCACGGAGAGAGGTGACTCTTTGGGCAAGGCCGCTCGATCTGCCCGATCAGACCCGTTGCTCCGGTTTCTCCTTTCTGATTTTCCCTTCTTGCCCCCCTACCCGCCCAACCCCCCCCCCCCCCCCCCCCCCCCTGCGGCAGTCGCCAACCGAGAACTTGCCTACTGAGGACGATAACAACGACGGTGCGGGCACGCCGCCGGAGCCTCCGCCGCGAACCGCCGCGGTCTTCGCGGGAGGGCAGCCGCTGGCCTCCTCCTCCATCGCCGTGGAGGAGCGGGCGGCACTGGAGTGGGATGCGAAGGAGCGCGAGTCGCCCGTCGTTCCGCCGCGCAAGAGCAAGACGCCCAGCCCCGTCGCGGTGGCCCCCAAAGGTGCGTTAGTGGCGACAGCAGCAGCAACATTATCAGCATTGTCAACAGCAGCAACAATAGCGGTAGCAGCAGTAGCAGAGATACAACAGCAGTCGGAGCAGCAGAAATTGTAGCAGCAGCAACAATAGCGGTAGCAGCAGTAGCAGAGATACAACAGCAGTCGGAGCAGCAGAAATTGTAGCAGCAGCAACAATAGCGGTAGCAGCAGTAGCAGAGACACAAAAGCAGTCGGAGCAGCAGACGTTGTAGCAGCAGCAACAGTATCACCATTATCAACAGCAGCAACAATAGTGATAGCAGCAGCAGTATCACCATTATCAACAGCAGCAACAATAGCGGTAGCAGCAATAGCAGAGACACAAAAGCAGTTGGCGCAGAAGAAGTTGTTGTAGCAGAAGCAACAACAACTTCCTCTGTGACAAAAACAGCAACACAACTCACAGCGGTAGCAGCAGCCAATAGTAGTAGTCTCTTACAATGGCTCAAATGGCTGCTCCTGGCTAAAGTGCAGTTTTCCAAGGTCTGGTCAGCCCTAAACTCAACCGTATCATTCTAAATCAACCTCTCTTCCTTGCAATTTTGACACCGCCTGCATTTTCCATTTGCCAGTTGCCTACAGGCAGAGCTGTCGTGAACACTGATACAGTAATTCCTCGTTTAACACAGTAGATGCGTTCTTAAAAAGTGTCACGTTAATGCAAATTTAAATCACATTTGCACTTTAAAATCAGCAAGCAATCATCCCATGGCGGGACAAAGAACTGGGATGAGGGTACACCACCACTACGTTACTGTGTCATTCCACATTCTGGATCATACGCAGAATTTCCACACCGCTCAGCCGCGCGGCTCAAGAAAATCGTTTGTCGTCAACTGCTCAGAAACCGCGTTACAACAGTGCACGTTCTGCGTTGTGCAAAAAGCATTCCCAAATTTAAGAACCGCGTTATAGCGAAAAAACGTTGTAGTGTGAGCACCACGCGTTATGCGAGGACTTGCCACACAATTTCGGACAACCAATAGCCACCATTCGCCATGAATTGACGGTGACGTTACCACGACGCCTGCTCCAGGCCAGGTACACTTTGACAACACACAGAGTCGCACAGAGAGACAAAAATACATACAGGGGGAAGGAGTTGGCACTGAAATCCATTTAAATCCGGGCTCATGAATAAACCTGGTTCTCAGGAGCAGGTTCCATATATGGCTCCATTTCTCACCTGGTTTAATATTTGAACTCGTCTTAGCCCGATCATGAATTACTGCATCAAAAATGTAAGATTTTTTTGTTTTTCTGTTAATTTCGCCTGGGCCAACTTCTCACGGTTAACATCGTTTTATTTTTATATATATACACACACACCTTCACACACACACACATATACACACACACACACATTTCCACACAAACACACCTTCACACACACACATATACACACACACACACACCTTCACACACGCACACATATATACACACACACCTTCACACATATATACACACACACATAAGGCGCCTCAGTGGCAAGACATGAACTTCCTCACCTAGTATACAGGAGGTCGTGGGTTCTTTCCCGACCATTACGCCTGCTGTACATCTTGAGTTTGAATTTTCCTCCTGTGGTCACGTGGATTTTTCTCTGGGTCCTCCAGTTTTAGAAACATGCATTTCGATTATTTGGCTGCTGTAAATTTCCACATGATAAGCCACTTTCACTTGTGGCTAGGTCACTTCTGAAAAAGAGCTGTACAGCTCAGTGAGCCTTACCAAGTAAAATAAAAAATAGTTTATAGTTTTTACATGTATAAATACACATTTACAATTGGTTGTGGATAGGGCAGAGTGATGTTATGGTTAGGGTTATAATTATAAGCTTAGGATAGGGTTATGCCCCATTGGGATTATAAAAACTCATAATACGCTTTCGTGGTACATTATGATTCATAAAATAAATAGGCCTCCGTTTGTTTCTGCCTCCACATTAAAAGTAAATATTGTTTTAGTTCATGAGGCGAGGGGCTTTCCTCACGAATATTTTCCATTATTGCAATGTATATGACGTGCTTTAGGCCAATAACATCTGGAAAACCGGCTATATTTGTTTTACAAGTCTGACTCCTGATGAGACCCGGAAGGTCAGCACTGATCCAGAGTTTTTCTTGTTTGAACAAATGCTGTTGGATAACATTACTCTGGAACTGATGGACTAAAAAAAATGTACATTTGTATGTGTAGAGACAAACAGAGATCTAATAAATTTCGATTCAAAGCTTTCATGACTGCAGGGATTCATCTTCTTGGTTCTTTCGGTAAAGTCACGTAGAATGGAAATAATAAAAATAAAACATAATAAAATAATTCTCACGAAGTTTCGGCCACAACGCAAGCAGCTGTCCTCAGGTGAAGAACAGGTCTGTCGAGAAGACAGAGTCTGTTCTTCACCTGAGGACGGCTGCTTGCGTTGTGGCCGAAACGTCGTGAGAATTATTTTATTATGTTTTATTTTTATTATTTCCATTCTACGTGACTTTACCGAAAGAACCAAGAAGGAGAGATCTAATAATTTATTTAACCATAGGGGTGGATCGGTTGCACGGTAGTTAGCGCACCGAGTTATCAATCCCAATGTCATGGCAAGTAATATCTGAACCGGACCTGGGAAACCCCCTTCACCAAGCTGCACTGACGATCATGGTGAAGTGTATGGTCAAATGATCTCCCTTGACCGATACAGCGGGAGGCTTTCATTCAGCATTAGACGGACAAGGGTATTAATATTTACGAGTAATGCTTCACAACATATCTATGCATTATTGCTTGTTCCGCTGGCTGGGTCCCCATCGTTTCGATAAAATGCGCTTGACAATTACAGCTGCCCCCCCCCCCCCAGCAGTCCGTGCGTGTTTAACGAGACTGCCGGATGAGACCCTGAAGAGCGAAAGCCAGTCCTGAGCTTTCTTTGTTTGAACACATTCTGCAAGATAACATTTTACTCTGAAAAGCCCTGTTGTGCTAAAATAGTTTTTTTTTTATGGAGAGATATGAACAGATGTTGATTTTCTTACTTTATTACCCATTACGATATTAGGGTTGGCATAAGTGTTGGGATTATGTCTACGGTTTGGGCTGGACTTATTGATAGAGCTCATGTTGATACTGAGTGTATTATTGCAGCTTGCCATTGTGCGCAGGATATGATTTTTTATTGCTGCTGCCACTGCTGCAGTGCCACCACTTGCCAACCATAACATCTGCCCTTCCCTTGGTAACGTCGTAAGCTTTTTGCAATAATATGGGCAGTGCCACAAATTCGGCAGCTTCACGGTCAAAAGTTCACGATCGTCGTGATAATAAATATCTAGGGGGTATCATTTGGAAGGTGATTAAATAGTTTGTTTTTTTATTTGGAGTATTTATGGAATAGGTTTATGACTTGACTTTGTACTATGAAACTAAAAAACTTTGTATTTTATTTTACTAGATAAGGACGACTGAGCTATGTCGCTCTTTTTCAGAAGTGACCTGGCCACAAATGATAGCTCAAATAAGTGGCTTAACATGTGGAAATGTATAACAGCCAAATACTCTAAATGCATGTTTCTAAATGTGGAGGGAAAATTCGGAGTACCCGGAGAAAAATCCTCGCCACCACGGGAAGAACATACAAACTCCACAGGTCGGAATTGAACCCACGACCTCCTGTATACCATGCGAGGTAGTTAACATCTCGCCACCGAAACTGAATGCACCATCACCCCGCCATGCGTGAAAAAGTCAGTTTGACTGAGTGTACGCCCGACACAACCGTAAATTATTTGCAACAATAACGACAACAGCAGCAGCGTTCGACCACAATGTGTACGTGAAAATCTGTTGCAAATCTATTCGGTGCTATTACTCACAAGCCCACGTTTACAGTTCTAAAAATGTCATCAAAGCACACGTACAGTCCGATTCTCAATCCACTGCTGGATGAGGACCTCCCCACCCGATATTGTTCATGGTCGTTTTTGACCATACTTCACCATGCCGCTTGGTGCAGGTTGGTGAAGGGTGGGGGGGAGCATGGACGTGGGCATGTAATGGAGTACAATAGGCGTTGATGCACTGCCCTCTGCTGTCCACAATATGCAAATCACACCTTGTCACGCATTTTGTGGCAACGGTGGACTGAAAGAATTTACAGTAGGAGCAAGCTTATGTGTCTAGCATTCTTGGTGTGGTACAAAGGAAAGTGATCATGTACTGCGTTGATACATTAACATATGTAAATATACACAGTATTACACAGTGTTTAGCGGGATCTTTGACTTTAAAGTTATTTGGTTCGCTAATTGTGACGTGTTGCGTTTTTAGAGGAAGTTCTGTCGCTCAAACGCAGCGAGTCAAGATCTGACAAGGCCGAGGTTGAACACAAGATCAGCAACACCTCCAGCCCGGATCCATGCACAGGTGGGAAATCTCTTCATTAACCAGCCATGCCCCATGTTTTATAACAACAACAATTATAATCACAACAATATCAACTCGTGATGCTGCGCGGTGTTCGCTCGCTCTCGTAGCGAGAGAGAGAGGACGACCGATGAAGAAAATACGGTTACAGAAACGTGGACGCTTGACGAGGAAAGGGGACCAAAGATGTGAAAGAGTGCTTGCGTAAAGCAGCATGTGGAGGTGGGGGGGGGGGGGGGCATGCTTCGAATTACTGATGGATGATGATGAATGTGTCCGCGTGCGAAGGTGTCTCCGGTGCGGGCAGCGACGCCGTGAAGGCGTTGGGGAAGCCGGGAAGCTTTGACGACCCCTTCGCTGGCTCCGACCCGTTTGCCTCCAACTCGCCCAAGAATCCGGCTGCGAACACAGGCAGCAAGTTCCCAGCGTTCAAAAATGTGAGTTTTGCCACCCGCCTGTGCGGTGTGTCGTCCTCGTCAGAATCGCGAATCGATAGACACCGCTGCATCCAACCGGGCGAGTGTCCTCGGGCGACAAAGGTGGCGCTAGAGGGCCCGTGTTGAATTCCAAGCGGCAAATTAGTGTTGTGTGTCTGTGCGTGTGCCAGTAGTAGCACCATGGAGGTCAGCGCGCACTGTGCCACGAACCCAACGACCTGGGTTCTATTCCTGGCAAGATTGAGGACGGTGTCGAGTGGTATATGAACCGGTCCTCGGTCTCCGCTAGCGTTACTCGATCAGAATGAATTACCTGGTGTAGTGTGTAAGAGATTGGTACTAGGGAGACAAAAGGTGGCCGGGCATGCACGAGTGTAAGTTCTCCGCGAAGATGGAGTGATGTTTTAATCGGCTCGTGTGCTGGAACTTGACGGACTTGTTCCGAGATCTGGGGTCAATTATAAGTGCAATTGCACAACAGTACTTTTAGCTGAAAATGACAATTACATTGTGATTTCAATTCATTAACAACTGTGAAGTGTGCCGGGCGGACTGGTTGTTGTCGCCCTGCACTTGCTGGAGGAGGAGGAGGCTGTCACATGGCTCTGTGGCTACGTGGACTAACGTCTACTCGCTTATAACATTGACATACTACATAAGTATTTAGTTGTATTTAATTAATCATTTAACTTGCAAATCTGATGCTCTCACTCTCCAAGTCACGCGTAAAAGCATTCGCGAAATACATTAACGAAACGCGCCATTGTAATTGACGGCAGGTTTTGTTCGGTGCATCGTGATTCCCGCACCTTCGATTACCACGGTTGGCAACATACGATGCGAAAGAAGTGCAACTTACGTGCATACAGCTGGCGACGGCTTGCGGAAGTCATCGTCCAGCGGTGACGATAGATCACGTCTGGACGACAGTGAGGATGATTCGCCCCTCGGGGTTTATCCTCAGCTGAGCTCGCCCACCACCAAGTGAGGTGCACACCACCAAGTGAGGTGCACACCGCCCCAACTGGATACTGATTTGCCCGTCCGTCTGCGTCCGTGCCGTATGTCCGTTGACGTTGGACAAGCGCAGATCGTGAGCGAGGAGGACCAGCTGGCGTGGGCCAAGCGCGAGAGCGAGCGCGCCGAGCTGGAGCGCCAGCAGAGGCTGCGCGAGCAGGAGCAGGAGGAGCTGGAGCTGGCGATCGCGCTCAGCCAGTCCGAGTCGTCTTCGACCGCCTGAGCCGCGTCGGACCCCGCACTCTGACCTCGTCGTTGCAGCTCCCCCCACCGATCTCTCCCCCTGTCTCGTACTCTCTCAAGCTTCCCCCCACCCCCTTCCCAGCGGCTCTCCGGCCGGTGACGGAAGCTACGGCCCACGGGTCAGGGTTCGGCGCGGGGCTTCATTTCATCCGGCCCACAGTCGCCACACACAGTTGGCCTGCCGCTTCTAAACGGCGCGCTAAACGATATTTATCCGTCACCGCAAGCATCTTCGCCGCTCTTATCGGGCACTGGGGGGTAGAGATATTTTAAACCTGGCGTCGCTCTGAATCTAATTTTCGCTCGCCAAGTTCCTTTTGTCCACCGCGTGGGCTTTTCGCGGTGACAGAAGGACACTGAGGTGTGTGCGAACGTGTGAATGTGAATGTATGGCTCTGTCAAAGCTTGAGGTAAAGGTTCTCAACCTCCCGCTTTAAGGAGGAAGCGTGAAGAAACGAAACTATTTAAAACTACTAAACTATTTTTAATTTTACCAGGTAAGGCCCACTGAGCTGTGTTGCTCTTTTCTTGCATAAGCGACTTGGCCACATATAATAGCTCAACTAGAAGTGGTATATCACGTGGAAATTTATAGCAGACAGATAACCGAAGGACCCGAAGAAAAATCCATGCGACCACGGGCAGAGAGAGACGCGCAAACTGCAAATATGCATCAGGCGTCAAGGGTCGGGATTGAACCCACGCACTCCTCCATACCAGGGACGGAGTTCCACCGTCGGATGAAAGACATCGACGCGGTGAATCGGGGCGTCGTGGCAGCTAGATTAACGTACCGACAGATGGTGGGACCGAGGGTTATCGCGTGAATATTTTTGCGCGTAAGTTTAGCAGAAGAATTCTCCTCCGCTCCTTGTGCTTTTTAACGAACTCGCGGAAATTTTGACCGAGGGCGTTAATCGTGGTTTGGAGAATCTCACAAATACAATGCCTATAAACGTATTTATTAGTATTTCATTCAATTAGAATGGCTGCTATTTCCCTACGATATTCTCTACATATTTCCACACGTTGCATGCTTTAGGGTAAGGGTTTTTGCAGCAGTTTAACATGTTAAAGGCGTCAACGTGTAAACAAAAAGGATGCGTCTCATACGGTTTTCCGAACAATTTTAATTGCTCTTTAGAGGTTTATCAGTGTTCATCAATATCTGGCGTATTTTTGAAAAACCACCTTGCAGTGGCCTTCATACGCCTAAGATTATGAACTCTATCTCGTATACATGCATCTCGGCATTTAATCTTCACCGAAAATTTTGAGCGAGAGCTCCGTTCGTCCCTCGTTAGTGAGGTGGAAAAGGGGAGTACATGGCATCGCCGAAGAAAGGCGTGTGGACGAGACATTTTTCAGAAGATATCCTCCCCGGCGTTCGTAGCTGCGCGCGTGGTGGGAGGTGCTGGGATGTCTGAAGTTGATCTTGCTGCTTTAAACCTCCACTACATTGAATGTATGTTTCATTGGTGCCGCTGCCATTGAGTCGGGCTTGGTTGTTGTGTGTACCCCGTTGGTGGGTGTGTCTCTATGTGTACGTGTGTCTATGCGTACGCACGCGTATGCTCGTGTGCGTGGGTACGTGTGTGGGTTCGATGTCTGTGACGGTAGGTGTTGCCGGTCGCCTTTGTTGAAACGTCTCTCCTGAAGCTCCCCACTCCTAGCGGTTGTTGTCCTCTGTTCGGGTCCGCCAAGTAGTTACGTGTTGCTCGCAACGCACACGGGCCCTGGAATGTGCGCGTCGCTTCTTTGTGTTCTTGATGCAAAAGCAACATGCGCGTGCGCACATCCTGTGTGTCTCGCTCTCTCTCTCTGTCTTATCAGAGTGTTTCTGTCCTTGCGTTTCACTCCGTGTGTATCCGTATCACTCTTTATCCTTCTCTGACTACATATTTCTGAGTGACCGTCTCAATATTTCTACGTTTGTGCTTCTCCTTGCCTCTCTCCCCGCCTTATCCATGTCCGTGTGCGTTTGCCTCTTCGTGTTGAAACGGGACTGCTTTTAGATCAGCATCACGGGGAAGGGAGATTTTAATTGAGTCGCAGGCCGAGCAAGTCTTGGAAAACTGTAGACATTCTAGCCACTTGCATTTAAGCAATCTTAATGGACATATCAGCAGTGGGTATATTGGGTGGCTGGGAGATTATGGTGTTTTGGGGATTCTCAATCCATTAATTATCTGGCTCATCGGTAACATGAAACATCTTATTGTGGACATGAAGTCGCATTGCAGACCTGTTACAACATGTGACTGCTATTCCTGCGTGTGGTGCGACTCATCATCATTGTTCCGAGGTCCACTAAAATAGGTACTCCTTTGTGGGAAGTCATCAACATGCTTTTAACCCATTGATAGACTGGTTTTCGCCATGAGAATGTAGACGTTATCCCTTTGTCAAACGGAGCCGCCAAATGCTCATTGGAGCGTCAAGACACATTGATAAATCTCATACACTCCAGTGCTCCCGTTTTGCCTTACGGATTCATTGAAGCTTCAGACCAACTCCCCCACCCCACCCCCCCATATACTTCTTCAGCGCATTCCGTTGCATCGCAGTGCTGCCGACTTCAATTCACGCGCCCGGTGCGATGAATGGTTTGCTCCGTTCGTTCGGTAACGCCGCGTTAGGGTAATAATGGGGCTTCTCAAAACTCCCTCGGCCCTTTCACCCCCTCTCTTCATCCCCCCCTCCATCCCCCCCACCAACCCCTATCACAGCCGATCCTTTCACGTTGACCGATCAACAGACGGTTAAACCGTGGTAAGATTTGCCTGTGGTGATGCTGATGAACGCACGGGATTTAGTTCAGGATTTTTTTTTTTGCCGAGCTTTGAGTTGTGAGCACGTGGATCGTTGAAACCTGTGGCTTGCGCCCCTTGCCGGACACTTGTGAATTCAGTGACCGTGTATCCGACGGTTTCGCTTGAAAAGAGGGCGACGTAGCTATGGTCTGAACCACTTCCAGATGCAGTTTGATCGCAATATATATAACTGCACAGATACTTGCGTTGAGTGTCACGATGGGCAGCGAGATGCTCATTACATAGCGCGTACGTCGGGCGGACTCGGAGCGAACGAACTTGTCACCCACGCCGGGGATGGCGACGGTGCCGCTTTGGGTGTCGCGAACGCAGCCATCGCCGCCATCCACGGGCCACATTTCCTACAGCTGTAGAATACTTCATAATGAAGGGGGGGGGGGGGTTATTTTGCGTAAATATGCAAATGTGTCGTTAACCCGCCACCGGCCGACGCAGCCAATTAGTAAGGTTTGTCGTGTAAACAAAACGTGCCAATTAGTTAATAGTTCCGCACACCCCGGTGTGTTGGGGAGTAAACGCACAACATTTACAATTTACTCTCCAGCACACGTGCTGTTTGTGACAAATCTCACTAATTGGCTGTGTCGGGTGGTGTTGAGTTAAAGACACATGTGTATGCGATCTAACCCAACAAAAACACCTTTATTACGAATAATATTTGTCGCGAAAACCTGCTACGTGTTAAGCTGTAGAATTGCTTCAACCTTCGCATTGACATTCCAAATACGTGTTATTCATTCGGTCGATGTTTGGAACCTTTTGGCGGCGGGGGGTTGGTTGGTTGGTCCTTGCTTGTGAAAGCCAGCCAGCCCCGTGAGCGCGGTCTACCACCAGTATCGGGGTAGTCGCCTGTTCTCGACACGGACAGAGAGGACGGAGAGAGACCGCTCACGGCACATGCGGCGCATGCTGACGCGCGCGGTAGGTTCGGATGGCGGGTCCCGAGTTTCGTGTCCCGCGACCGGTTCAGTTCGGTGAAGGTGAAGAAGAACGATCAAAGGCTGCTTTAAATGCAGCCCTCGGTGGCGGCGGTGGTGGCTCTCAGCCGCCGTTTGAGGAGTTGGGAGGGGTTAAGTAGCTGTCGCTCGCGTCTCTCCAGCCGACAACTACCTGCTTTATTTATTGGGTGGGTTGAGGGGTGGGGGGGATTCATGTATACAAAGGATATAAAGGTGCGTAAAAGCACTTCACACGGATGTCAATAACGGCATAATGCTGTGAATAGCGCTGTACACTGCAATAGCGGAGCCGCTCGCTCTAACACTCGAGACCAGGCCTCTGGATTGTCAGAGCTAAACCTTGCACCCTAACCATGACCTAGGTTGTACTCTGCATGTGTGCGCCTCCTCTGTGTCAAACGGTTACTCTCGGTGCTTAAATAACCGCACGTGGGAAGCTATCGCGACGTCACAAGAGTGACGTGTCATCATCCTGTGACGTCCCTCGCCGTCAGCTTGGGTTGGCGCACGCGGTGGTGCGCTGCTACCTGCGAAATGTCTTCGTCGCGAGCCGATATTACAACTGGAGTGTAACTTGGAATAAATGCGAAAACACACCACACACAAAAGCTAGCTAAACAATGCAATCGCACACCGCTATGGCTTGGTTGTAGCCGCTTACCCCTGGAGCCGCTTGTAAATGAGATGTTCGTGGAAGCTGCCCCGGTAGTCGTCGAGCGGAGATCGGTGGTCGATGGCGTTCAACACGTCTCGTTAACGTTGTCTGTCGCGTGTGATGTTGATTGTAGGTGGAGAAAAGAAATGAAATCCTCGCCGTAAGTTATTTTACCCAAACAATGGCATCTCGCTCCAGGGAGAGCCGCGCAGCATCGATGATTTAGGTCTTCAGAATAAATTGTCTTTGAGTCGAAGACTGACACCTTCGCAACCTCGCACCCCCAAACCCCCTCGGCTATTAAAGAGTCCAAAGTCGCCTGGCGTTCAAGGCAGAGGCCGTTTTCTGTTGTGCTCTGTGTGGCTTCCGAGAAGTTTTAGTTGCAAGTCAATGAGATAAGGAAACGGAAGAATACGTGCCGATAGATTTTATTTTCGTAACCTATGGCTCACGGTCACCTTAAATCCAGACCTGGTAAAGACTAACCACTTTGCTTTCTTTTTGCAATTAGGAAAAAAATTTTTTAAATAATATATATACTGTATAATGAACAGGGAAGTGTGGCGCACAGAGATTTTGTAATGATGCATAAACACTATTACATAAGCCTGTTTGTACACTTAATATCCGAACTGGCTTCTCTCGGTGTGCTCAAAGTGTGGTTTTAAACTGCCCATGGGTTGTTGATGTGGTGTGAGTGTGTGTACATGCACCACGAAGGGCCCTGTGTATATGTGTTCAATTACCCAGCATTCGTGTGCGTGAAGTCGTTAATCCTACCTAATTGTATATTATACACTGTTCATTGTTAAATAAAGGTGCGTATGTTATAAAGTGAGCCGTCGAGGTCGCAGAGTTATTTTATGGCACACGTGCAGAGTGCGTGTGAATGCGTCTCCCCAAACTGTGGATACGGCCTTATCTTGGGGAGCGGTGGTGCAGCGGTTAGCGCACCGCGCTACAAATCTATGAGACGACCCGAGTTCGAAACCCGCTCATGGCCGATTAATTATCAGTGACGATTATCTCGACCAGTCTTGCCGCCTGGTGCGATGTGTAAACATCACCACGAGGGAGCGAAAGGTGGCCGGGCGTGGTGCTGGCCACCCCCTTGTGTCGTGCCGTCATTCACAGCAGCTAACAGGCCTTGCCCTAACAGTCTGTTAAGATTATAAGGGGGATCTTTGTTCGTCATCGACCTTCAGAAGTAGTTTTTAAATCAGCGGTTGTGTCCATTCCAGAACGCGAGGAAGTGCAGTGCGATTTTCAAGTGTTCGGAATGGAAATGTATTCATCCTGTAACAGTTGATTCAACCCCGATGAATGGAGTTAAAAATAACTTACAAACACCTTGTGAACGACCCAACACAATATCCCTGGGTTTGATCTTCCACGAAGCTCATGGTCCACCCTAAATCGCATCCATTGCACAAACCATGGCAAATGCGGATAGCTGATGCACAGATGGAAAATTTTAAACTGTCCATCGTGCAACTGTGGTGATCCAGTTCAGTTGAGTTAATTTATTAGGAATAGCACTGTGAGCCATGCGGCTCTTGAATCGGGTGCAACCGCAATAAACAAAAACATGAACAAGAAAGATCTTAAAGTGACTACGCGCAACAGGAAAAAACAGCAAAGTCTTCCCAAAAAACACCGTATATCTACGCTGTGTGCAAAAATCCCAGTGGGGTGCAAGTCAAACAATAACAACCATAAGACAATTTAGCTTAAAGTTTCTAACTGTACTACAACAAACAAATATAGCTAAACCAAAACTTTTTGAAATCACCAAAATAAAGCTATAAAAACAATGTAACAGTGATCATTGGAACTGTGATTCAAATTTAACAATAAACGATATACAGTACATAACATGTACGACCAAACTTTGCAACCATAGCTGGCAGCATGAGTCACTCCGTAACAGCAGGAGTATCAGTAGGAGTATCAAAAAATTTCAATGCACCTCTAAAGATCAGCATACTCTAATCAAAACTCAAGATCATACTTTGCAGCGGTCATCCGGAGCGATACATTTGATTTCAAGCCACTGAATAGCAGTGGCAGCTAGGGGTGTACAACTCCTCTAGAGCAGTTTTGAGTGAAGATCTCAAAGATAGTGATCCAAGTTGCAGTTTATTGGCGGTAGCATTCCAGACCCTGGGGCCATCAATAGCAAATGCCCTTCCTCCAGTATTTGTACGGCAATAAGGAATGTGAAGCTGGTAAATGAGCGAAGACCTTAGGTCACATTTGTTCAAAATAGTGAGGAGATCCAGCAGGTAGTCTGCTGATTTTTTTGTAAGTACATCGTAAATAAATAAGATATGCACAAGCCGTCAATCATTAAGTGACATTAAGTTTGATCCAATGTAGAGATCGCAGTGGTGGGTCCTATATGGGCAGTTAAATGCAAATCCTAAGGCCGAGTGATACATTGAGTAGCTCTACTACTATCGTACTATACCGCCTTCAACTTTTATGAACGACTGGGTGTTTAAGGTTAGCGATTTGTCATTATCTGGCTGTATAGCAAATGAAAAAATACAATTACTTTACTATACAAGTAAAAAATGTGTTTAAATTAGTTTTTTGTATATTTAGGGCACCTTTATAACCACATATGCTACAGGCCCCGCACTTAGCTTCCTCCGGCACTGCTGCAGTGGCAAATTCATTGGATTGTTGACCAGGCACCGAAATCTTCTTGGTTCTTTCGGTAAAGTCACGTAGAATGGAAATAATAAAATAATAAAAATTAAACATAATAAAATAATTCTCTCGACAGACCTGTTCTCCACCTGAGGACGGCTGCTTGCGTTGTGGCCGAAACGTCATACGAATAATTTTATTGTTTTATTTTTATTATTTTATTATTTCCATTCTACGTGACTTTACCGAAAGAACCAAGAAGATGAATCCCTGCAGTCACGAAAGCTTTAAATCGAGAGGCACCGAAAGTTGAAACCAGTCCAGAGTTTGCATGCCCGGCAAAGGAGAGGACAACAGCGGAAACGCCGCTCTGCCGAAACTTTGCCGTGAACCTTCGCGAGTCGCCGTGGGTTTCTCGCGGGAGGAAGGAAGTTTTTATTTTTTCGCTTCCTAGGCAAATGCATTCCTTCGCCGTGACATCAGCCCGCGGCCAAAAACTCTGGCACGGCTGAGACGCATCGTGCATGTCAACTAAAAACGAAACCGTTGTTTTTGTTAGGTGTGTTACCAGGTAAAGCCCACTGAGATGTTGTACAGCTCTTTTTTTCAGGAGCGACCTGGCCACAAAGGATAGCTCAAAGAGAAGTGGCTTATTGGGTGGGAATTTATAGCGGCCCAAAACTCGAAACGCGAGGGGAAAGCCGGAGGAAGATTTTTTTTTTAAAGAATGATAATACTTAAAAAAAACTTAAACAAAATGTAATTAAAAAAATAACGTCAATGTTGAAATGAATTAAATCACCCTATGTGTCCTGACTTTTGAACCGCCCTGTATACTACTGCGTTCTTTCCTCTAAAAGTAGGAGAATACCGGTGCAGTATTAATTTATGAGAAAGAGAGGTGAGTTTAAGACAACATCCTCGCTACATAACAAATGCAAAACTAAAAACTCTCCAGCAGTATGCGACTGGTCACCGTCCAGAGCAGGAACGACGGGACATGACGACTCAATTCCCCATTCACAAACACGACAGAGGAGGCATCACCACAGCTGTTTACTCTTCTCCGGCTGACGCAATCATCTGGTGCATTAATCACCTAAATGTTGAATTTTAGCTGTTGCTCTACATCGAAATTAGCCATACGAAGCATAAGGCCGAGATCTATAGATTCACAGAGCCACACGCTCACATAGACACCAATAGACTCACAGAGAGATTTATAGATTCACATAGACACCATAAGATTTATACAGTTATCTATAGCTCCACACTGAGACTAATGCACTCACATAGAGACCCATATCGTCACACAGATATCGTTAGATTTGCATCCGGAACTATACACACGCGTAAAGGCCCATAGACTCACACAGAAACACAGACTCACACATCTATAGATTCACAAACAGACCCACAACGCTCACATAGTGATGCATAGACTCACACGCATCTATAGATTCACAAACAGACCCACAACGCTCACATAGTGATGCATAGACTCACACACATCTATAGATTCACAAACAGACCCACAACGCTCACATAGTGATGCATAGACTCACACACATCTATAGATTCACAAACAGACCCACAACGCTCACATAGTGATGCATAGACTCACACACATCTATAGATTCACAAACAGACCCACAACGCTCACATAGTGATGCATAGACTCACACACATCTATAGATTCACAAACAGACCCACAACGCTCACATAGTGATGCATAGACTCACACACATCTATAGATTCACAAACAGACCCACAACGCTCACATAGTGATGCATAGACTCACACATCTATAGATTCACAAACAGACCCACAACGCTCACATAGTGATGCATAGACTCACACAATCTATAGATTCACAAACAGACCCACAACGCTCACATAGTGATGCATAGACTCACACATCTATAGATTCACAAACAGACCCACAACGCTCACATAGTGATGCATAGACTCACACACATCTATAGATTCACAAACAGACCCACAACGCTCACATAGTGATGCATAGACTCACACATCTATAGATTCACAAACAGACCCACAACGCTCACATAGTGATGCATAGACTCACACATCTATAGATTCACAAACAGACCCACAACGCTCACATAGTGATGCATAGACTCACACACATCTATAGCTTCACAAACAGACCCACAACGCTCACATAGTGATGCATAGACTCACACACATCTATAGCTTCACAAACAGACCCACAACGCTCACATAGTGATGCATAGACTCACACGCATCTATAGATTCACAAACAGACCCACAACGCTCACATAGTGATGCATAGACTCACACACATCTATAGCTTCACAAACAGACTCACAACGCTCACATAGTGATACATAGACTCACACACGTCTACATATATACAAGAAGAGGCAGCGGTGCAACCACTCCGCTATTCCTGATTGCAATGATCTGGCTCAACTACAGCTGTCGCTCAACATCGGCCACACGGAGAATACGACGACTCGGACGTACATCGTCCCCTCCCCTACCCTCACTGGCGAGCAACAGTTGCACGTGGAAGTGATTGCTTAGGGTGGGAAGTGGTGGTGGGGGGGTGCATCTCAAACCAGCTGGGCTCGGAACAGACCGGGAGAGGGGAGCGAAGGGGGTCCGGGTTGAGCGAGAGAGACAAACGAGGAGGCGGCTGCGTGTGTCGTGTGTGCCGTGTGTGTGTGTGCCGTGTGTGTGTGCCGTGTGTGTGCCGTGCTGTTGTGAGCAGGGCACGAGGAGTTGAGAGCGGTAAGTTGGGCTCAACGCCGTTGTGATTCACATGCTGGAGCGTGGTCGCGATGCTGCGTTGTGATGTAAAAAGTGGTGCGTATGGCGTGGTGGCTTAAGGTATTTTCGGCGAACGGGCTCACGTCAGTGGCGAATACTTGAACCGGTCCTGGACCTCCCCTAGGTCGACTCGGTCTTAAGACACACACACACACTGGAGAGACAAAGGCAGCGTGGAGTGCTTCTGGGTCAAATCACCCCTCCCGTGCGCCGTGCCGACCTCAATCTGTGTTCGATAACAGCACTTGCCCAACCAAGAGCCTGTGTCGGCTATATGGGGAGTCTTTGTCTGTATCTGTGTGTGGCTTGGAGGACAATAGTGATTCAAGGGGAAGGATTTGTGAATGTGAGCCGAAGAGGTGTGTGTATGTGTGTGTGTATGTATGTGTGTGTGGTGGGGGGGAGCGGTAGTGTAGTAGCGGTTAGCGCGCCTGCGCTACGAACCCAGCCAACAGAGTTTGATTTTCGCTCACGGTAAACTGGAGATTGTCTGAACCGGATTTGCCCCTAGGTCGACTCGGCCTCAAGTGCTGCGGTGCGTAAACATCGCCACTCTGGAGACAAAGGCGGCCGGGCGTGGTGCTGGCCACCCACCCCCTCGTGTGCTGTGCCGGCCTTCATAGGTGCTCGCGAACAGCACTTGCCCCTACAGTTTGTCCAAGCTACACGGGAGGGGGGGGTGCTTTGTGTTGTGTTTGTTTCACTCTCTCGCTCGCTCCCTCCCGTCTCGCCTCCCCCTCTCTTTCTCTCAGCCCCTCTGTCTCCCAGTTCATTATTTCACTGAGACACAGGCGCCGCGCGCATTGGCCGGGCACATTGAAGCGAGTCTGACACGCTCCCCCCCTACCCCCATGGCACTGTCAGGCACCCAGCACACAGCCCAGTCCGGCTGTGACTCTCACGCACAGCGACGTCGTTGTGTCCGCTCAGCTCCGCTAACAGCACTTGCCCTCACCCCCCTCCAACAACTCTGTTGAAGGCTATACGGGGGAGCTTTGTCCTTTTGTCTACTCTGCGGTGTGAGCCCGAATCAGCTGTCCGCCCGTCCGAGTTCTGAACTGCCGAGTGAAGGTACCGACTCACCGCGGCATTCAGTCAACTCGTTTCTGTTTGTCTCTTGCCGAAGCGTCTGCGAGTGTGGTTTTTTATTATCAAGAAAGAAGAGCAATATTGCGATCTTAATTTTGGAGCTTTCGTGACTGCAGGAATTATTATTTGGTTATTATTTATTTAATTTATTATTTTATCTTTATACGTGACTTTACCGAAAGCAATATTGCGGTCTGTTTTTCTTGCGGGTGTTGCGTTTTAAACTGTTGCGTAATTATTTTTGCTGTTGCTATCTGTTAATTGTCACCGTGATTTACTGACCGGCGTGGTGAAGTATGTACTCTTTGGTTCTTTCGGTAAAGTCACGTATAAAGATAAAATAATAAATTAAATACTAGCATACGACGTTTCGATTGCAACACAAGCAATCATCATCAGGTATAAATGAAATAGAAACACAAATCTAGTATACTTAAAAATGTAATACAACAGAGAGTCGGATAACATAACAGTCAACACCCTACCTAGTTGATTACGTTCTTCCTGAGAATGCTAAGTTTGAGAAAGAGATACAACACAGAACCAGAGACATATAGACAGACATATAAGCAGACAGATATCACAGAGATACATAGAGAGAGGTGATGAAGTATGGTCCATCAATCCCCCACCCCCCAATGAACCAATGGGCAAGTGGAGGCATTCCTCTAGCAGTGGATTAACACAGGCCAGTATGTAAACGAGAGCTGTGGTTGCTATCGGCGTTTAAGGGTCGCCACGCGTGGTAACGTTGCGAGTTTATCTGACAAAAGTCGAAAGTTAAAGTTGCTGATTTGTAGTATAAGGCCAGTGTTGAGCATAGTGTGCGTGTTATGTTTTATATTGTGTGCGTGAGTGATGTGTGTTGTTGTGTGATGTGTGTGTGTGTTGCATCGAGTGTGTGTTGTTGTGTGTGTTGTGTGATGGGTGGTTGTGTGTGTGTATATTTCATGGTGTGTGCGTGTTATGCTGTCGTGTTTCGCTGTGTTTGTGTGTTTGTTTGTTTCCTGTGCTGTGTTTGTAGTTTTTTACTTGCGTTTGTTTTTTAATGTGCAGTATGTTTGTGTTGTGGTGTGCGTAGTGGCTTGATAAAGGAATTGCAGTGGGGAGCGGTGGTGTAGCGGTTAGCGCGCTACACTACGAACCTGGCGATCCGGGTTCGATTCCCGCTCACGGCGAACACCAGTGACGATTATCTGAACCGGTCCTGGGCCTCCCCTAGGTCGACTCAGCCTCAAATGAGTACCTGGTGCGGTGTGTAAACATCGCTACTAGGGAGACAAAGGCGGTCGGGCGTGGTGCTGGCCACCCACCCCCTCGTGTACCGTTCCGGCCTTCATAGGTGCTACGCTAACAGCACTTGCCCCTACAGTCTGTTAAGGCTATACGGGGGATAATTGTCTGTATATTGTAGAGTCCGTGTGGTTTGTGTTGTGGTGTGTGTTGTGGTGCTTGGTTTGTGTTTTGGTGCGTGGTTTGTGTTGGTGCGCGGTGTGTGTTGTGGTGTGTATCGTTGTGACGAAGGGTCATTTGCCCGAAACGTCAACCATTTTATTTTAATTTAAAATGTGTTGAGTTTCATTTTTACTGAAACCGCAGTGACGCTTACCGTGGTCCATGTAAGTGGTGAGCACACGGGACTCGATCTTCCGGCGCGGCAGTTGAAACAACAATGGACAAGTTTCACAAATCCCCGCAACTAAGATCACGGGCAGCACGAGTTCATGGGTGACACCGAAAGTTCAGTCGAGCGTCTGGCCAGCATGGAAGAGTAGGCCAAATACCACCTAGAAGTGGAGGCCCTTCCACCAGCAGTGGCTTGAGAAAGGAATTGCAGGGCTGCGCCTCTTGCGCCACTGCAGCGCAACCTGCATACGCGGAGGAGCGGTGGCGCGGTGGTTAGCGCACCGTGCCACCTTGGTTCGAATCCCCCTCCATGGCGAGGAATCAGTGGTAAGCCGCCACTGCACCGTCCGCTCTCCTCCACTCTTCATGACACAAATAAACAACAACAGTGGCGTCACCATTGCACTTGTGCCAGGCTAGGTGCACTTTTAGGGCCGCGTGAAGTGCGTGCGTTGAAGGCTCGCCGCTCACAGGAGGTCACGTGACAGACACACGTGTACCAGCAGAGGGCAACTGTCCGAGACAGAATCAGAACTTTATTTAGACTGGAGAAATCCGATGAGCTATAAAGCTCTTTTTCACAGATGTGCAGTAGTTGCACAAGGGTCAGAACATTACAACAAAGAACAACACACAAACATGATAGCAACGGAAAGTATAGGAGAGGTAAACTAATCACAAAAATAGAAAACTCTAAACTGTTGTTGTCTCACCAGGTAAAGCCCACCGAGCTGTTATCTTCTTTTTCAGAAGCGACCTGGCCACAAATGATCGCTCAACAAATTGGATAATCACGTGGAAATAATTTATAGCAGCCAAATACTCTAACTCACTTGATGCAGCAAATCTGGCTGTGACGGTCCCACCTGATGACGGAGACTTGTGTTACCTCCGAAACGTCGTGATTTTTATTTTATTTTTATTCATTTTAATTTCATTTTTTACCTACGTGACTTTACCGAAAGAACTAAGAGTATGAATCCTTGCAGTCACGAAAGCTTCAAATCTAGAAAAAACTCTAAATCATCTCAATGCATGTTTCTAAGTGTGCATTGCCAGATGCGCCACAGGTGTGCCACTTGTACCCCACTCTCAAGACGCTAACTCCCTCGTCTGCTTCACATGAGGCCGTGGGTTTGGTCGCGGCCCTGACGCCTGCTGTATACAGGGTGACCCAAAAAAAAACTGGCCCCAACTCTAATAGGCCCCGTGTGCACGGGGCCCGTTTTTTTTGGGTCACCCTGGTATTTGGAGTTTGCGTGTCTCTCTCCCCGTGATCGTACGGATTTTTGTCCCGAGTCTTCCGGTTTCTTTCTCCACATTTAGAATCAACATATTTTTAGAGCATTCGGCTGCAGTACATTTCCACGTGATAAGCCACCTGGGTGAGCTATCATTTGTGATAGCGAAGTCGCTTCGGGGAAAGAACTCCAGAGCTCAGTGGACCTTACCTTGCTGCGTTTTAGCTGCCTACTTTGTTGCTGGAGGGTGGCGAGATGTTATCTCCCTCGCCTGGTATGCAGGAGGTCGTGGGTTTGATCCCGACCCTGATGCCTGTTGCTGTATATTTGTATACTCTTTGGTTCTTTCGCTAAAATAAATAAAATAACGACGTTTCGGGCGCAACACAAGCGTCCGTCATCAGGTGGCGGACGCTTGTGTTGCGCCCGAAACGTCGTGATTTATTTTATTTTTCTACCTACGTGACTTTATCGAAAGCACCAAAGAGTATGGATTCCTGCAGTCACGAAAGCTTCAAAATCAAGATTGTATATTTGTAGTTTGAATGGTCTCCCCCGTGGTCGCGTGCATTTTTCTCCGGGTCTTCCAGTTTTTCTCTCCACGTTTAGCATCAACGCGCGCGTTCCGTGTATTTGTCTGCCGTAAATTCCCCACGTGATGATAAGCCCACCTCGTTGAGCTGATCATTTGCGATCGCCAGGCCGCTTCTGAGAAAAACAGATCTGCAGACCGCTCCGTGGGCTTCGTCTGGTCAAATAAAAGTGGTGGAAAAAAAATAGCAACTGCCCTTGGCGGTCGTGTCCTTCACGAGCCCTCTGCACAACACTCGCACACACACACCCACCCACCATCTGTTGTCAGAGCTGTTTGAGCTCGGCGTGTAATTACCATGCAGCGCAGTGCCTAATTCTTCCCAGCGTGGCGTGAGAAAGACAAAACCTTGGTTGGCGGCGGCGGGGGGGGGGGACTGGAGGGCTTTTGGCCGGACCAGTTTGTCTGGAATGGATCGGAGAGACATAAATTTCAGTGGGGAGGTAGGAGGGAGGCACGGAGGAAGGAAGGACGGAGGCAGGGGACGGACACGCACACACGAATATATCTTGCGGCGTTCCACGCGAGTCGCACGTGCTTGCTCAGGGTGAGGTTGCCTGGTCGTGTGATGGTAGATAAATCTTTTGCAACAAAAAATCTGGCCCCTGGAATGTAATATCCGTTACTTTGTTCTCGACGATGCCAGGGGAACGATGCGCAGTGAAGAGTTGATGCGCCTGCTGCCGCCACTCAACCCGAAACGTCCCCTCGATGTTGTCAGCTTGTTGGAAGCCAAGCAACTAAACTATAATAAAATAAACAGATATTTTACCAGGTAAGGCCCCACTGAGCTTGAGAGGGCTTTTTGTCAGAAGCGGCCTGGCCATCACAAATTATAGCTCAACGAAGTGGCTTATCACGTGGATATTCATAGCAGCCGAATACTTGAAATGCATGTTCATTCCAAATGTGGAGGGAAAAACTGGAGGACCCGGAGAAAAATCCACGCGACCACGGGGAGAGAGGCATGCAAATTCTAATTATACAGGCGTCAGGTTTGGGATTGCACCCACGACCTCCTGTATACGAGGCGAGGTAGTTGACATCTCGCCACCGTGGCGGCTGCTGCTGCTTTGGCAGTGTTGCACACACACACAGTGAACAACAACAACTCCGCACATTCGTCAACAACACTGTGGCCATAACACTGTGGCCATAAAAGCGAAGACAATAATAGGGAACGTTTCGGGCAACGACCCTTCTTCATAGCACTCACGCGCGTTTGAAACCCCGCCACACGCCAGTTCACAGACGGCTTCGCGTGTCTGCCTATCACCTCCCGTGCACCAGCCGTGTGCCGTGGGGCTGTGTGCCGTGGGGCCGTGGGGCCGTGGGGCTGTGTGCCGTGGGGCCGTGTGCCGTGGGGCTGTGTGCTGTGTGCCGTGTGGCCGTGTGCCGTGTGCCGTGGGGCCGTGTGCCGTGTGTGCCGTGTGCCGTGGGGCTGTGTGCCGTGGGGCTGTGTGCCGTGGGGCCGTGTGCCGTGTGGCCGTGTGCCGTGGGGCCGTGTGCCGTGGGGCCGTGTGCCGTGTGGCTGTGTTCCGTGGGGCTGTGTGCCGTGTAGCTGTGTGCCGTGGGGCCGTGTGCCGTGTGGCTGTGTTCCGTGGGGCTGTGTTCCGTGGGGCTGTGTGCCGTGTAGCTGTGTGCCGTGTGCCGTGGGGCCGTGTGCCGTGGGGCTGTGTTCCGTGGGGCTGTGTGCCGTGTAGCTGTGTGCCGTGTGCCGTGGGGCCGTGTGCCGTGTGGCTGTGTTCCGTGGGGCTGTGTGCCGTGTAGCTGTGTGCCGTGTGCCGTGGGGCCGTGTGCCGTGTGGCTGTGTTCCGTGGGGCCGTGTGCCGTGTGGCTGTGTTCCGTGGGGCTGTGTGCCGTGTGGCTGTGTTCCGTGGGGCTGTGTGCCGTGGGCCCGTGGGGCTGTGGCGCTGCTTGCTGGCCAGCACGACGCAGTGCGCCCCGGTCCGTTGCTGCGCGAGACCGTGGGCATCGCGATGGCGAGATGTTAACTACCTCGCCTGGTGTACAGGAGGTCGTGGGTTCAATCCCGATCCCGACCCTGCCGCCTGCTGTATATTTGGAGTTTGCGGTGTGTCTCTCTCTCTCTCTCATCATTATCACGGTGGCTAGGAGATGTTAACTACCTCGTCTGGTGTACAGGAGGTCGTTGGTTCGATCCCGACCCTGCCGCCTGTTGCTGTATATTTGGAGTTTGCGATGTCTCTATCTCATCATCACGGTGGCTAGGAGATGTTAACTACCTCGTCTGGTGTACAGGAGGTCGTGGGTTCGATTTCGACCCTGCCGCCTGCTGTTTATTTGGAGTTTGCCATGTCTCTCACTCATCATCATCACGATGGCTAGGAGATGTTAACTACCTCGCCTGGTATACAGGAGGTCGTGGGTTCGATCCCGACCCTGCCGCCTGCTGCTGCTGCTGTATATTTGGAGTTTGCGATGTCTCTTTCCCGGTGGTCGCATCGATTTGTCTCGGGGTCCTCCGGTTTTTCCCTCCACATTTACAATCAACGTGCATGTAGCGTATTTGGCTGCCATGAATGTCCACGTGATAAGCCACTTTAATTGAGCTATCATTTGTGGCCAGATCGCTTCTGAAAACTAGCTGTATAGCTCAGTGGGCCTTAAGGGCCGTCCATAAATGACGTCACGCACCTAGGGGGGAGGGGAGGGGTCAGACATTTGTGACGAGGGGGGGGGGTGAGAAATGTGACGTCATATCAAAATGCGCAACTTTAAATAAATATAGACAACACGTTCTACTTAATTAAATCGACTTTTTAATAAATGTTTTCTTCTACAACATCAGAGTGCAGCGCCACATTAAATACGCACTACAATGACAAGAGTTTAAAGCGATTTGAAGCATGTTTTATTTTTGGGGGGGGCAGAGCTTTGTGACGTCATATTTGAGGGGGGGGGTCTGACTTTTTGTGACGCCGTGTGACGAGGGGGGGGGTCAAAAATCGTCCAAAATCGCGTGACGTCATTTATGGACGGACCCTTACCATGTAATTTAAATGTTTAGTTTAGTTTCTAAACGTTACTTTTGCGGTTCCACGTCCAGGCTCTCCTCCTTTTATCAACCTGACCATCGTGGTGTGTTGTTGTGTGTGCTGTGTGTGTGGTGTATATGGTGTGTGCTTGCTGTGTGTGTGGTGTATATGGTGTGTGCTGTGTGTGTGCTGTGTGTGTGGTGTGTGCTGTGTGTGTGGTGTGTTGCTGTGTGTGTGGTGTGTGCTGTGTGTACGGTGTATATGGTGTGTGCTGTGTGTGTGCTGTGTGTGTGCTGTGTTGCTGTGTGTGTGGTGTGTGCTGTGTGTGTGGTGTATATGGTGTGTGCTGTGTGTGTGGTGTGTGTACGGTGTATACGCATGCGAGTGTGTGTGTTGCGTGGGGAGCGGTGGTGTTGCGGTTAGCGCGCTGCGCTACGAACCCGGCAACCCGAGTTCAATTCCTGCTCACGGTGACACCAGTGACAATTATTTTAACCGGTCCTGGGCCTCCCCTAGGTCGACTCAGCCTCAAATAAGTACTTGGTGAGGTGTGTGAAAATCAGTACTGGGCAAAGTCGGCTGATGTGGTTCTGGCGAGACCACTCCCCTCCGTGCGCCTTCCCAGGCCTAATAGACGTGACTCGTTAAGGGCACTTGCCCCAACCGTCTGTGAAGGCTATAGGCAGATCTTTGTCTTTGTTGTAATTGTTGTGACATCTCCATTGTCTGTTTCTGTGTCAACAGAAACAACAACAACAAAACAACAACAACAACCACCACCAAACAAAGAGTTCAAGGAAGAAACTAAAACTATCGGTGGAATCGCAATGTTTAGATATTGCTAGGATGTTTACTGAAATATAATGATGCTAGAGCGATCAACATGCCTTGTGTGTTGGAGATGATGAGTTAAATAGGGTACTATATTTAAGTAAATAGTACTATACTATACTAACTATCAATATAATAACATAAATATACAAGTTAAAAGTTAGTTAAATGTGAATAATATATTATTTTTTTTAAAGCTACAATTGTAATAGTCGCAGGTGTAAAACTGCCCAACGTACAAAGTAGAAGACATTCAAATCAACATCGTTTGTTTTTGTTGCTTGTTTATTTACATTCTACGATATGAATATACCGTATAATTAACACGCATTTAACCCGAATATAAACTTAACTGCATTTTCACAAAATATAATACAACTAACTACAGTCATATATCGTACACAAACATATTTCGCGCGCAAATATATAAACCCGAACAATTGAAATAAAATTTAAAACAACCACCACCAACCACAGCAGCAGCAACAGCAACAACAACAGAAGTATAAACGATGCAATAAAAGACAGAATTAGAGATCGAAACGACGGCGGTCAATAATTGCCCGATGAACTAAAGAACAGCGACTTCAGCTGCCCTCTCAACGACCCAGAAAGTGCCCCAAGGTGACACAACGTCTGGGAGGCTCGACATTGAGCACGTGGTGAGCTGGAAGCCACGCCCACTGTCGGCCCCGCCCACTTTTTTGTGACGTCACCACGCCCACTGCCGACCCCGCCCACTTTTTTGTGACGTCACCACGCCCACTGCCGACCCCGCCCACTTTTTTGTGACGTCACCACGCCCACTGTCGGCCCCGCCCACTTTTTTGTGACGTCACCACGCCCACTGAACCGCAAGCACTGCCCAAACGCGTTGTGAGTGGCCGCCTCCCCCTCCCCTCGTTCCTTTCCGCTCCTTCTGCTCAGAGGCTCCAACAGACTCCTCTGCCAGCCCCCGACCTACCCCACCGATCGTCATCTCTGTTGACTATTTGCCCCCCCCGACCTTCCTGCAACCCCCCCCCCGCGCCCCCGGCCCCCGTATCATGGATCACGCGTGAAGCCAGGACATTTAAAAACCGCGAACAAAATCTCAACTTCCACCAAAAACAATACTCGGGCATCTCTCTCTTCAACCAGCAGACCCACCCTCCTCCACCTGTCCCGCAGCCTTGAGATGAAGCTGGCACCGTGGCTCCCGCTGCTGGCGCTGCTGCTGGGGTTGGCGCTGGAGCCCCAGCCGGCGAGCGCCTCGCTGGTCGTCGTGAACCGGGGCCTGGCGGTGCCGAGGGGCGGCCGGGCCCTGCTGACGAGCCAGGAGCTGCGGGTGGAGGAGACGGCGGCCGCCAGCGGTGACGCGTGCCGCCTGGAGGTGGTGCACAACGAGCCGATCACGCAGCGAGCTGGCAAGGTGGCGCCGCACGTAAGCGCGGGCGAACCGTCGTCGTCGTGGTGGCGGCGGTGGTGTCTGGTGGTTTTGTGGTGTTTGTGCGGTGCGTAGTAAACATCGGCACATTCCCTTGTGTGTGCCTTGCCGGCCTTCGAAGGTGCTACTCGCTAAGAGAACTTACCGCAAAAGTCTGTTAAGGCTTTCCGGGGGATCTTTGTCTTTGTTGATAGATGCGTTGGTTGTTGTAGTAGCACATGTTGTATTGTCATTATCTTCACGCTCAAAAATCATAAACAACTGCCACTACTATTATCATCATCATCAACACTTTTACGACCGCCATCCTCAGCATTGATAATAATCAACAGCACTATCACTGGCAGTATCATCATCAGCAACACGATCACTATGCATACCAATGCTATCATCATCTTGATCTTCAAACGTCATCAAAGATCATCACCATCAACCACACTATCACTTAATTCTAGATTTGAAGCTTTCGTGACTGCAATGAATCATACTCTTAGGTTTTTTCGGTAAAGTCACGTTGGTAAAAAATAAATAATAAAAGATAAATAATAAAAATACTAGAAGAAATAATAGAAATAAAATAACAAATGACGACGTTTCGGAGGCAACACAAGCTTCCCTCTTCAGGTGGAACCATCAGCTAAAATTACTGCATCATGTAAAGAGAAATCCCAAGAGACCCGACCTTGTATATATACTGGTTGAGGGGGGAGGAGCCAGTCTCATCATCATCACCACCATCACCCATCTGCCTCACCGCAAGTCCGCCGCTGGCCCTGTGCAGGTGTAGTGACATAGGACGTCACTACTGTGACCCTGGACGGTCACGTGGTGGAGGGACCCAGACCTTCCCTTGAGGTGGGGGAAGGGAGGTGTGGCCTGGGCGGAGCCGGCCACGCCGGAGCGGATATAAGCGGGGTGTGGATGCAGAGCGGGGCTGGTGAACTCCGAAGTGAAGGCGACATCATCGGTCCTCAAGTCCCGGGTCGTCGTCCTGGGCCAGGCAGCCCGTCGCCTGCCTGGTCCACTCTGTGTTGTGTTCCAGAGTGTTAGTGAGTTGAGGAAGGTGGTCACCACCTCATGTATAGTGTGAGAAATGCTTGCCCCGAGCAGATAGAAGGGTAAAGAACCAATTATCATATTTTTACTGGCAAATGAGGTCCCCATAGTGTAGATGCTTGCCCCGAGCTCTCATACTCTGATGGTGCATTGTCCTTGAGTTGTGCGCCTTTTGGCGTCATCTGGTCCAACCCATATGAGACTAGGCTCGAAGGAAAGCTGTCTCGGGTGTGGACCAATCAACTTCAAGGACAGTGCACATTATCAGAGTTATGTCTTTTGTTTGTATTTATGACTGCAGGTATTGCGGTCTATGCAAACATGACTCCTTGCAAAAAGGTGTCAGTTTTGTTGCCAGATAGAAGGGTAAAGAACCAATTATCATATTTTTACTGGCAAATGAGGTCCCCATAGTGTAGATGCTTGCCCCGAGCTCTCATACTCTGATGGTGCATTGTCCTTGAGTTGTGCGCCTTTTGGCGTCATCTGGTCCAACCCATATGAGACTAGGCTCGAAGGAAAGCTGTCTCGGGTGTGGACCAATCAACTTCAAGGACAGTGCACATTATCAGAGTTATGTCTTTTGTTTGTATTTATGACTGCAGGTATTGCGGTCTATACAAACATGACTCCTTGCAAAAAGGTGTCAGTTTTGTTGCCAGATAGAAGGGTAAAGAACCAATTATCATATTTTTACTGGCAAATGAGGTCTCCATAGTGTAGATGCTTGCCCCGAGCTCTCATACTCTGATGGTGCATTGTCCTTGAGTTGTGCGCCTTTTGGCGTCATCTGGTCCAACCCATATGAGACTAGGCTCGAAGGAAAGCTGTCTCGGGTGTGGACCAATCAACTTCAAGGACAGTGCACATTATCAGAGTTATGTCTTTTGTTTGTATTTATGACTGCAGGTATTGCGGTCTATGCAAACATGACTCCTTGCAAAAAGGTGTCAGTTTTGTTGCCAGATAGAAGGGTAAAGAACCAATTATCATATTTTTACTGGCAAATGAGGTCCCCATAGTGTAGATGCTTGCCCCGAGCTCTCATACTCTGATGGTGCATTGTCCTTGAGTTGTGCGCCTTTTGGCGTCATCTGGTCCAACCCATATGAGACTAGGCTCGAAGGAAAGCTGTCTCGGGTGTGGACCAATCAACTTCAAGGACAGTGCACATTATCAGAGTTATGTCTTTTGTTTGTATTTATGACTGCAGGTATTGCGGTCTATGCAAACATGACTCCTTGCAAAAAGGTGTCAGTTTTGTTGCCAGATAGAAGGGTAAAGAACCAATTATCATATTTTTACTGGCAAATGAGGTCCCCATAGTGTAGATGCTTGCCCCGAGCTCTCATACTCTTATGGTGCATTGTCCTTGAGTTGTGCGCCTTTTGGCGTCATCTGGTCCAACCCATATGAGACTAGGCTCGAAGGAAAGCTGTCTCGGGTGTGGACCAATCAACTTCAAGGACAGTGCACATTATCAGAGTTATGTCTTTTGTTTGTATTTATGACTGCAGGTATTGCGGTCTATGCAAACATGACTCCTTGCAAAAAGGTGTCAGTTTTGTTGCCAGATAGAAGGGTAAAGAACCAATTATCATATTTTTACTGGCAAATGAGGTCCCCATAGTGTAGATGCTTGCCCCGAGCTCTCATACTCTGATGGTGCATTGTCCTTGAGTTGTGCGCCTTTTGGCGTCATCTGGTCCAACCCATATGAGACTAGGCTCGAAGGAAAGCTGTCTCGGGTGTGGACCAATCAACTTCAAGGACAGTGCACATTATCAGAGTTATGTCTTTTGTTTGTATTTATGACTGCAGGTATTGCGGTCTATGCAAACATGACTCCTTGCAAAAAGGTGTCAGTTTTGTTGCCAGATAGAAGGGTAAAGAACCAATTATCATATTTTTACTGGCAAATGAGGTCCCCATAGTGTAGATACTTACCGTTTAATACATAGTGTTGCCTCCAAGCTGTGTGTGTGTGCACCTAATTCGAACCCACTACGCAGGTGTTCAACTGCCGCTGGGCCCCGGGGGAGGTGAGCTACACTCACCACGGCACTCCGCTGCTGGACCACGACCTCGTACTGCTGCGGCTCTACCGGTGAGCTGGGCAAGGTCCCACGTCGCTCCACCACCACTCAGGGCTCCCCTTTAGATGGTGCCCCCCCCCCAAGCCCCCCCTCCCCCCCCACCGTAGCTTGCCTCGAGGAAGGCAGGAAACCTCCCCCCGCCAACGATGTACGTTGGACACTGCTGTACCCCACTCTGCGAGATGTTAACTACCTCGCCTGGTGTGCAGGAGGTTGTGGGTTCAATCACGACTCTGACGCCTGTAGATGTTATCAGAGTTTGTCTGCGTGATCACCAGAAGTGCGTGTGGTGATCACGCAGACTTGACTCCTTGCAAAAGGTTTCTATTTGGTGGTTGAACATCTTAACACGTGTTTTATTTCATGGGACCTCCTTTGCCAGTGTAGGGGTTATTACGGGAGAAACGGCGGACAACAAACACAGGGTTGTCGGCACTCACATACACGGGTGGTCACACCGACGTCCGCATCAGTTATTGCCCACGCCCCAGCCCTCGGAGGCGATCCCTATAAAAGGTGGAACCCAAAGAGCTCGAGTTCAGTTCGACACGAAGCTGACCAGTGAAGATCCAAGACTCGGAGATTAGGCCCTGGGACTCCCCGGTCTCGCCGTCCTTATAAGGGCCGAGCCGGGTAAGCCAGTGGCGCGGCCCAGGAGCTTCCAGACCGCTGCCCTTGTCAGGGCAAGGCTGGTTAGCTGGTGCCGAGATCTGTGCTTGCCAGGGCCAGATCAGTCAGCCTCCCGTAGCCCAGTAGAGGAGGACTGGAAGACAGGACAGAGGGCTTAGTACTAGGGTGGGTTTCCCATAGTACGGGTGAAGGGGCCGATACCCCTTCAACTATTGTATCTGTCCCGGAGTTAATAAACAGTGTGTCTCAACGTCGACATCGTCTCCTCCGATACTTACTACATCTGGTGTTAGAAGTGGTCCAAGCATGGATACGAGACGGAAGACTCGTGCCCAAGACCCAGGAGAGGATGACGACGAGGGAGGGGCAATGCAAGACATCGCCTCCGACGTACCTGGTACCTGCACAACTGCTGCCGGCTCCGACATCGGCGGGGTCGTCGGAGAGGGCCGGGACGTCGACTGACGAGTTGGCGTTGGCTCACACGCGGCTGGCGGAGCTCTTGTATGCAGCGGCCGCTATGCTCGAACAAATAACTCGCCTGGGGCCGGGAGGAGCGACGCGGCGGGAAGATGGACAACGCCCGCCAGAAACTCCCGCCTTTACAACAGCGGGGCGACTCGAAATTCCCGCCTCACAGACAGTAGGGGCGGAGGGAGGAGTCCCAGCTCGTCACGTGGGGGACGGTGCCCAGCCAGCAGCCGCCACGTCATCGGCGGAGGCGGGTCGCGGTGGCGGCCTATCAGGGGTTGCGACGTCACCACCAGCGGACGCCAGCACCGACCAAGCCCCGACCAACACGTCACTGACGGCGCGACACCCATTAGAGTCCGCCATTACTCATACTGTACGGGGACGCGCTACGGATGCTGCAAGAGGATCGGAGACGGAGCCGACATTCCAGCAACGTCTGCCGGCCCTGCAGGTATTTGTTGCAAGCGACGGCGATTGGGGGGGGTTCCAGCGCCGGTTCTTGGCCCACCAAGAGATGGCAGGCTGGTCGGACAACGAGGCGCTGTGTGCTCTCCCGGCGTTATTGGACGGCGACGCCCTGGGCACCCTCACTGCTGCACCCAAGTCGGCACGCTCCACCATTCAGTCGGCGCTGCAGCTGCTGGCCACCGTTTATGGGCCGCCCTCTGACTGTCGCCAGCTCTTCTATGAGCGGCAGAAGGGTGACAAGGAATCGCCACTCGCTTATCGCACGGCCCTGCTGTCATTGGCGAAAGACGCTTTCCCGCGTATGGATGAAGAGGGGATCGATGCGATGGTGGCCGAGAAAATTTTGCTGCTGGCTGACGATCTGGACTTCACCATCTTAGCGCAGGACGATGCGGATATGTCATCACTGCGGGCTGCAAGGCACATTCACGCCAATCTCATCTCCCAGCGGAGGAAGGCGAACAAAGCAGCTGCACGACACACCGTGGCAGCGACCTCTTCCGGAATGGAGGGAGCCTTCGCTGCGGATCGTTCTGCAGGATGGCGATCTGCCGAGCGTCCAGCTCGGGACGTCCCAAGCCACCGAGACCAGCCCAAGTCCTCTGGAACGCTCGTCGTCTGCTATAATTGTGGCCTCCGGGGCCACGTGGCGTCCGGATGCCGGGCTCCTTGACAGCGCGGTGCGAGACCTGGAGCTGCGGACGGCCCTCCTCACAAGCCTTCGCAACATCCTCGGGCAAGTCATGGCACCCCACATGTTCGGCCTGCACACACACCCACTTTCCTATCACATGGTCAGACACACAATTCTCGGGGGTTGGGTGCTGGTGCGTCGGGTCGCGGCATGTCGGGGAGGGCGCTCCAACCGGGCCAATGGTCCGAGTTGGCTCACCGAGTTGTGGCTGCATCGGCGGGGTCGTCCGTTGTCGCGGGACATATTGACGGGGTGGAGGTACGGTTATTGGTCGATACGGGAGCTTCGGCAACTATCATTTCGGATTTGATTTATAATATCCTGCCCGTTCAGAGTCGCCCGTTGCTCCCTGTCGATATACCGTTTTACGCTGCAAATGGGGGCTCGTTGGGTATTATCGGTCAAATTCGAGCGCAAATTTCGATAGGGGACATTAAACTATCTGGGCCGGTGTTCGTCTCTTCCTCGCTGGCTATTCCGTGCCTGTTGGGGACAGACTTTTTGGCCAAATTGCCCATCAAAATTCTGATTGACCAGCAATGCATCGAGCTTCCATCAGGCCGACGTATGACGTTCCTACCTGCCACCCCTGCCTTGCGTGTTGCCTGTGCTACGGTACAGGCGCTTGTTGCTCGGACGGTGCGTGTACCCCCGGGGGCACAGATGTTGGTACCCCTGCGCTTGCGTCGTCCGTTCGATAAAGGGGTCTCTGACCGAGGCGTTATTTTGGGACCATCTAGAGCCGGGGTGTGTGGGCCAGATCTGGTAACGGCCCAGACTATTGTTAAAGGGGATGGGGACCCGTTTATCGCGGTCCTCAATGTCGGGACACGGACGGCAGTGGTTTCGCAAGGTACCGTGTTCGCACATGCGGTTCCGGTACCTGCGGAAACGCCGATCGTTGGCCAGGTGGCCACCGATTCTCAAACGCGATTAGCCTCAGACGCTGACGAGGGTTGGCTGGATGCGTTGTGTGCTGAGTCACCTGACCTGTCCGACGCACAACGTGCTAAATTACGCGCCTTATTGCGAGAATTTTCCGACGTCTTCAGTAAACATAAATACGATATCGGATGTACCGAATTGCTACGCCACCATATTGACACCGGTGACAACGCTCCTATCCGCCAGAATCCTTTTCGGTTAAGTCCCGCCGAAAAGGATCATGTCAAATCGGCTGTAGATGACATGTTGAAATCGGACATCATTTCTCCCTCAACCAGCCCTTGGGGTGCACCCATAGTGTTGGTTAAAAAGCACGACGGGTCCCTAAGGTTCTGCGTTGATTTCCGGCGATTAAATAAGATCTCGGTGGCCGATGCTTATCCGCTTCCTCGAATGGACGAATCGCTGGATGCCCTCGCGGGATCGCGATTCTTTTCCACTTTGGATTTGCTCTCAGGATTTTGGCAACTTCCCTTGGACGACGAATCTAGACCCAAAACTGCTTTCCGAACGCCGCACGGCCTCTTCCAATTCAATCGCTTACCCATGGGATTACACTCTGCTCCCGCGACGTTCCAGCGCCTGATGGAATTGGTCCTCGCTGGCTTGCAATGGGAGGTGTGTTTGATTTACCTGGATGACGTTATCGTATTCAGTAAGACGTTCGAGGAACACCTTGATAGGCTTCGGGCCGTCTTTCTCAAGATGCGCGCTGCAAATTTGAAGTTCAAGCCACAAAAGTGCCACTTGCTGCGCGAATCTGTTAAATATTTGGGTCACATCGTCGGCCGGTCAGGTATCTCAACCGATCCCGCCAAAACGCGTTGTGTCAGCTCCTGGCCTACCCCAACCTCGGTGGGGGAGGTTAGAAGCTTCATCGGCTTTGCTTCATATTACCGTCGGTTTGTTGCGGACTTTGCTTCCATCGCTAAGCCACTACATGCCTTGACGTCAAAAGGGGTCAAATTTCATTGGGGAGCGGTGGAGAACGCCGCTTTTGTCTCTCTTCGGGATGCCCTGGTGGGGGCCCCGCCGTTAAGCTACCCCGATTTTTCCATGCCGTTCGTGCTCGACACGGACGCGAGCAATACCGGGATTGGAGGCGTGCTGTCACAAATTGTGGGTGGCGTGGAGCGCGTTGTGGCTTATGGTAGTAGAGTACTGTCCCCGGCCGAGCAGCGGTACTGCGTCACCCACCGCGAACTGTTGGCTATCGTGTTCTTTATCCAACAGTACCGGCCATATCTGTACGGCCGGCATTTCACCGTCCGTACAGATCATGCGGCGTTGCAGTATGCCCTACGAATTAACCAGCCATCGGGGCAGTTGTCCCGATGGCTCGAGATCATGCAGGATTTCGATTTTGAAACAACTTACCGGAAGGGGATTCGCCACACCAATGCCGATGCCCTATCACGCCTGCCGATCGCCCCGGATTGCACTTGTTTCTTGGGTTCGGGCCGTTGCAAATCGGCAAGTGACGGTCAGGATCGGGTTCTTGCGGCCGCAGTTGATACTCCTTCGGACGCTGGTCCTATTTCGGGGGGTGGGAGTGATTCCCTACTTGGCTTGTCGAGTGCTGAGTGGGGCCGCCTCCAAATGGAGGATGCGACCCTCCTGGCACTACGACGTCGCGCGGAAGGATCGGGTCCAGGGAAGTCGGGCGTTGACTCATGGGGGTGGTGCCAAGGCGTACTCATGCATTGGGACGGGACGATCCGCCGTCACAGGCTGGTGGTGCCTTCCACGTTGAGGGGTAGGGCTGTATGGGCTGCTCATGAACGGCTCCTGCACCTGGGTACCCTCAAAACACTTGCCACGCTCCAGCTTAATTACTTTTGGCCGGGCATGGCAAGAGACGTGGACGATCTGCTGCGGTCCTGTACCCAGTGTGCACAACGGAAGCCGCCGGCGAAGGGAGCCAGTCCACCGCTCCAGTCCATTTCGGTCACCCGGGTTAACGAGCTGGTCGCCCTTGATATTTTGGGACCGTTTCCTTCCACGCCGAGGGGTAATAAGTACCTGCTGGTTGGCGTGGAATATTTCACGCGATGGCCTATGGCTTGGCCCCTCGCCAACCAGTCCGCAGCGGCCGTTGCGGAGGCTTTTGTTCAGGGCTACGTCCTCGACAAGGGCGCTCCGGAACGGTTGTTGACCGATCAGGGCAAGAATTTCACTAGTACCCTTTTACACGAGGTATGTGGCCTTCTGGGTACAAAGAAAGTTCGTACCTCGCCTTACCATCCACAGACGGATGGGATGGTGGAACGCTTGCATAGGACTCTTACGTCCATGCTATCCCACCAGGTATCTGAGTCCCAAAACGATTGGGATCTACGGATCGGGGGAGTCCTGGCGGCATACAGGATGGCTCCTCACGCGGCGACCGGTTTCTCGCCATTTTTTTTGATGTATGGTCGCGAGGTTGACCCGCCTGTCGCGACTCAGCTGGCGATTGCCGCGCCTCATGCTAAGTCAAAAATCGCCGACCATGTTAAATTCAACATCCTTCGCTTGGCGGAGGCACGGCAGGCGGCCATGCAAAACTCTGACTCCCGCCAGAAACAAAACGAGAGGTTGCGGTCGCGCCGGACTCACACGCACGAATGGCACCCGGGCGACCGAGCATGGTTGCACTGCCCCCAGGTGCCATTGGCCACCTCGGCTAAGTTGTTGCGACCATGGAGGGGCCCCGTTGAAATTGTGCAGGTTGTACGGCCTCAATGTGTGCGCATTAAGTGGGGGAAGCGTCGGTGGTTTGTACACCCTTCACGGTTAAAGCCATTTTTTGCTCCACACGCTTCCTCCCACGTAAATGGCCGAACATGTGGGGAGTCCTCTGACTCCGGGGGGGCGGGATCGATGCCAGCCTCTGATCCACTAATGACTGTCCCGTCTTCAGGAGCCCCAGGACTGAAGCCCTCTGGGCTGCCAGCCTCCCCCGTGGGGGGCGGCGCTGGCACGTCCGGGAAACCGGACGACCAGGCACCTGCTGATGCGACACCTGCCACCGACTCTACCAAGCCGGCCCCTTGTGACGGGCCCGCTGCACGGACTCGCGCCAAGACGCGCCGGTTGTTATGATTAGCTTTCCGCGCGTGTTCCGTTGCTGCGGAACCCGCTCATTGTATATATGTTTTTTTGTTGTATGTGTGTGTAATAATGATGACCACGCTATCTGCTTGTTGCTTGCTGTCCATGTAAGTGTGTGCGTGTGTTGGGAATGGACGGAAAGTCTGCTGTGGTTGCTGAGTTTCAAAGGGAGTGTGTGCGCTGCTGCGTGGAGTTGTTATCTTGATGCTATAGTTAATTATTAACGTGGGAGCGTCGGGTACCCTGTGCTGTACCATCTCGTGGGTTACCGTGCGCGAGGGGCTTAATTGACAAAAAAAATGTTTTTTTTTGGGGCTGTATTGTGCTGCGAGGTGCGGTGTGCGATGCGGTCGTTGCATGAGAGAGAATAATTGTGTTGTGGTTGCAAAGTTGCGACGGGATTGAGGGTGTGTTGGTCGCCTGCAGATTTGCTTGCTATTGTGCTTCAATGTACGCGTGTGATCGCGATATGCTGATTGCATGTGCTGTTATACCGTTCTGTATATGTATTGCGGTTCTGCGTGGGGTTTTTTTTTTGTTATATAGGGAACCATCGGTTGATGTTACGCTTGTTCTTGTTATTGTTACTGTTACGAGGCACACGTGTATTGACGGTGTTAATCTTTATTCTTGGGGGTTGAGGGATTGTTGCAGCCGGGACGGCTGCGAGCTGTACAGGGGGGGGTGATGTAGGGGTTATTACGGGAGAAACGGCGGACAACAAACACAGGGTTGTCGGCACTCACATACACGGGTGGTCACACCGACGTCCGCATCAGTTATTGCCCACGCCCCAGCCCTCGGAGGCGATCCCTATAAAAGGTGGAACCCAAAGAGCTCGAGTTCAGTTCGACACGAAGCTGACCAGTGAAGATCCAAGACTCGGAGATTAGGCCCTGGGACTCCCCGGTCTCGCCGTCCTTATAAGGGCCGAGCCGGGTAAGCCAGTGGCGCGGCCCAGGAGCTTCCAGACCGCTGCCCTTGTCAGGGCAAGGCTGGTTAGCTGGTGCCGAGATCTGTGCTTGCCAGGGCCAGATCAGTCAGCCTCCCGTAGCCCAGTAGAGGAGGACTGGGGGACAGGACAGAGGGCTTAGTACTAGGGTGGGTTTCCCATAGTACGGGTGAAGGGGCCGATACCCCTTCAACTATTGTATCTGTCCCGGAGTTAATAAACAGTGTGTCTCAACGTCGACATCGTCTCCTCCGATACTTACTACACCAGTACCAAAATATGAGAATAGGTTTTCCCCTTTTTCATGGCAACAAAACAGGCGTTGAGATGTTAAAGCACCAAACTGGGCGCCTTTTGGCGTCCTCTGGTCTAAGACCGTTTGAGACGAGGCTCAAAAGAAAGCTGCCTCTGGTGTGGACCAATCAGTTTCAAGGACAATGCATATACTATCAGAGTATGTTTTTTGTTTGCATTCTGACCACAAGTATTGTGGTTAATGCAGACATGACTCCTTGCAAAAGGTTTCAGTTTGGTGTTTTAACATCTTAACACCTGTTGCCAGAAAAAGGGAAAAAACCTATTACCATATGTTGGTACTGGCAAAGGAGGTCCCATCATATAACATCAACACTGTAACTAAACCACTATAACTGTAACACTTAAATTATAACACTAAAACTATAGCACTGTAACTATAACACGATAACTATAAAACTAACTAAACCACTAAGCACCTCGTGACTACCCCCACACAACAGCCCCCTGGTTACAACCTCCCCAGAAAGGAGTGGGTCCACACCCAACAGCTTCAGGACCGGTCACAGCCCGTGACTCGCCAACCTCCACCGAAGGGGCATGAGAGCAAGCGCCTTGTGTTTCTGTGGGCTGGAGCAAACCCACGCACCACATCCTAGAAGTCTGCCCAATTCACAAAGTCAGCGGAGGCCGACTCGCCCTCAATACAGCAGGACCGAAAGCAACCGCTTGGCTAAAATAAAAAAATAAAAAATAAACACATTTAAGCGCTGGTGCTGCTCGGACTGACTCTGCACGGTGCTTGGACTCCGAGTCCACGACTCAGAATGCAAGAACGGCGAACGGCAGCCGTGGCAAGAGTTGGAGTGATGACATTCCCCACAGCAACGGCTCTTGCGACTGTCCTGTTGCACTTTGACTCGCGATCCGTTTTGTCTTTTGGCAAATCTTAACCCTTTCCCATTCTGAGACGTCTGCAAGTTGTGTGTGTGTGGGGGGGGGGGGTCGCATTCACTGCTAAATCTCGGCACGGACAAGCAGCTCAGTGTTCATGTTACGTTTAGAGGCGTAGCGCTGTTGTTTTAAAAGACGTTTTACTCGCCACAGAGAAACGTAGCGACACGACTCTACGCAACTCTACGATAGCTGGCGCCAAACTGTGCCACACACCCTCCCGCATGGCCTCGTGGGATCCTCGGTACCAATAAATTCACTTTATTTTTTCTTCTGGTTCCATTTTGACGATGCACACGCACATCATCAGAACAAAATCGGAAAAAAAACTGACGACGCACGCGCACGTGCGTCATCGGAATGGAAAAGGTTTAAGATTAAACAATGTCCCTGTGCTCTGGCCGCAGCTTCTCGGACTCGGACACGCAGCTGGAGCTGGTGCGCCTGCTCGTGACCATCGCCGAGCCGGCGCCGGGCACCGCGCTGCTCCTGCCGGGCCCCTCGCCGCTCCGCGTCGCGTCGTTCATGGGCACGAGCGGCGCCCTCGATCGCTCCGTCCTGTCGCTGGCGCCCGACGCCGAGAACCCGGCGCGCGGCCGCAGCTGCTGGATCCGCGTGCCGAGCGAGGAGACCGGCCTGCCGGCGCACGGCCGCCTCGTCGCGCCCCACCGCGACGGGGCGGCGGACGCGGATTCCGGTCCGGATCCGGAGGGCGGCCGGGGAGACACGCCGCACTCCTTCGGCGCCGGCGACGGCGGCGGAGAGTTGGCGCCACCGCCGTCGCCGGGCGGCGAGAGGTTGAGCGCGGTGGGAGCGGTGCTGGGCAGGGTGCCCTGCGAGCGCTTCCTGAGCATGGGGCTGCGTTACGAGCACCTGAGCCCGCCGGGCCCCGACGTGGACTACGTGCCCCTGGTGCTGGAGATCCGGGATGGCTCGCGCGGCCAGCCGCACAAGGTAGGGCACGCGTGTCGGTGTGTGTGCGTGTCGTGTCTGTGCGTGTGTGTCGTGTTTGTGCGTGTGCGAGTACCTGGTACGGTGTGTAAACATCATCACTAGGGAGAGAAAAGCGGCCGGGCGTGGTGTTGGCCACCTACCCCCTGCCCTTTTGTGACCCCCACGTGCTCTCTGTTCCAGTTTAGTTTGTTGTCCTCCCCCCCCCCCCCGCTCCCGCATCTCCGATGAGCACGGTTGGCTACGTACGGTGCGAAAGAAGTTCAACGTACGTACATGACTGTCGGTCCGTCTGCCCGTGGACTCTCCGTCCGTGTGTGCGTCCGCCCGCAATAGGTGGAGCACATGTGGCTGCCCGTGCACATCGAGGGCGCCGTGCCCAACCAGCCGCCGCACGCCGCCCCCATGTCGTCCTTCATCCTGGAGGTGGACCAGTTCATCCTGACGCCCATCAGCGTCGCCTCGCTCGACGCCAAGGACGGCGAGACGCCGCGCCACGACCTGGTGTTCAACGTCACCGAGCCGCCCGCCGAGGGCTTCCTCACCCACCTGAGCGACCACACGCGGCCCGTCACCTCCTTCACCTGGAGGGACCTCAACGAAATGCTCGTCGCGTACCAGCCGCCCAACTCGAGCCACGCCGAGCGACGCACCTACGAGGTGGGTGGGCGCACGGGGGAGGGGGGGAGAGCGGACATGGCGGGTGGACAGGAGGGCATACAGGTGGGCAGGCACGGGAGCAGGCGGGATGGTGGGAAGGAGGGCGGGGGGTGAGTGAGTGAGGTAAGCGTCAAGCTCTGTGTGGATATTGGACAGAGTGGAGGCTGCCTGTCCATGTCTCTCTGACTGGCTGGTTGTGTTTCTAATACAGCACAGGCAGTCCGTCAGTCTAGCTGGCTGTCGGTTGACTCTGTGAGCGACCGTGTTGGTTTGTTCTACTGGTCAGAGTACAGGCTGGTGGCCTGTCTGACTGTGAGCGTCTGTCTGTATTAATGTCGGTCACTCTGGCTGTGTGTCTACCTAATAGAGCACAGGCAGGGTGCTTGGGGGCCGTCCATAAATGACGTCACTCATCTGGGGGGGGGGGGGGTCAGACAATTGTGACGAGGGGGGGGTGGGTTTGAGAAATGTGACGAAATTTTTTTTAATGATTGTTATTAAACATTTTTATCTTAATGATTCTACCAGGGCATGAATATGTGATTGTTATAATTGTACTCTCCATTTTGCTTTATTTTTTCAATAGTTATAATTACTTTAAATATTTTATAATTATAAGATAATTTCAATATAATATTCTGAACATCTGCAGTTTTAGTTAGACGTTGAATATTTTCAAGTAAATTTTATGCAAAATGTAATCTTTCCAACGCCTCCTTTTTAATATATGTTTTCTCCTACAACATCAGAGTGGAGCGCCACATTAAATACGATTTGAAGCATGTTTTATTTTCAAAATGGAAATATGGTTTTGGGGGGGGCAGAGCTTTGTGACGTCAAATTTGAGTGGGGGTCTGACTTTTGGTGACGCCGTGTGACAAGGGGGGGGGGGGGTCAAAATACGTCTAAAACCGCGTGACGTTATTTATGGACGGCCCCTTATCTCTGTCAGGCTCTGCAATGGCTGCACAGCTGAATCCGAGTCTGTGCAATGGTCTGTCTGTCTAGCTTGCTGGTGAGCGGCTGGACTTTTGCCCATTTGTCCGTGGTTCTGGTGTCACGCACACACAAATGCACACACGCTTCTAACGCGCAGCGCGCACGCGCTTCTAACGCAGACGCACGCACACTCACACGGCAGGCGGAGTTCGAGGTTCACGACTCATACTTCGCTCGGAGCGCCCCGCTGATGCTCCACATCTCCATCCGCAACACGGAGACCAACGCGCCCCGCGTCTCCTGGAACATGGGTGTGCGATGCGCGGCCCCACACGGACACTCGCAAAGATCTCCCACCCCCCCTAACCCCGATAGCCTTGAACAGGCCGTCAAGTGCTGTTGGTGAGGTCCTACGGAGGCCCGCACGGCACACGAAGCGGTGGGTGGCCAGCACCACGCCCTGCCTCCTTTGTCTTCCCCAATGTCGATGTTTGCACACCGTACCGGGTACTCGTTTAAATGCTGAGTCGACCTAGGAGAGGCCCAGGAAGAGTTTGGATATTCGTCACTGCTATTGGCCGTGAGTAGGAATCGTACTCGGGAAGCCGCTCCCCCCACGCGCACACAACAACAGCCACATCACCACAGCGCTTGTGCCAGGCTAGGTGCACTCTGAGGCCACGTGAAGCATGGAAGGAGGTCACCGGACAGTCTTAGGGGATGACAGACCTAGATGGTACCTGCACACCGTTGGGATGCGTGCTCCGGGTCCCAGTGTGTTCCTTATTGTGTCAATTGTGTGCTGTGTGTACGTTGAACTTCTTTAACACCGTACGTAGCCGACCACGCTAATTGGAGGTGCGGGGGAAAGACAATAAACTAAGCGCAAAAATCAGTTCTAAAGAAATTCGTTTTCAAACGAGATGATTTAAAAGTGCATCGCTCCAGTGGCTTCCTAATGTCGGACGGAAGAACGTTCCAGACGACCGCAGAAGCGCAATGCAGTGACCATCTTTGTGTGATGGCTCACCATGCCCCTGTGTGTTCCCGTCGACCCCCCCCTCCATCTCCACCCCCTCCATCTCCCCCCCTACCTCCCCCCTCCATCTCCCCCCCACCCCTACACCCCACGGTCCAACACCCCCCCCGCCCCCGTGTGCACCCCCCCCCCCCCGCCCAGGCCTGGACCTGCTGGAGGGGCAGTCGCGGGCCATCACGTGGGACCGCTTCCAGGTGGTGGACAACGACGACTTGGCCGCTGTGCGCATCCTCGCCGTGGACGGCCTGCAGCACGGGCGGCTCAGCGTGCGCGGTGGGGAGGGTGGGGGGGAGGGTGGGGGGGGAGGGTGGTGCGGGGAGGGCTGGGTGGGGGGGCTCGCCCGGGACGAGGGGGTGGTGTGGGGGGAGGAGGGGGGGTTGTGGGGGGGGGGTCTCACACGTGGGTGGGAGAAGGGGACACGGAGGGGACCCGGGGTGGCTGGGGCACGGCCGTGCGGTGTGCAGCGTGCGCAGTAGGGCAGGCGACGCGTGCAGCCGCAGGCACTCGATGAGTTCTCTCACCCCCCCCCCCCCCCCCCGCAGGAGGCAAGGGCTTCTCGTTCTCGGTGCGCGACCTGCGCGACGGCGCCGTGCGCTACCACCACGACGGCAGCGACGGCGCCCGCGACCACGTGGCGTTCCGCGTGACGGACGGCCGCCACTCTGCGCGCCACTCCTTCCCCGTGCGCGTGGCGCCCGTCGACGACACGCCGCCGGCGCTCGTCGTCGCGCTGGCGCTCGCCGCGTGCGCCGGAGAGACGGTGCCCGTCTCGCCCGAGGTGCTGCGCGCCAGCGACCCCGACGAGCCGCACGACGACGGCAGGGTGCTCTTCACCGTGACGGCGCCGCCCGCCGCCGGGCGGCTGCTCCGTAAGGACGAGCCGGGCGGCCCCGGTGAGTCACTTGGTGATCCGCCAACCCCCCCCCCGCAACCCGCGACTTCGCCTCTCGATCCGTACATATTGTTGGTGCGATGTGTACCGTTGGGTTAGCGATGCGGTGAATTGTCGAGTCTCGCGGTGGTAACGTATGTGTGTATGCTGAACTTCTTGTGCAATCGCGCGTAGCCAACCATGTGAATCGGAGGTGTCTCACGGCATGGTTCGATTCCCGACTCGGGCGCCTTTCCCTGTGTAGTTTTGTGCGTTCTCCCCCTGTCCTGTGTGGAGTTCCTCCGGGTTCCTCCCATAGCTTACAAAAATAAACGAGTGTAACTGGCATTGGTTGTGGCGAGGGCTTCGTGTGCGGTCGTAGCGAGAGCTTTGTATGCGGTTGTGGTGAGGGCTTCAGTGTGCGGTCGTGGCGAGGGCTTCGTGTGCAGGTCGTGGTGAGGGCTTTGTGTGCGGTCGTGGTGAGGGCTTTGTGTGCGGTCGTGGTGAGGGCTTTGTGTGCGGTCGTGGCGAGGGCTTTGTGTGCGGTCGTGGTGAGGGCTTCGTGTGCCAGTCGTGGCGAGAGCTTTGTGTGCGGTCGTGGTGAGGGCTTTGTGTGCGGTCGTGGTGAGGGCTTTGTGTGCGGTCGTGGCGAGAGCTTTGTGTGCGGTCGTGGTGAGGGCTTTGTGTGCGGTCGTGGCGAGAGCTTTGTGTGCGGTCGTGGTGAGGGCTTTGTGTGCGGTCGTGGCGAGAGCTTTGTGTGCGGTCGTGGTGAGGGCTTTGTGTGCGGTCGTGGTGAGGGTTTCGTGTGCGGTTGTAGCGAGGGTTTCGTCTGCGGTCGTGGCGAGGGTTTCGTGTGTGGTCGTGGTGAGGGCTTTGTGTGCGGTCGTGGTGAGGGCTTTGTGTGCGGTCGTGGTGAGGGTTTCGTGTGCGGTTGTAGCGAGGGTTTCGTGTGCGGTCGTGGCGAGGGTTTCGTGTGTGGTCGTGGCGAGGGTTTCGTGTGCGGTCGTGGCGAGGGCTTCGTGTGCGGTCGTGGCGAGGGCTTTGTGTGCAGTTGTAGCGAGGGTTTCGTGTGCGGTTGTGGCGAGGGCTTCGTGTGCAGTCGTGGCGAGAGCTTCGTGTGCGGTCGTGGCGAGGGCTTCGTGTGCGGTCGTGGCGTGAGCAGGGCAGCCCGTGGAGCGGTTCCTGCAGAGGGACCTCTTTGACGGCCTCATCTTCTACGAGCACCGCGGCGGCAAGGAGCTGCACGACTCCTTCGAGTTTGTGCTCTCGGACACACACGAGCCTCCCAACGTGTCCGACAAGCAGGCACGCGCACCCCCGGGGGGCGGGGTTCCAGATGGGGGGTGGGGGGCGGTGGAGGGGGTCGAGGTTGGGGGGGGTCGAGGTTGGAGGGGGTCGAGGTTGGGGGGGGTCGAGATTAGGGGGGAGTTGAGATTGGTGGGGAGGGGGGGAGTTGAGGTGGGGGGGGGGGCCTGCCTGGACGTGTATCGCAGGCTGCAGTGGGTTCACGAACGTTCGTTAATAAGCACTGCGAGGCCTTGGAAGGAAAAATATATAATTGTAGTAATGGGCAACGATTCGGGCAATGCCCCTTCTTCTGCATGGCACATATTGCCCAAAACGTCAACTGTTATATATTTACAGTTTAACGCGTAGTCGGCTTTCATGACCAATATTTTCCATCATCGAGGTTTTTGGGTTTAAGACCGTAACAGGAGGATCTCTCCACAACTCTGGCTGTCGCCTGATTATGCTCGTTGTAATTAGCGGAGAAACGTCGCGATAGTCGAATTGCAAATGTTGTCGTGGGTTTACTCTCCAACACGCCGGCGTGCTGTAGGGGTAAAGAATTGCCATGTTTTCTCGACGTGGTGACAAACCCATCTAGTTGGCTGTGTCCGGTGGTGGCGGGCTTAACGTCGCATTTTTATTCACGCGATGTAACCCCAAAAACATCTGAGGATCACAAATGCCGCTGACGGGGACGCGTCGAGCACCGCGCTCCGTCCATGCCGTGCGGCCGCGAACGTCGTCCGCTCGTCCGACTGACCCCCCCCACCCCCCCCACGCTCGCGCGCAGACCATGACGGTGCACGTGACGCCGGTGGACAACGAGGTGCCGCGTGAGGTCGCGGGCGGCGTCGGGCGCGCCCTGGCGGTGCGCGAGACGGAGCTGGCGGTGCTGACACGGGAGATGCTGCGGTTCAGCGACGCCGACACGCCCCCACAAGAGCTGCTCTACGTCCTCGTGCGGCCCTGCCGATTCGTGGACGGCGCCGGGTGAGGGTGGCGGCCGTTGGCTTGCCGGCGGTTTTGAATCGTCGTGGTATCACGGCGGCGATGTTACGATACCGCGTGCATGTTGACCGTCCCCGCGACGTCATTATAGGCGCACGTCTGCCAAACTTGTCCCATAGTTTGGGTTTTGCTGGATTTGGCGGTCCCGTCAGAACTGGAGTTTAGCCACGTGAAGTGCAGAAGCTTTTCTTTAGAACCGCTGACTGTGTTCAGTTTGTTGTCCTTCCCCCCTGCACGCCCGATTAGCGCGGTTGGCTACGTACGGTGCGAAATAAGTTTATGATACATACGTACAACCGAATTTAAGTGAAAGGTTTTATATTTGTTGGTATCCGGGACCATAAACTCTGTACAATTGGGTAAATCCAATTAAACCACAAGTGGTGGAAACCTCGATGTCTGTCAACAATGTCAGGAGCGCCAGCTCAGCGCTTGGCCTCCACACGGCACTGCGTCCGAGTCGGTTCTTCTCGATGCACGGCGGTGACTACACAGCTGCACGAGGCTGCCTGTAATCCAGCGCTGTAGAGGTAGTGTAATGTTCTTGGAGGGAGACGGAGTCTTCGTAGAGGCAACACGCTTCATTTTACCAAACAGTTTACACTAATCCCTAACACAAAGGGGTAATGGCCCCTTCCACCCACAACCTGGGGAGGTACAGCCTCCGGGCTATCGTACCTACAACTCTCCCTAGTTGAGCCCTCCGGCTAGCTAAACCTAGGGGAGGCTGACCCACCGCTGGCCCAGTGGGTCCCTGACCACTGGCCCGTCCGGACTTGGCCCTTACAAGGGCATCAGGCCGAGAGAACCTCAGGGTCCTAACCCCACGACCACTGGCACCGCCCTGAGCCCCGGCCCTTAGAAGGACCTCGGCGGCTTGGGGTCCAGGGTCTTCTTCTTCTTCAGGCGGCTTCTGGCTTCGGCTTGAGACGGACTGACTCGCACTCTCAGGGACCCGCCTTATATACTCTTTCTCCCTGAGGAGCGGGGCTCTGGGGGATCGTAGCTCCTGCCAGCCCCGTCCCCTCAGAGGGGTTCCAACCGCCGTTGGCCCGACCGGTCTGGACCGGTTTCTACCCCTCCCCATGGTTGTGGCGCATGTGTGTCAATCATGACCACCACAGTAGCAGCAAGGGTTGGTGGATCACGAGCCTCACGATGAGGAGGTGCCGCTGGCATACCCTGGCTCTGCCAGAAGCAGATGGGATAGAGTGTTTCCCCCTCGCACGCGTGGGTTTACTCTGGAGTGCTCCGGTTTCCTCCCACATTTAAACACTCATTAGCTCTTTCGTGTACGTCATCAGTTTTTCTTCCGATTCTGTTCCGATGACGTATTTGTACATCATGAAAACGAAACCATGAAAATAAGTGTATCGGTACAGAGGCTCCCATAAGGCCGTGCGGGAGGGCGTGTGGCACAGTTGAGCCGCTCGCGCGTTCCGAGATTCAGAGGCGAACGGGACCGCCCACCCTGCAACTTGCGGACGTCTCCGAACGGGAAAGGGTTAATTGGCCGGTAACACCTTCACATATAGAGGACCGCAGAGCTCGGGCGATTGTGGCCGCCGGCTCTCCGTGTGACCGCCTTCCCGCTCGTCAGTGGTTCCCCACGTCTCTGAGAGTCGCTCTTTGCCTTAGAGAGCGAGCGGACGCTGGACGTCGCGGCGTCACATGTTGAATTTTTAAAAAAATTTCGTGACCGGACGTCGACTCACCGCACCCGAGAACCCAGTTTGATGGGGGGGGCGGGTGCCCGGATTTGAACCCAGGATCTTAGCGGTTGCCAAGTGCTCCCTGAGCCCCGAGCCAGCCGGCCTCCTGCCTGGTTTAACGAACATCGAATGCTGCCGGGTTTATTTATTTATTTGTTTATTTTTTCTTTTTTTCCTCCGGGGTTCTCCGTGCAAGAGATTCATTGTGGGACTGTCGCGGCAGCGTTGACGTCGGCTTGCATCGTGTGCCTCGACAGCGGATCCCTGGACGCCGGGAAGCTCGTGTCAATGGACAGCATGACCAAGGCGACGAAAGACGCTTCGGTGGCTGAGATCCGCTCCTTCACACAGGTTGTTGTCATAATTATTATTATCTGGCCGTCGCCTGATGAAGCTGGTTGTAATTACTGGCGGAACGTCGTACTTGGATTGTAAATGTTGAGGCTTGGCTCTCCCACACACCGGTGGTGCTGTACTAGTGACGATTTGGCCACGTTCCGTTTACGTGACAACCCTTACTAGTTGGCTATGTCGGGTGGTGTCGTTTTAATGACACATTTATATATTTACGCGATCTAACCCAAAAAAACCTTTATTATGGATTATTATTATTACTACTACTGCGATGCTTCATTCGGCAAGAAACTAACCCCGAGTTCGATTCCCGCTCACGGCCAACACCGGTGACCATTATCTGAACCGGTCCTGGGCCTGCCCTAGGCCTCAAATGAGTACCTGGTGCGGTGTGTAAACATCGCCACTCGGGAGACAAAGGCAGTCGGGCGTGGTGCTGGCCACACCACCCCCTAGTGCGCCGTGCCGGCCTTCATAGGTGCTCACTAACAGCACTTGCCCCAACAGTCTGTTTAAAACTCATTTCTTTGGAACTGCTTCATTGTGTTTAGTTTCTTCTCCTTCCCCCACACCTCCAATGAGCACGGTTGGCTACATAGGGTGGGAAAGAAAGAAGTTCTACATACGTACATGCATATGTAGGCTACCCGGGTGACCTTTGTGTGTGTGTGTGTGCAGCACGCCGTGAACCACATGAAGGTGGCGTACATGCCGCCCATGGCCGACGTGGGGCCCTGGCCGCGGTCCGTGGAGTTTGCCTTCACCGTCACCGACCGGCACGGCGGCGTGGCCGAGGGCTTCACGTTCAACATCACCGTGCTGCCCGTGGACAACCAGCCGCCACAGGCACGCGCACGCACGCACATGCGCACGCACGCACACGCACGCACACACACGCACACACGCACACACACGCACACGCGCACGCACGCACACGCGCATGCACGTGTGTCGGGTGGTGTGAGGGTGTTGACGACGCGGATGTGATTGGATCGTTACCGCGGCACCTAATCCAACAATTGATTACGAAATTGGTAGGAGGTCACCGGACGCTTGTCGGTATCGTCCGCGAATGAAGAGGGGACAGCAGGCACCCGCAAACGAACCTGTGCGCCTATGCGTTCGTGCGTGTGCGTTCGTGCGTGCGTGTGCTTGACGAGTATCTGAATCTGTGCTGGGCCTTTCGTAGGTCGACTCAGCCTCAAATGAGTACCCGGTGCGGTGTGTAAACATCGCCACTCGGAGACAAAGTCGGCCGGGCGTGATAGGTGTTCGCTAGCAACACCTGCCCCAAGAGTCTGTTACGGCTATACGGGAGATCTTTGTGTGTCATGTACACGTGTGTGCGTGTGTGTGTGCGCGCGTATGCGTGTGTGTGCGTGTGTGTGCGCGCGTATGCGTGTGTGCGTGTTTGTGCCCGCATGTGTGTGCGTGTGTGTGTGCGCGTATTTGCGCATGTGTGTGCGCGCGTGTGTGTGTGCGCATGCAGCTGGAGGTGTTCCCCGTGCACGTGGACGAGGGCGCGTGGTGCGCCCTGGGGGAGGAGGCGCTCTCCGTGTGGGACGCCGACTCGGAGGCGGCGGCGCTGGCGCTGCTCGTGTCGCGCCGCCCGCGCCACGGGGAGCTGCTGCTCGACGGCGTCGCGCTGCTCGAGGGCGACCGCTTCACGGCGGCGCACGTACGGGACCTGCGGCTCACGTGAGCGCACGCGGCGCGGCGGCGAGTTCACGTGCGCTACGGCAACACGCGGCACGGCCGCACGCGCAGACGCACGAACACGCGCGGCGTACCACGTAAACAACAAACACGGCGCGGCAACGCGCGGGAAGTGTCGCCGTTGACGTCGTTGGAAACTTGTACCGACCGCGATGCCGTCGGCAGTTATCAGCACGACAGCTCGGAGACGCTGGAGGACGACGTCGTGATCACGGCCACCGATGGCACCAACACCGCAGAGGGAGTCCTTCACATTCAGGTGACCGAGGGATGCACGCACGGACTTGTGACAAGACGGAGAGTGCTAGCATTAAAGCGCCGTCTTAACCCTCTCCCGTTCCGAGACGTCTGCACGTTGCAGGGTGGGGAGCTCCCCGAGCGGCTTGGTGTAAAATTTATTCAGATAGGCGCAGCGCCGCTGTTTTCTAAAGCACTGTACTGTGCTCACCGCAGAGAACCGTGGCGACACGACGGCACTCTGCGATAGCCGGCGCCAAACTGTGCCACGCGCCCTCTTACTTCCGATTCCGTTCGCAATAGTTTCGATGACGCACGCACGTTTCGACGTACACGCACGTAGTCAGAACCGATTCGGGCAGAAAAGAAAAAAAATAAACTGATGACCGTTCATTATCGGAACAGGTGAAGGGTTTCGTTTGAAAGCGTCAAAAACAACCACAACGCAAAACCTGACTCCTACCCACACTTGCCTCCCCCCCGATCCCGCAGGTCTCCCCCGTCAATGACGAGTCCCCCCAGCTGCTGGCCGGGCTGCTCCCCGAGCTGCCGTGCCCCGAGGGGGGCGCGGTGCCCGTGACGGTGGCCCACCTGGCGGCGCGCGACGCCGACAGCGCGACGGGCCGCCTCCTCTACCTGGTGGCGCGGGCGCCGTCGCTCGGCGCGCTCACGCGGGCCGGCGTGCCCACGCTGCGCTTCACGCAGGGGGACGTCGCGCGGGGGCTCATCGCGTACACTCACACGGGTACGCGGGGGGTGCCAGGGCACGTGCACGTGGTTATACGTGCGTGGGTCACGTGAGTGTAGCCCTGACAGACTGTTGGGGCAAGTGCTGTTAGCGAGCACCTATGAAGGCCGGCACGGTGCACGAGGGGGTGGGCGGCCAGCACCACGCTCGGCCGCCTTTGTCTCCCCAGTGACGTTGTTGACACACCGCACCAGGTACTCATTCGAGGCTGAGTCGAAATAGGTGAGGCCCAGGACCGGTTCAGATAATCGTCACTGGTGTTGGCGCAGCGCGTTAACCGCTGCACCACCGCTCCCCATAACCGCTCTGACTTGGGTGCACACACAGACACACGGGTACGCACGCGGGGATATGCGCGCACCCACGGGTGGGTACACACGCATGGGTCACGCATGGGTCACACACACACGCGACCTGAAATCGGTGAATTGGTCAGAAGTGTCGCAGTTTCACTTCTCAAATCTTTGACCCTTTCTGGAAATAATACTACATTTTAAACACCAAATAGACACCCATTATTACAAGGCATCAAGCAACCATTAACCACACATATTTGTGGTGAAACATACGAACATTTGCTTTCATAACGTACGCAGAACTTGAAACCGATTGGCCGGCACCAGAGCCAGCGTCTTTCATGGCTGTGTCTCACCGGTGCTAGGCGCCTTGTCATCGGTGCAGTCTATTTGGTGTTTCTTAACACCTCTTGAGTCTCAACACCCTCCTGTATTACATCCTCCGCGGAGCATCTGTGAAACTTACTGGACATCTGTGAAGAATAACTTTACAGCTCGTGGGATACCTCCGGTGATTCTGATGTCAACTTCCCGTTATTCTTGGCCACGTCTATTTGATCACCTTCACATTGGCAACAAGGGTCACGTAGACAATCCGTTTGTCCGCCGGTCCGTCCGCGTCTCCGCAGGAGGGGAAATCGGACTGCATCCCGTCCACGACACGGTGACGCTGGTGCTGTCCGACGCCGAGGCTGGCAGCAGAGCGGACGGCGCCGGCGGCGACGACGACGACGACGGTGCAGAGGGAGGCGAGCCGCCCCCGCTCCCCGCTCACGACTCGCTGCCCATCCACGACCTCAACATCACCGTGACGCCCGTCGACAACGAAGCGCCGTCGCTCACCGTGGGTGCGTGCGGGGCGCTCGCAGGGCCCCCGGGGACATTCCTCGAGGACGGCCGCTCGTTACGACTGAGCGGCGGTCTTCGCACGATCAGCTTCCTGTTGCGCTCGGCCACGTCGAGATATTGGAAGCTGTTGAAGTGACGCGAACTTCGGGCGGTACTGACGAGTGAGGTACCCGGTCTGAGCTCACCCGGACTAAATGTGGCGCGAACATCCTGAATAACCAGAGCTCGACGTAACAACAGTGATGCCATGCGCTTACGGCACCGCGGTGGCTAGGAGATGTTGACTACCTCGCCTGGTATGCAGGAGGTCGTGAGTTCGACACCCTGACGCCTGCTGCTGTATATTTGGAGTTTGCGTGTCTCTCTCTCTCTCATCATCATCACGGTGGCTAGGAGATGTTAACCACCTTGCCTGGTATGCAGGAGGTCGTGGGTTCGATCCCGACCCTGACGCCTGCTGCTGTATATTTGGAGTTTGCGTGTCTCTCTCTCTCTCTCATCATCATCACGGTGGCTAGGAGATGTCAACTACCTCGCCTGGTATACAGGAGGTCGTGGGTTCGATCCCGACCCTGACACCTGCTGCTGTATATTTGGAGTTTGCGTGTCTCTCTCTCCCCGTGGTCGCGTGGATTTGTCTCCGGGTCCTCGGGTTTTCCCTCCACGCGGCGGATAACCATCATCGCCGGGGAGACGACCGTGGTCGCTGCGTGGTTGCTGGCCACACCACACACCCACCCCCGCGGGAAACTCCGCTGCCGGCACTCGTACCGTGCGCTCGCGATGACAACGCTTGCCCCGACCGGCCCCCGTGTGTCTTACAGTGGGGGGGGTTGGGATCTTTACCTTTGGTTGTGTGGCGGTGGCACAGGCGCGGTGCTACTGGTAGAGGAGGCGGGCCGCGTCCGCGTGTCGGCGGAGCACCTGACGGCGCTGGACCCCGACACGCCGCCAGAGCGGCTGCTGCTCGTGCTGGTGGCGCCGCCGCGCTTCGGCTTCGTGGAGAACACGCGGCCGTCGCCCGGCCACGAGCGCAGCAACGCCGGCATCAGCGTCGGTACGGTGCTGCCCGGTCGCCTCTTTCACGCACGTGTGCGCACGCGCGCAACCCGCACGCGCGTGCGGCGCGTTTGGGGAGACGCACGTTTGGATCTGGCGCACGGCCTCGCGAAAATATGCACGTGAACGCAAAAGCGACGATAACGATGGTGATAACGATGGTGATTACGATGGTGATAACGATTATGAAAACAATGATCAATATAACGATGATGATAAAGATGATTAAAACAATGATTATAACAATGATGATAATAATGAGGATAACGATGATGATAAAAATGATGATGACGATGATTATCACTGCCCAGTTGGTTGAGCCGCACCTGCTTCAACATTGTCTCCCGTTTATGTCCTTCCCTCTCCTTCCCTCTCTTCCCCCCCACCCCCCCCCCCCCCCCCCCCCCACCGTGCTCTCTGCTGCTGCTGGTGCTGCCCTAGGCTCGTTCTCGCTGCACGACCTGCTGGCGGGCCACGTGAACTACGTGCAGTCGCGCCACGAGCGCGTGGAACCCACGGGCGACCAGCTGGCGCTGCACGCGACGGACGGCGAGCGGCGCTCACGCGACCTCGTCCTGCACGTGCTCATCGCGCCCGCCAACGACGAGCCGCCCGCCCTCGTCGCGCACAACATCACGGTGGGCGGGCCGCGGGGCCCCCACGCACGCACCGCGTGGGCGCCGGCGGTGGTCGTTACGGCTCCCGGCTGTCGGCGTTCGCTATTGTCGTGAGCGTCGTCGTCGTCGTCATCAAAGAAGTTCAAAATATCCAAATACATCATCGTGAGCAGGAGCAACTGCTCTAGCGGTATTAGCGATTGATGATTGTCAACAGCAGCAGCAGTTGCAGCAGTGTTAAGGATTAAGGTCATCGTCATCGTCATCACCGTTGTGATCATCTTGACGATCATTTCATTAAAAGAGGGTTTATCAACTCTCTACCAAGCCGCTCACTGTTCTCTCTCTCTACTCTTCTCCTCTCTCTTTCTCCTTTCTCTCCTCTGCCTCCCGCCATCTCCCAGGTGCTGGAGGGACACAGCAGGGAGCTGGGACCGTCGGTCATCGACGCCGTCGATCTGGACGTCCCCGCCGACGCCCTCCGCTTCTCCGTGGTGGCGGAGCCCCGGCACGGGATCCTCGTGTGCGGCGCTCGTGGCGCCGACCCCACGCGGCGGCGCCGGCTCACGGGGACGCAGCAGCACGACGGCGCGGAGAGCCACGCCGGCGGCGATGACGCCGTGATGACGTCGTTCGGCATGGAGCAGCTCAAGCAAGGCACGCGGCGCCAGCGCGGCGCTGGCATTTAGGCGTGGCGCACTCGCGAGATGTTAACTACCTCGCCCGGTATACAGGAGGTTGTGGGTTAGATCCCAACCCTGACGCCTGCTGCTGTATATTTTGAGTTTGCGTGTCTCCCTCCCCGCGGACACGTGGATTTTTCTCCGGGTCCTCCGGTTTTTCCCTCCACATTTGGAATCAACATCGCGCGCTTAGAGTCTTGGCTGCAATACATTTCCACGTGATGAGCCATTTTGTTGGGCTGACATTTGTGGCCAGGTTCGCTACTGAGAAAAATAGTTGATCGTTTTTAGTTCATTCTGCTGCTTTCTGTTCGTCTTCCATCGTTTGGTGTCTACCATTGGGGCACATCCGCCGGCAGCTCTTTTTACCGAGGTCCGCGCTGCTCCACGCATCTTCCCTGAGCTGCTCAGGGCCGTGGTTGCGCTCGGTATGTGCGTGTGCACTTGTGTGGGCACGTGTGTGTGGGGAGCGGTGGTGTAGCGGTTAGCGCTACGATCCTAGCGATTCCCGCTCACGGCCAACACCGGTGACGATGATCTGAAACGGTCCTGGGCCTCCCCGAAATCGACTCAGCCTCAAATGAGTACCTGGTGCGGTGTGTAAACATAGCCGCTGGGGAGACAAATGTGGCCAGGTGAGGTAGCTGGCCACCCACCCCCTCGTGTGCCATTTCGACCTTCATAACAGCACTTGCCCCAACAGTCTGTTAAGGCTATACGGGGGATGTTTGTCTTTGGCATATGCGTGTATATATGCACGTGCGAGAGACGGTATGCGTGTATTAGTGTTTGTGTGTGAGTACAGAACTGACTGTATATATATGGAGGCGGCCGGGCGTGGTGCTGGCCACTCACCCCCCTCGTTGCGCCGTGCCGGCCTTCATCGGTGCTGCTCGCTCACAGCACTTGCCCTAACAGTCTGCTGAGGCTATACGGGGGGATCTTTGCCTTTGTAGGGGGCTTGCGAAGGACACTACTGCCATACACGGTGGGTCGATCGGGGGGATCTCTGTCTTCACGGTGTCTCCGTCTCCCCCTCTCTCTCTAACCGTCCCCGCCGGCGCGCAGGCCTGGCGCTGACGTACGTCCACGACGGCTCGGAGAGCGCCGACGACGCGTTCTCGGTGCGCGTGTGGGACGGGGCGCACGCCGCCACGGCCACCGTCAACGTGCGCGTCCAGCCGGTCAACGACGAGCCACCGCGCCTTACGCGGTGAGCCCTCGCGTGGGGAGGGGGGGCCACCCCACCACCGCCCCCCGCGGCGAGCCGTGCGCCGCGCCGCTGAGAACGAGGCCCTCATGCGGCATCGGACAGAGCGAGGGGTCGGCAAAGCTGCGGCCCCCGGAGCCGCGTGCGGTGGCTCTTCAACGGGCTCCTTCGTGACGTCACTCGTCGAGGACCGCCCTCTCGTGTTCGCCGCAGTGCATTGCGCGGTCCCTTTGAAATATTGAGGGCGGTTTGTTGTTTGTTTGTTTGTTATCGAATTCGAACACGCACGCAAAAAAAATGTTTCTTCTTGTTATTTTGGTTTGCCGACCACCGGCCACAACGAACCTCCCGGCTCACCCGTGCGTTGGTTCCACGTCGAGTGCACGGCCGCGTTGTGACCGCGGCGCCGCTGCCGTACTCCCCGTGCAGGAACGCCGGGGCGTGGGTGGATTGGGGCGAGAGCCGCGTGATTTCCAGCGCCGAGTTGGACTCTGAGGACGGAGACACGGGACGCGACGGCGTCTCCTTTGTGCTCGCCGGCGCGCCCCAGCAGGGCTCGCTGCAGCACAAGGTGCGAGCTTGCCGGCATCGCATCGCCCCACTACATTGTATCACATTGCATCGCCCCACTACATTGTATCACATTGCATCGCCCCACTACATTGTATCACATTGCATTGCCCCACTGTAGTACATTGCATCGCCCCACGCTTGTTTCTCCGCTGCCAGTCGGACGGGGGCGAGTGGCGTGAGCTCCTCGCCGGCGCCGCCTTCTCCCAGGAGGACGTGGACGAAAACCGCGTGCGCTACCGGCACCGCGCGGCGCCGGCGCCGGCGGCGGCGGCGCTGCACGACTCGTTCCGCTTCACGCTCACTGACGGGGACAACGCTGCCCCCACTTCCTCCTTCGTCGTCTCCATTCGCGATGCGCTCAAGGGCAAGTGGCTCGCGCGGGGATGGGGGGGCGGGCGGGGGGGTGGAGGGGGGGGTGGGGGGGTGAGGGTGAAGGGGGCGGTAGAGAGAGGGGGGTGCCCCGGAACTGCGCAGGATAAAAAAAAAATCTGGCCAGAAAGTTACTAAACATGATTATGATGTGCGTAATAATATCTTGTTCTAATATATTTGCGTAGTTTTTACTTCATTTAGTGAATTGTCGAAGATCAGAGTGCACACCCTGCTAGTTTAGTTTTCATACTTTAGTTTAGAGTGACTTGATAACCCCGCTCATTTTACAGGTCATCACACCGTTAACTTTGATTGGCCACATAAAGAAACTGTTGGTACCAACAAGTGAGATATCTGGTCTGTGCTCGTGATCGATAACCCTCACCCCAACCTTGCCCCCTAATCCTGCCAATAACCTTTTTTTTTACATTTTATTTTACCAGGTAAGGCCCACTGACCTGGCCACAAATGATAACTCATCAAAGTGGATTATCATGTGGAAATTTACCGAAGCCAAATATTCTAAATGCATGTTGTTGATTCTAAATGTGGAGGGGGGAAAAACCAGAGGACCCGGAGGCAAATCCACGTGGCCACATGGAGAGAGACACGCAAACTCTAAATATATAGGCGTTCCGGTCGGGATCGAACCCATGATCTGGGTTCGATCTTGCCACCCTGGCGTGATGTTAACGACTCGTGATCCTAACCCTGCGCCTGAATTCAACCGTGACCTTTAACTCTAAACCTGCTTCTGGCCCTGACACTAACCCTAAGATTGCCTCCAAATTGTACGTATGTATGTTGAACTTCTTTCGCACGGTACGTAGCCAACCGTGCCAATCGGAGGTGCAGGGGAAGAACAACAAACTGAACACAAATAGCACTTGTTGAGAAATGTGTTTTCAAATCAGGATGTAAAGTGGATAGCTCCCAGCGGCTTCCTAATATCAGAGCGTTCCAGATAGCCGCAGAAGCGCATCTGAAAGCGTGCGATGCAGTGACCATCTTCGCTTGATGACCATCTACACGGATCGAGGAATGAGTGACAGCGATCGAGGGGGCCTTAGGGGGATCACGAAAAGGGTAGAGGAGAGGGACGGGAAGGAGCGGAGGGGCGAGCGGAGCGGTGGGGAAGAGAAAGGGCAGGAGAGACGAGGCGACACTTTAAGGGGGCACCACCCACCCACCAGCAGCCGGCCTCGAAGGTACAGGGCGCCGTGGCTGGGGGGCTCCGTGACGACGTAGCGGAGGTCCTGGGGGGCCGTGTCGGGGCCGGTGAGACGGAGGGACGGCGCTCGTGATGGCCGCCAGCATTCCCTTGGTCACGTACGGGCTGCCGTTTAAAAAAATTAATTCACCCTGACCCTGTCGCTAACCCTAACCCCTCCCCCCAGCATACTAACCCTAACCCGAACTCCATCGTTCACTCGGACCCCAACCGCCCCCCCTCCCCTTGACCTTTGTCCCTTGACCCCCGCCCGCAGGTGACATCGCTTTGCGGACGGGCCGCGTGTCGGTGGCGGCGCGCGACTCCGCGTCGCTGTCGGCCGACGCGCTGCTCGCGAGCGACGCCTCGGGCCGCCCCGACGAGCTGCTGTTCGTGGTGACGGCGCCGCCGGCGCTCGGGCGCCTGGAGCTGGCGTCGAGCCCGGGCGTCGGCGCGGGGAGGTTCACGCAGGCGGACGTGGCGGCGGGCGCCGTGCGATACGTGCACACGGGGCCCGCGGGAGCCGCGCGCGACTCGTTCAGGTGGGAGACGACAAAGACAAAGGTTTCCCCCCCCCCACCCCACACACCACCACCACCATGCCCATGTTTGACTGCGAGCGGGAATCAAGCTTGGATAACCCGCCCCACGGATAATGGTGAAAGTTTCGCTGCAGAGCAGTACTCTTCATCGCAAGGCCCGCAGGCCACTGTCGGCCCCCCTGTGGCCGTGAGTGCGGCCCCTCACACTGATGACGTCTTATCGGCGAAAGTTCACCCCCCCCCCCCACACCCCTCTAAAAATGGATGATAGACACTCCTGTGTAGACGCTCGTGGCCCCCCTGTGTATGTGGCGCTGCGAGGAGGCCCGCTGGCTCAGAAGTTCGAGCGCTTTGCCGGAGCTCCTGAGATCGTCGGGAGACATCCACGCTTCGGCCACTTGTGGTTGCGCGCGGATTGACAATTGTTTGAGATTTTTACGGTCTCAGCCCGGGACGCCAAAAAAATAAGAAAAAACTAACACTTCAATTTGGTTCTCCGCTCAATGTGGCCCAGAATTCCAATCGCTGAGAAAAACAATCATACGTAGCTGTTTGACTGCCATGCGATGAACGTTACTCTGAGTGGCAGGGCGGGTGGGAGCATGCTTACTCGTGCGTGGACCAGAGCTCACTTGACGGGAAAGCAGAGATATTGTGTCCAAACTCATTTTTTATTGTTGTTGAGCATTATGGGTCCCTCCCTCTCATCCCTCCCTCCCTCTCCTCCCTCCCTCCCTCTCCTCCCTCCCTCTCCTCCCTCCCTCTCCTACCTCTCTCCCTCTCCTCCCTCCCTCTCATCCCTCCCTCCACAGTTTCCTGGTGAGCAATGGCCTCCGCACGAAGCTAGGCTCGGTGGACATCGACGTCGAGTCCCGGGACGTCCTGCCGCCCACGCTGGAGCGCAACGGCGGCCTGCGCCTCGCCGAGGGGACGCTGGCGGCCATCACGAGCGCCGCCCTCCATCTCACCGACCCCGACACGGCCCCCCAGGACCTCCGCTACGTCGTCACGGAGCCCCCCAGACACGGCGCCCTGTACCTTCGAGGACAGCTGCTGGTGGGTGGGTGGTTGGGTGGTTTGGGTGGGTTGGGTCGGTGGATGGTTGGGTTGGGGAGGTCGGTGGTTGTGTTAGTTGGGTGGGTGGGTTCGGTGGTTGCAATGGCGGAGCCAGGATTTTCAGGTAGGGGGGCAACCCCTCCAGCAATGAAAAATGATAGAGGAGTTGTTAGTAAGTAAGGACTTGTCCCTTGCTTTTTATTCGACGCGTGTGCGGCGATGGCGCAGCCATCGATCGAGGGTCAAATTCGAACCGCGTTGTGTGATCAGCATCGCGCTCGCTGAAGGTGAATGCCTTCAGGGAAGTCGTGTCCTGTATACGCAACTGCGCACAATTCTGAGTCACTTATAGCTGCTTTGCCGATTACTTATTGCCAATTATGGACTATTGTCCTATCATCTCATAGAGTCCCTGCCACGTAATAATATGCTGCACGGTGGCAATGGGGATCGCAAAATGCCGATTTATTACTAATAAACCCAAATGATCCAATCAAAATTAGGTATTTCGATCGGATCATTGGGGGGGCATGTGCCTGGTTGGTTGGGTGGGTGGGTTGGGTGGTTGGTGCCCTCTTAAAGCTTCACCTCTTCTCCATTGCCCATTCCCGGCTCCAACCCCAGCTCCCTGTGCAGGCACCCCCAGCACCGGCCGCCCGATCCCCCTCTCCTAACCCCAGGTCCCCCACACCTCCAATTAGCGCGGATGGCTACGTACGGTGCGACGGAAGTTCAACAAACATACATAAATTATCTTCCTCTTCCCTCCCGTCGCCCATTCGACTCCTTCCCGTCCCTCCCCTACACACTTTCGCGATCCCCCCTCTATCGCTGTCACTCATTCTTCAATACCTTGTAGCGCACACCCCTGCCAACAGCATCATTCCATTCTGTGTTACCTTGAGTGAAGGCACTCTATAAATATCAATTAGATTCGAATCACGTACGGTGGTAACACTGCCATTTATACAAAATGTATTACCCTATTTTCCGGATTATAAGACACCCTGGAAATTACGACGCACTGCACACTTTGGGGGAAGGTGCACTGCCCAGAAGACCGTGCGGCTGGAATGTGGCGAGATGTTAACTACCTCGCCTGGTATGCAGGAGGTTCGTGGGTTCGATCCCGACCCTGATACTTGTATATTTGGAGTTTGCACGGAGTTTGTGTCTTTCTTTCCGTGGTCACGTGGATTGTTCTCCGGTTTTTCCCTCCACGTTTAGAATCGACGACACGCGCTTAGAGTCTTTGGCTGCTATAAATTTCCACCTGATGATAAGCCACTTCCTTGACCTATCATTTGTGGTGGCCAGGTCGCTTCTGAAAAGGAGCTCACTGGGCCTTACCTTGTAAAGTAAACAATGGTTTAGTTTAATAGATAATACAACGTTTTCTTCCTTTGCCTCTCCTGCTCTTCCTCTCTTCCTCGCCCTCTCCTCGCCCGTCAGGCAGTGGACGAATCGGGCTCGCCGGCGTTCACCCAGCTCGACGTCGACCAATCGGACGTGGCGTACCGGCACTCGGGAGGACCCGCTCACCTCGACCACTTCTCCTTCCTGGTTCGCGACCCCACCGACCAGGGCGTCCTATTGGAGGGACGGCTCACGCCACAGCCAATCGTCTTCAGCATTCAGGTGAAAGAGCGCAAAGAAGTGAGGCACGGGGGGGGGGGTGGGGGCTTTGACCTTTGGATCGAGGTCACTCGTCTGCCCTCGTAATCTGGAACTCTCCCTTCCCCCCCCCCCCCCCCCACGATCTCCACTGAATGTTCCGCGGCCCCTGTTCAAGTTCCCGTCTCAAGACTTTCCTCTCCTCCTCCTCCTTCTCCTGCCTGTGACTGACTGCCTCACTCTCCGTTAGCCGTGTCCCCTCTCAGAGACGCAATCACGGCCTTCCTTCCATTTAGCCCTGCTCATGATATTCGCTCAACAACTTTGCATGTACTTATTTCGCACCTTCCGTAGCCAACCGCGCTAATCGGAGGTGCGGGGGAAGGACAACAAACTAATTGTTGCTGCTGCTGCTGTTCTTGCTGCTCCCACTGTTGTTGTCGCTTCTGTTGCTGCAATTGTCTCTGTTGCTGCTGCTGCTGTTTGCTTTTCCTGTTGCTGCTGCTGCTGATGTCACTGCTGCTGTCGTCCCTGCTGCTGCTGCTGATGTCACTGCTGCTGCTGATGTCACTGCTGCTATCGTTAATGCTGATATCGTCACCGCTGCTGTCGTCAATGCTGCTGCTGATTTCACTGCTGACGCTGTCGTCACCGTTGGCATCGTCGTCGTCGTCGGTGGTGGTGGTGGTGGTGGTGGCGCTGGCCCCAGGTGGAGCCTCTGGACCGCGTGGCACCGCGCGTCACGCTGCTCTCTCCCCCGCGCTCCGTCGAGTCGCTCCGGGGCGGCCGCTACGGAATCCGCATCACGATCCGTCACCTCCGTGCCACCGACCACGACGACGACGCCGCCGGCAACGACGAGGACATCACTTTCTCCATCATGCGGCCGCCCCTCTACGGATACTTGGAGAACACCGCCAATGGTAACTGTGGGGAAAGGGGGGGGGTTGAGGAAGTTTATTAACCCTTCCCAACCAAGGTTGAGAGCCTTACTGCGTCGCCTCCGATCAGCACGTAAAAGGTTAAGCGTACATACACGCAGTGCTGGATTACTGGCAGCCGCGTTCTGAGCCACCACCGTCCCGGCCGTGACGAGAACGTGTCCATTCCCAAGATGTAGTTGTGAGCGCGACGCGGTGCTGTTGGTCGGCGCAGGTGACTTCATCCGCGGGAGCTTCTGCCAGCGAGAGCTGAGAGAGAAGCGCGTGATGTACATCGTCAACCCCTCGCTGGACGTCACGGAGGACAGCCTGGAGTTCCGCGTGTCCGACAGAGCCGGCAACACGGGGGAGACGCAGACGTACGTACGCGAGACGCACGCAGCACCCGCACGGACGGAGGGGCAGAGAGAGAGAGAGAGGCATGCATTCGGACAGAGGGCAGACAGACCACATAGAGAGTGAGAGACAGATGGAGAGTGTCGCTCCTGTGCCCCCCCCCCCCGCTCCCCCGACTTCACCTCTGCACCCGCCACCTCCCCGGGGTGCAGCCTGCAGCTGGAGTGGGCGCGTGTGCAGATGGCGGAGGTGTCGGTGCGCGTATGCGAGAACGTCGGCACGCTGGCGGTGAGGTTGCTGCGTAGTGGCTGTGCCCAGGACTCGGCGTTCGTCGGAATCAAGGCGAGTGCCACGCGCTTCCTTCTGTCCGTCCGTGTGTCCGTCCATTTGTTTTCTCCGACCTTTTCTTTACCCCATTTATCTCTGTGGAATCGCCGTCTGTTTGTCTAACCATTCGTGTATTTGTCCATCCATCCAGCCTTCCATTCATCTGTCCATCGAGTCCGTTCCCTTGTTCATTCCCTCGCCTGCTTGTCTGTATGTGTGTCCACCTATTAATGTGTCTACCTGTCTACACACTCATCCATTCATTTGGTTACTTTCCTGTACGTCCCATCCATTAATTTGTCCACTTGTCTGACCGCCTGTCTGTAAGCGCATCAACCACTTATCTCTTCTTCCGCAGCGCGTCGTCTCTCCCGACGCTTGACTCGGGGTCAGTTCCCTGAAGCTTCCACATGGTGGCTCACAGATCAGAGAGTTGCTTCGACGAGCAATTACCACCCTCAGGTGCACGACACAGCCATTCACTTGCATTGACCTCAGACGCGGCTCCGTGATATAGCATTGGGGAGACAAAGGTGGCCGGGCATGGTGCTGGACCACACATCCCCCTTCGTGTGCCGTGCCGGCCTTCACAAGTGCCACTCGCTAACAGCACTTGCCCCAACAGTCTGCTGAAGGCTGTACGGGGGATCACACCACCCTTCGTCTTCTCTCCCGCAGGTGCGAGGGTTATCAGCTGTTGTCGGCAAGGACTTCACGCACAGCTCGGCCTCTCCTCGTGCAGTTCGATCCAGGTGCGAGCGAGCGAGCGGTTTGGTGCGTAAGCGGCTGGCTCCGGAGTGCGGATCGGTGACATCCGATCGAATCGCGAGCACGATTGGCATTCGCCCAATTTCTTTTTTTTTCTTTCAACGTTTTGATTATTCGATTTCGGGAGGAGCCCGGTACAGAGCACGAACCACGGCGTGGGCGAGGGGATACAGAAACTCCTGTGGGCAGAAGTCTCGAACGGTGCGCTTCTGAGTTTGGAGAGGAGGAAGGGGGAGTTTGGGCTCGCTGCTGCTGCCCAGAGGTCGCAAATGGGTTTTGATTCTTTACCTGTACCCATACCCGGCCGCACCAGGGTCGCAAACGGGTACCCGTACCCGTACCCGGCCGTACCCGTACCCTACCCGTATCCGGCCGTACCCGTACCCTACCCGTACCCGGCTGGATACGGGTAGCCGGGTATCGGGTAGGGTACGGGTATCGGGTACCCGGTTGCGATCTCTGCTGCTGCCCCACCGAGCGGGGACCGCAAGTGTGGTGTTTGTACTTCTATGTGGGGATGGGGGGGGGGGGAAGAAGAACTTCAGTCAGGGAGCAGAGGGAGCTGGGGGGGGGGGGGACGTTCGCGCGGCTCTCGTAGCGCGAGGCCATCATGAAGGAAGTCGTCTCGTCGTTGGCAGGCGTAGCCCGCGGGAGTTCTGCAGCTCGGGGTCTGTGTCCCCCACGTGTCATGCTCCACACCGAGACTCAAACTCGGCCCCGTGACGTCGGCACAGGCGAGCGAACGCACAGTGTCACCGCCGTTTGTCGAGTGGCGTCACAGGATTATTGAGGTCCGCTGGTGCAGCAGGCGCCGCGTAGCTTATGATGAGCACAGACCCCCCTCATCTCAGTCAGTACAGTGTGCTTTGAGAGAACTAATTTGAAAGTCTCTTTTGTTATTTGTATCATCATCGACCCACAGCACCTGGGTCTGCCCCACGACCTCCTGCCAGCGAGCCTTCCACACCTTGTGTGATGGCCTCAAGGTGCACCTAGCCTGGCACAAGCACGTGGGAACACCACGGGGCGATGAACGGTGGCTGCTGTTGTAGATCGATGACTGCGTGTGCATTGTGTGTGGAGTATCATTGTATACAATTTATACTTAGCAACAGGTATACATTTTACACACCAGTTCATTTAAGGCTGAGTTGACCGAGGGGAGCCTCAGGATTTGGTTCAGATAATCACCACTGATATTAGCCATTGCTGGGAATCAAACTCAGGGTGCCAGGTGCGTAGGAATGTGCATATAGCCTGTTCTGTTTACGAGCACCTATGAAGGCCGACACGGCACACGAGGGGGTGGGTGGCCAGGACCACACCGCACCACCTTTGTCTGCCCAGTACTGATGTTTACTCACCTCACCAGCTGCTAATTTGAGGCTGAGCCGACCTAGGGGAAGCCCATAACCTGTTCAAATATTCGCCACTGTTATTGGTCGTGAGCAAGTATCAAATTCGGGTCACCGGATGCATAACACAGCAGCGCTAACCGCTTACACTGCCACTCCCCGCATCACACACACACACACGCGGGCACGCGTGCGAGCGTGCATCACGGTGATAACACGACGCCCCAACAGTGCCAACCGGGATAAAACCTTGGGACGTCTGGAGACACGGTGATGCTGTGCGGGTTTCCTGTGTTCCAGGAACACGCTCCCTGGGGAAAAAACATGGGTGGGCGGGAAAAAATACATTTTATGGATAAAAACATTGGTCTGGAGTGGCCGGGTGGATCCGAGGTCAGGGTGGCTGAGCCACCGCCGCTGAGAGCCTGGGTTCGAACCCAAGCGTTGGTCAGCTGCAAGTTAGCCAGGATGTAGGCTGGAGCGGTTTGTTGGTGCCTGGTCGGTTGTCAGCGTCTGCACGAACCAACTGTCGTATTGTGTTTGGTTATACTGGTAGGAACCTCCTGGTTACACCAGCCCACAGGGGATTATTGTGTCCGTTGTGCAGGGAGGGGCTGGGTGGGGAGGGAGGGGCTGGGTGGGGAGGGGAGGGTGGAGAGGGGCTGGGTGGGGAGGGTGGGGAGGGGTTGGGTGGGGAGGGTGGGGCTGGGTGGGGGGTGGGAGGGGTGGGGCTAGGTGGGGAAGGGCTGGTCACCCCGTGGTGCCCTTATAAAACTCAACGTTTAACCTACTCACGCCGGCTTGTGCCCGCCCTCACAGTCGGGCATATTTGCGGAACACACCACGCCGCCGTTGACCCTGGCCATTGACCGAGCAACCCAACGTTCCTACCAGCTCCCACCGCAGGAATGTGTTTCACTTAAAGTTTAACACGTAGCAGGGCTTTCGCGACCAATATTGTTCATAACGTATGTTTTTTTGGGGGGTTAGATCGCGTAAATATAAAAATGTGTCGCTAAACCCGCCACCACCCGACACAGCCAATTAGTAAGGTTTGTCACGTGAACAGCACATGCCAGTTAGTTATTAGTTCAGCCCACCGGTGTGTTGGAGAGTGAACCCACGAAATGTACAATTTGAGTGCTGTGACGCTTCGCTGGAGATCACAACGACCAGCTTCATCGAGTGATTTGAATTGTTCACTTAAGTTTGCAATTCCAGCTGCGGGAATTTTGTTTTTTAATTATTATTCACATCCGACGGACAATGTTTGCGGGCGGATCTTGTGGATAAAACGCGCGAGCGTGGATACGGAGAGGCCCTGGCGGAAGTGGGTTCGGAGGTGGGCCGGTGGCGGCACCGCCTTCCCGCAAGCTGTGTCCTCGCACGGGGTGGTGCAATGCTCGCTGCGAGCGTCCGCGATTGGGAAGCTCGTTCGTCTCGCCACATGACGCCGAGAGCGGCGCAATTTGAACATTGCCGGGGAAATAATAATAATAATAATAATAAATAAATTATCTTGTGATATAATGAATAATAGTCAATAATAATAAAAATATGAGAAACAAATATAAATTAATAATAACGGAAATCTTTGGAAATAAATATTCAAATGTATTATTAAATTATTATACGAATCGCGAAGAGTGAATTCTCGATTACCCTGGGATATGGCAGCAGGAGGGCGAGCGTGTGCGAGATATGAACCTGGGTGAAGTAACACGCGGCTTATTCAGGTACGCTGCAAGCGCATTTATTATTCGTATTTATTTGATCTTAATGTCATTTATAAGCGCCTTGGCCAAGACGCTTCACAGAGAATTAAGACCGGTCCAGCGTGTCAATGTGACGGTGGAGATGAGGTGAATAGAAAAGACAAGAGGGAGTAGTGAGGGCAAATCTGCGATGCGTGAATTAAGTAAAAGCGAAATTCACGACAGGAAAATATGATGAATTGATTTGATGGATGGGGAATTGGTAGCCATGGATAGAGATTGTGAGTGAGTGGTAGCCATGGAGACAGATTGTGAATGAGTGGTTGCCATGGAGACAGATTGTGAATGAGTGGTTGCCATGGAGACAGATTGTGAATGAGTGGTCGCCATGGAGAGAGATTGTGAATGAGTGGTCGCCATGGAGGTTGTGACTGAGTGGTCGCCATGGAGAGAAATTGTGAATGAGTGGTCGCCATGGAGAGAGATTGTGAATGAGTGGTTAGCCATGGAGATAGATTGTGAATGAGTGGTCACCATGGAGAGAGATTATGAATGAGTAGAAGCCATGGGGAGAGATTGTGAATGAGTGGTTGCCATGGAGACAGATTGTGAATGAGTGGTTGCCATGGAGACAGATTGTGAATGAGTGGTTGCCATGGAGATTGTGAATGAGTGGTTGCCATGGAGAGAGATTGTGAATGAGTGGTTGCCATGGAGAGAGATTGTGAATGAGTGGTTGCCATGGAGACAGATTGTGAATGATTGGTTGCCATGGAGACAGATTGTGAATGAGTGGTCGCCATGGAGAGAGATTGTGAATGAGTGGTCGCCATGGAGAGAGATTGTGAATGATTGGTTGCCTAGGAGACAGATTGTAAGTGAGTGGTTGCCATGGAGACAGATTGTGAGTGAGTGGTAGCCATGGAGAGAGATTACCAAGCGGGAGCCAGGAACGGTGGTGGTGGTGGTTATGAGGGGGAGATTAAGTGGTCGTGGGGTAAGCTAGTTAAAATAAAACACTTTCATGGGAGGAGCGGAGCGAGCGAGCGAAGGTGACTGCTTAATTGACCTGCGTGGAATCTGGGGTTGGTGGACGCGCCAAATGCGCCGTCCAGTTTCCATCGATCCTTGCCAACGTGTTTTGGCGCTCGTGTGGACACCCATGCCACTGACCCTCGATGAGGAGCAGCCAACCCGTTAAACCAGTGCACATGGTTAACCCACAAGCCAGGCGATGTATACAACTAAACTATTTTTATTGTACCAGGTAAGGCCCGCTTAGCCATATAGCTCTTTTTCAGAAGTGACCTGACCATGAATGATAGCTGCACGAAGTAGCTTTGTCGCGTACAAATTCATAGCAGCCAAATACTCTTAAATACATGTTGGAAAATCGGAGGACCCGGAGAAAAATCCACACGACCACGGGAAGAGAGAGACACGCAAACTCCAAATATACAGCAGCAGGCGTCAGGGTCAGAACCGAGCCCACGACCTCCTGCATACCAGGCGAGGCAGATGACATCTCGCCCTCAGTCTGCCCACGGGTAGCCGAGCGTGAGCTACGTCTTCAAATGGAGCAGACCGCACCCTCACCCCTATGTGCGTGACCCTCAACCGTCGCTGTCCCCACCCCCCGCCACCTTTGCCGTCTGTGCGTTGGGCAGGCGTCACTTCCAGGACGTGGAACGTGGCGATAAAGGACGACGGGCTGGAGGAGGCCACGGAGCGGCTGCGTGTTTATCTGCACGCGCCCGTCAACGCCGTGCTGGGCGCGCAGGACAGCACGCTCGTCGCGATAGCCGATGGGACGGCCGGTTCGTAAGGGCGAGCGGGGGGGGGGGTCACGGGGGAGGGAGGGGGGGCGAAGGGGAGGCCGTGCTGGTTTGAAGAGCCGAGAGCTCTGGCGCCGGCTCCAACTGTTGGCTGCTCCCGACTCGTCGAGGGTCGGCGACCCTCGCAGTTCTCCGCGTGACCTCGAACTCGTCGGCGGGTGTCAACCGATTACTTTAGGCAATGACATCGGATGACGCGTGCCGCGTCTTCACCCCCCCCCCACTCCCACCCCCCCCCCCCCAGTTCTGAGTGGGGTTAAACAATGAATCCGTCTTCATAGCCGCATTTCACCTGTTTTCCATAATCCGTGTTATTTTATTTTTAATCTGGGCCTGCCCCCTCCTGCCACCCCACCATCCTTCTACCGCCATTACCCCCGAGTAATCGCGAGTGGACGATGTTTGTGAACGCACCTCCTGATGCTGAGGGCGTTTAGGCTGTGCGCATGTCACGTGTGTCGGGCAAGATTATCCGCGTTCTAAGTTTTGCCCCGAATAACTGCGGGCCCGACCCCGCCCGTCGCCGGCCGACGGACCGCGTCTTGTGGCAGGCCGCTGCGACACATCGCACGGCGGGGATTTGGACGACGGCGGCGACGACGACGACGACGACGCTGCCGCTCCGCTCACGATCCGCATGGAGTCGCTGCAGCCCGGCTACGTGTCGGTGCGCGGTGACGTGCCGGACTTCCACGAGAAGCTGTCCGGTCGTGGCGCCGGCGGTGGAGGAGGAGGAGCTGGGGGAGGAGGAGCTGGGGGAGGATCGTGGCACGTGCCAGGCCAACTCGACGTGGCGGCCGGGAGACCGGTTGTTGCCGCACCCCGGCAGACGGCACGGCTGCGCGCCATCGGCTCGGGCAAAGTGGTGAGAGCGATGGGAATGAAGACGTGCTATGACGTGTACATATGTGCGTTTCTTTTTATTTAATTGTACTTATGTATTTTTATATGTAAGTTGGCACAGAAGGAGGCACAGGTGGTGGCATCGGTCATCTCAGTCAGTCAGCCCATGGCACTTGAGTCTGTCCCCTGACCTGCCAGCGAGCGTTTGACACATCACGTGGCCTTGAAGTGGCACATCGCCTGGCACAAGCACCGTGGTGACATCACCCACTACTTGGTGGCGAATGGCCGTTGTTGTATGTTTGTTGGATTTCTTTCACACCGTACGTAGCCAACCGTGCGGAGGGAAAGGACAACAATCTAAACACAAAAAGCAGCTCTATAGAAGTGAGTTGTCAATCTAGATAATGATTTAAAAGTGCACAGCTCCCAGCGGCTTCCTAATATCGGAAGGGAAGAGCATTCCAGACGGCCACAGCAGGCGCACCTGAAAGCGCGTGAAAGCATCGTAAGTCGCGTCGTTTGCGCAAATTTCACTGAAAACCGCTGTGCAGGAAACCGCGGGCAAGCGTTGAAGGCAACCAGAACTAGAGTAAGAAAAACTGATGACGTGCACGAACGTCATCGGAATGGGGAAGGCTTAATTGGCCGAAAACACCGTAATCTCTATATACAGAGGACTGCAGAGCTTGGGAAATTGTTGGCCGCCAGCTCACTGCGTGGCAGCTGCTGCCTTCTTCCCGCTCGTCTGTGATGCCTCCTCGTGCCTCTGAGTCGTCCCCTCCCTCCCTTCTTCGAGAGTGAGCGAACATGTTGCCATTATTATTCTGAAGTCAATTTGCGCTGTCTCGACAGGTGCCTCCGTCCTCCGTCATCAGGAACAAGACGGACGTCATGTGGACGGTAGGAACCCCCCTCCCCCCTCCCCTCAGAACTTCACTTCCATCCTCTGTAATTGAATTACCGGGAATGTGGCCGACCGTAGTAGACTTCAGAAGCTAAGCAAGAGTTGAGCCTGGAAAGTGTTTGGGTGACTAACCGTCATGCACGGCAGGCTGTTGTGTACAGATGCGGTGCAGCAAAGCCATTCGTTGTCCTGTGATTCTGTTCCCCCACGACTGTGGTCCTTGCCTTCGTCAATACCCACTGACCAGCACGGTGAAGTCTGGTCAAATAACCCCCACAATCTTCACGGTGGAGGAAGTCCCCCATCTGGAAGCGGATTGATGAAAGGAATTATACGTGCATACTTAGTCTGGGAATGCCATAAGCTCATGGTCATTCAGGCATCTAACAGCACCATTTGAGTATTTGTTATTGTGCTCCTAGCATTATCTCCGAGTCCTCCGGTTTTTCCCTCCACATTTAGAATCAACGTGCGTTTAGACTGTCTGGCTGCGATACGTTTCCACGTGGTAAGCCACTTGGTTGAGCTACCATTTGTGATAGCCAGGTCGCTTCTGAAGAAGAGCTACGTAGCTTAGTGGGCCTTACCTGCTAAAATAAAAATAAAACTGTTTAGTTTTAGGTCAGTTGAAGCTGTGGGCTGCCGATATTTTGAACCCATTTACCACGTAGAGATTGTCATAGCAATATCCCTTTATATTTACATGTACATAAAATGGTTGACGAAATGGCAGCCTAATGCTTAAATCTGTAGGGTTGACGAGGGTTGGCACCTGTGCTGGTTTTCCCAGGATTGTCCTCTTGACAAGGTAGCCATTCTGGCCCATGACCACACGGGGCCTACCACGTGGTTTAATTTCCATCTGTACGGGTGCGGATTGAGTGTATAGGCAGTCCTGTAGCAGAATTCATTGATGGAGTTTGCCAAACATCCCAATATAGGACCACAGAGCTTGGGCAATCATTGGCTCCAGTTGTGGTTGCCTTCAACGCTTGGCTGCGCTTTCCTGCACAGGCCTGTGGAGTTTCAAACTCCACAGCGGTCTGCTGTTAAATTTGCGCAAACGACGCAACGTACGATGCTTTCACGCGCTTTCAGGTGCGCTTGCTGTGGCTATCTGGAATGCTCTCCCTTCTGATATTAGGAAGCCGTTGGGAGCTATGCACTTTTAGATCATCTAGATTGAAAAAATTCCTGTTTTTTGTGAGTTGTGTGGTAATAAAAACATTCACGCATCACGCAAGACAATGCATTTACACGTCGTTCTCCCCTCTTTCCGATATTGCTAGACATCTGTTTTTCACAAGATATTTTGGCGGTTTCTGTATCACAAGACGTGGCCCCCAACTCCCCCCGCCATGGGAAAGAGCGACGCACGAAGCGCGCGGTCGCCGTGCCTCGGTGCGATCGTCAGGGCTTGTGTCGCACGTCGGGGCTTGTGTCGCTCGTTCCGCGAGGGATTTGTGCCGTGAATTCTCCCGGCAGTACCACGGCCTCGTGCCGCTACGTCTGGAGAAGGAAGCGGTTGGCGGCGCGGCGCTATCGCAGGCGAGCGTGTCGGTGCGGGCCCGCCAGGCTCCCGAGAGCCTCCCTTTCTCGCCCGCTGCCTACCCGCCACAAGAGCCGCCTGTTCAGGCAGACAAACCAGCACCGGCCCCAGGCCCGCAAGACTCCCAGCAACAGGTTAGGCCTCGGTACTCGACTGAGTTGTGACATTTTCACCGCAACTGTATTTCCTTCATCATCATTATCATCATTAAATTTCGATTTAAAGCTTTCGTGACTGCAGGGATTCATCTTCTTGGTTCTTTCGGTAAAGTCACGTAGAATGGAAATAATAAAATAATAAAAATAAAACAATTAATTAATTCTCACGACCTTTCGGCCACAACGCAAGCAGACCTGTTCTTCACCTGAGGACGGCTGCTTGCGTTGTGGCCGAAACGTCGTGAGAATTATTTTATTATGTTTTATTTTTATTATTTTATTATTTCCATTCTACTTGACTTTACCGAAAGAACCAAGAAGATCATCATCATTGTCGTCGGCTACTGTCAATCCACTGCTAAAGGCCTTCCCATGCCATCACCATCCCTCATGGTTCAATGCTGCCACTAGCCATCTCACCGCAGCACACAAACTGATCTCATCGCTTCATTTATCCGCGGCGGTCATCCTCTTTGGCGCATTCTCTCCTTTGACCGCCGTTCTGTCACCAGTCTTGTCCGTGGACTCTCACCCTGTCTTGTGGTGTCCTTCCCAAGCCCATTTACTTTGTGTCATTGTCGATGTGATGCCTCTGGCTTGTATTTGTTTCTTCCCCCTGTGTCCATTGTTTTGTCTCTTGGCGCCATTCCAAGCATGCGTCTCTCCATGCGTTCCTGCACTATGAAGTTATTGATCCATTTTCTTGGTCACTGTTCATGTTTAAGATCCATGTTATTGTAGGCTGGATACACTGATGAAAACTTTATTCCTTAGACACACAGGTATACTCATTTCCATTATTGTGGTTAACCTATTTTCATTCTCCTCTTCTCATCTTGTGGCTTATCAGACTATATTAGCCAAAAGTTTTGCTGGCTGGCTGGCTGGCGAGGGGCTTGCGGGCAAGTGCGCGGTGTTGACGTCACATCTCCATGATGACGTCACTGCTAACTTGTCCCCACCTGCCTGAGCGCCAGCAAAACTTGTTTCTGTCCGAATATAGTATGACGTCACCTGCATCACGCTGACATCACGCATCCCTCCACCCTCACCATGGATCCCGCACAACTGCATGGCCAGTGGGGGTGGTGATTTAAAAATAAAATAAGCTGCGATTGACCTGCAAGAGTTTTCCTTTCTGCTCTCTAGGTGTTCGCTGAATCCACCTTTCCCAAGCATTGTACCCCGGAACTGAAAGATCTCATGCACTTTGACGCGAACAGCAATCGGCTGTTCAAGTGCGATGGGATTACGTGGCGTGCCTGGGACCCCAAGCACACGGTAAAGCGGGCACACACACACGCACACGCATCTTTTAAACGTTCTCACAATAAGCTCATTATTCAATAATTATATTGTCAATAGATGTATCATTTTGCCGAATAATAGTGCGTGTCCATGATGAACTGCTAAAGGATTTTGTTTTGCTTGTTAACATTTCTGAGACATTGTCGTATCTAATTCTAAATTGATTTTCGTGTTAGGCCACGTGACGATGTGGCCAAATTTGTGCCGTCACAGATAACGTCGACGCAGCGAACCGTATGACATTGCCACGTGGTGTACAATGTATGCACGTGTGCACGTTGAACTTCTTTCGCACCGTACATAGCCAACCGTGCTAGTCGGAGGTGCGCACGAGTGTTTATCGCACCGATAACACCAATGGTTCAGCTCACCCCGTAAATGAAAGGACAATTCACGCCGAGAAATGTAGCGGTTTCGGTACGCAACCCTCCGCTTGAAAACTGCGCCTAGCATCTTGAGGACAAAATTCGGGATGGAATTCGGAAAATTCCAGCAGAATGACATTCCCTGGAAGAATGACATTCCAGGAAGACGTGGATTTTACTCTGACTTCATTGGATTTTGTCCTTAAGGTGTTTGGCGCAGTTTCAAGTGAAGCATTGTACAGGGATTCCTCTGCTTACGAACGAGTTAGGTTCCAGAGGCCTGTTTGTAAATCGATTTGTCCATAAGTTCAACTTTTCTCCTGTCGATTCCAAACATGTTGTTCGGCATGTACACTAAACACGGGGAATGGTTTTAAAAGTTGTATAATCTCCTGCAGATGCAGATGCCACTGGTTCTTCACGATTTGCAGATGTAGCGGCCCCCACCGCAGTGGTTAAACTTACGGTTCTCGGTCCGAACAGGCAACTGGACATACAGACGGGCTTGTTCGTATCTCTGAAAGTTTGTAAGTCGAATGTTCGTAAGTAGAGGAGTCCCTGTATTCGATTGCTGCCAAATCTGTATCGTTGTTGCTTCAACTCGCCAGCGAACTGAAGCAATCATTTTTGGTTGCATTAGAAGCTTGTGAATGTGATGGTTAAATTATTTTGGCCATGACGGGTGGTGGAGAGTCTTACGACACAAATCTGGCCAGATCATTATGTGTCTTAACTCAAAAATGAATTACGAATTGTGGTATCGCTAAATCTGCACGTGTGTGTTGATGTGTTTGTGACGATACCTCTTTGTGTGTTAAAATTACAGTTTGACTATGTAGGGAGCGTTATCGCAGTGGTTAGCGCACTGCACAATGAGCCCGGTGACCTGAGTCCGATTCCCGCTCATGGCCAACATCAATGTCGAAAATGATGACCAGTCCTGGGTCTCCACTATTTCGACTCGGCCTAAACATCCGCACTGGGGAGACAAAGGCAGCAGGGCGTGGAACTGCCCACGCCACGCCTTTGTGCACGGTGCCGGACTTTAATAGGGGCTCACTACGGCACTCGCCCCAACAGTCTGTATGGCTGTAGGGAGATCTTTGCGAATGACCGTGTTGTGTGTGTGTGCGTGCATGATATGTGCGCAAAGACAACAGGAGTGACGAATATCTGAACCGGTTCTGAGCCTCCCCTAGGTCGACTCGGCCTCAAATGGCTACCCGTTGCGGTGTGTAAACATCGCCACTGGGGTGACGAAGGCAGCCAGACGTGGTGCTGGCCACCCACCCCCTCGTGTGCCGCTCCGGCCTTCATAGGTTCTACTCGCGAACAGCACTTGCCCCAGCAGTCTGTAAAGGCTACACGGGGAATCTTTGTCTTTCTTGTGATGACTCCTCTGTCTCTCTCTCCCTCTGGGCAAGGAGGCGGTGGGGCGGCGGTGCCCGTCGGCGTGGACGCTCCACGGGGGACGCTGCTTCCTGCTCGTGGCCTCCGTGTCCGCCAACTGGGCCGAGGCCGAGCGGAGCTGCCGGCAGATGTGAGAGCAGACGCAGCGCACGCACGCACTTACGCTCACACACGCACGCACACACACACTCACGCAGTCGCGCACACACTCACGCACTCACTCACGCAGTCGCGCACACACTCACACACACTCACACACGCATGCACGCACACACTCACGCACACTCACACACACACTCACACACACGCACTCACGCACGCACTCACTCACTCACGCATTCGCGCACACACTCACGCACACACTCACGCATACACACACGCACGCACTCACGCACGCATGCACACACGCACACACTCACACACACACTCACGCACTCACGCACACACTCACACACATGCACGCACGCACACTGATACTCACAACAACAACAACGGCCATTCGCCACTAATTGGCGGTGATGTCACCACGACGCTTGTGCCAGACTATGTGCACGTTGAGGCCACGTGAAGTGTCGAACGCCCGCTGGCAGGAGGTCACGGGGCAGACCCAGGTGTCATGTGTCGAATGACTGACACACACACACACGCATTCACATGCACGCACATACACACACGCACATATGCTCTCACTCACGCACACACGCGCACATGCTTTCACACACACGCACTCACGCACACACACACAAACATCCCCTGTAGAGCCTTAACAGACTGTTGGGGCAAGTGCTGTTCGCCTTCATAGTAGCACCTGTGAAGGCCGACACGGCACACTAGGGGGTGGGTGGCCAGCACCGCGCCCGGCCGCCTTTGTCTCTCTTGTCGCGATGATGACACACCACAGCATGTACTCATTTGAGGCTGAGCACACTCATCACACGGCAGCAATTGCCTTGTCAGCGCTCAATTCCGCGATGTCAAACTCCACCACTGGGGGGCAGCTCAACACCGGGTCAAGTACACGTGGTCAATGTCAGTGTGCTGAGGAAATGATCACGGTGATAATCTGCAGCCACGCGGCAATCCACTGCTAGATGAAGGCCGGCCCGTCCCTATGCCGTGCGTCGACAAGCGGGGTTGTTTGACCATACTTCACCACGCTGGTCGGCGCGGGTTTGGCGAAGTGGGGGAACCCCGGACACGTTAGGATTTCACTCACCCGCCGATGTCGGGTGGACGGGTTCGTAGCGCAGGGTGGTTGACAATTCCTACGCGAGTGTGTTCCGACAATCCCCACGACCGACATGTGGAGAAGTTCATCCCAGCAGTGGATTGTAATCTTTGCGAGCACAAGCGCCGGCTCACACATCTCTCGCCAACTGATGTTGGCCGTGGCTGGGAGTCGAACTCTCGAAAGTCGATTTCAATCGCAATCTTGAACTCGATCACGTAAACTACATGCAGCATGTCACGACATTTCTCAGATGGCTCCGCATTCGTTGTATGTACGTATGTATGTTGAACTTCTTTTGCAGCGTACATAGCCGACCGTGCTAATTGTTCACCTTTAGTGGGGCAATCTGGGAAGAGTTCTGCAGACAAAGATAACAACATTGTGTTGGTGAGGAAGGTACAAGTGCAGCCCTGCATCTGCTCGCTCAGGGCCACTGCTGACAGAAGAGAGCTCTACTTCCTACATTCGGCCTTGCGGACCACCGGTTGGCAACCACCAATTATTTGGCCTATAATTGCGGGGAATTTTGTCTCATTTTAATAACTGGGACGTGATATTTTCCGCACCTCTGATTCGCACGTTTGGCTACGTACGGCGCGAAAGAAAGTTCAACTACTCTTCCACAGCGACCAGACTTCTCGCAGGATACTTGCGTACGTGGGCATGCGGACGATCCCCTCCGTTGACGTAGATATAACGAGCGCGGCGCAACAACGCTCGCGTGTCGCAGAGCGAGACAGAGAGAGAGATTCCCCCGGCGTGTGTCGTGCGTTCAGGAGGCGCGGCGCGGCTGGTTGTTCGTCCGCGAGGCGAGGGCTTATTTTTGTAAGTTTTGCAAGCCGACCGTTTTGCTGTCCGCTGTTCCCCACAGTCACGACGGCTCCCTGGTGAGCGTGCGGTCCCGGGAGGAGATGTCCTGGCTCTGGGACTTTGGCAGCCGCCAGCCATTCTGGATCGGTACGACACCGCGCGCGGGCCTTCGGTGGTTTTTACTCCAGAGTGCACTGCTCGTCCAGGGGTCGGCAACCTGCGGCTCAGGAGCGGCATGCGGCTTTTTGGCGTCCCCCTTGTGGCTCTTTGGCTGCCCCTGTTGCGGGTAGCCGTTTTAAAAAAACTAAAACTTGCATATTCTTGGTTCTTTCGGTAAAGTCACGTAGAAGAGAGATAATAAAGTAATATAAATATAAAACAATAAAAATTCTCACGACGTTTTGACTGCAACACAAGCAATCATCATCAGGTGTGAAATCCAGTGTTGCAGTCGAAACGTCGTGAGAATTTTTATTGTTTATATTCATATTATTTTATTATCTCCCTTCTACATGACTTTACCGAAAGAACCAAGAATATGAATCCCTGCAGTCACGAAAGCTTTAAATTAAAACTTAAATCTTCAGCATAATTTAACGTAAAGATTATTGATTAAAAATGGCAGGGAATGGGTCACTATGGAATGTCCTGGTGACAACAGAATGTACAACAGTCAAACGTGTATTATCTGCTGTATACCTGCTTCTGTGTTTGTCTACAAGTAGCTCTGCGTGAGTGATGTGGCTATCGAAACTATTTTGGGCAAAGGCCAAAAAAATTGTCTCTTCTTCTTTGAAAGGTTGCCGACCCCTGAGCTAGTCCAATGCAGAATAATACCACTAAATAGATTTAGATTTAATATTTAATTTATTTCAGCAGGAAGGTGCCCAATAAGCTGTTAGGCTCTATTTTTTCACGTGTGTCCTGCGACTGTTCTGTATGTTGTACCGCGTGTTGTACGCTACAGGGCTTGGTCGTGATTGTGGTTACGTCGGTCGCGATGCAAACGGCCAGCATCGGTACAGTACTCTGCAATGTTACGGGAATAGGGAACCGGTCAGAAACGTAAAACTAATAATGCAAAGCGTCACGAATACTCTTTTACGAACAAGAAATGTAAAGGAAGGAAAATTAAATGTAATTTAACAAAGCAAACGCAATAATAATAATAATGCTACAACAATAATAACGCAATCTGTTATGCACGCAGTATTTCACGGACATAAATGACAGTGACGGAGGCGCGGGGGGGGGGCAATCTCAGCGTCGCTCAAAAGCCAGGCGAGGGAGGAGGTGTGCGGGGCCTTGAAGCGCCCCCTTAGAGGTCCTCGTGATGTTGAGCGCCACTGCAAATGTGCGGCAGTGGGCTAAGGCGTTCCAGACGGCGGGGAGCTGCCACGGAGAGAGCGAAGCTCGCCGGGCAGGGTGGCGGCGTGGTGGTAAACGCCGCGGTGCTTCACGGCAAGAAGGGCCCGGGTTTGATTCCAAACTCGGGTGCATCCCCGTGTGAAGTGTGTAGACTCCTACTCTTGTTCTGCATGGGTTTCCGTTTCCTTCCATAGCTAACACTATAAAACTAAACTAGTTTTTATTTTACGAGGGAAGGCACACTGAGCTACGTAGCTCTAGAAGCCACCTGGCCACAATGATAGCTCAACGAAGCGGCTTATCACATCGAAATCTAGAGCAGCCAAATACTCTTAAATGCATGTTTCGAAATTTAGAGGAAAAACCGGTGGACCCGGAGAAAAATCCACGTGACCACGGGGAGAACAAAGTGGTATTGGCTCATCCAGGTTTCCTTTTGCCCCGTGGTGTTCATCTCAGGGCAATTTTTGGAATACGGTCCTGGTCCATTCTGAGAACGTGTCCCAGCCAGCCGAGTGTCCGTCTCTCGGTGTCTTGTGTGCGACACTAGGACAAGCGGTCTTCTCGTGCAGTTCGGTGCCGTGGGTTTTGTTTGGCCGGAAGAATGCTGCAGCAGATTCTCCTGTGGAGGCATCTGTTATGGGAGGACCCCATCCTCTCCGTGCCAACTCTCTGAGCCACACAACGGCACCGATTTGACGTTGCTGTTTTCCAGCTGGATATTCAACTTATATATATATTTTTAAAATATTAAGTATTTTTAAAGGGTACATTTCTAAACCGTGCTGTGCACAGGCCTGAGCGACCGGCAGGAGGAGGGCAGCTGGCAGTGGAGCAACGGCGACCCGGTCACCTTCACCAACTGGCGAGGGGGCGGCCGCTCCGAACGCGACGCGGCCCCACGCGGGGGCGGCGGCGGCGGGCGGCGTCGGAGGCCCCGCGGGGGGGCCCACGGCGGCTGCGTCCTGGCCCAGCAGAGGGGGAAGTGGGCCAGGCGGGGGTGCAGGGGGGGCGCGTCGCTCCCCTACGTGTGCGTGCGAGAATGATGCCCTCCCCTTCCCGACGGAAGGCAAGGCAAGGTTGGGCCTTGGGGGGGAGGCTAGAAGGGGCGGCCACAACGTGAAGTTTCTCTTCCAAGCAGGAATCTCGACCACGGAACTCCACCGGCATCAACTCTCCGCCGTCGCCGCGCGTTGCCGTTCGGCGCGATGCCCGCGACGTTTCGCTCCACGTGTGTGCCCCACGCGCTCGATCACCGATCGAATCGAAGCTCCCCAACGCGTGGTTACAGCAAGTGTGGACTAATCGCCATCTGTCTCCATCTGTACGAGGCTTGAGCGTTGTTGTCCCCCACGCTCGCTCGGGTGCTCCGGTTTCCTCCCCACGTGACTAAACAATAAACACAACTCATCACAGATTGGCTGAAAGCATCTTTTCGAATACAAATCTAGTGTAGCAGCAGCGGCAGCACCCTCCTGATGAAGAGTCCTGTGACTCAGCGTGACTCTCCTGGATTATTAAGCAAGATGGAGTATGACTATACTTTACCACGCTGGTCAGTGCGGGTTGGTGAAGGTGGAAGAGTTGGGGGGGGGGGAGTTGGATTGGTGGTATTCCCAGGACCGGTTCCGATGTCACTCGATGTTAGCGGTAGACGAGAATCGTGCGCCAATCGCTGCACCACCACTCCCCGCTGCGATTAACTCCTTCCAATTCCGATGACGTACGTGTACGTCGTCAGTTTTTCGCGTGTGCCATCGGAACGGAATCGGAAGTAGAAGGCCACGCGGCAGGGCGAGTGGCACAGTTTGGCGCCAGCTGTCGTAGAGCGGCGGCGGTCGTGTCGTCACGGTTCTCCGCGGCGAGTAACGACGTCTTTAAAAACAGCGGCGCTACGACGCCTCCCCAAATCAAATTAACGCTGAGCCTCTTGCGCGTTCTGAGATTCAGCGGTGAACGGGACCCCCCCCCAACCGCCCGGTCCCCGCCCTGCAACTTGTAGACGTCTCGGAGCGGGGTTCTCGCGCGAGACGTGTCGATGGGAAAGTGTTCGGAGCGCCGTTCGAAACGGCAGCAAAAACACCACCGCACGTCCCGTAAGAAGAGATCATTCGTTTGGATCATGTTCTTGCCTCGAAGCTCGGACCGAACCGTGCTCTGCTCGCTCCCGTCGTCGTAAACTCCTTCCATAGCCTAACCTAGTGTGGTGTTGCGCACGCGTTTTGTAACGAAACGAGAGTTATATTTTTTAAAAAGCAGTATTTGTTGCCAGTGTATATTCACGGGACGTGTTTCTCGACGAATGCTTGCGGTTACAGGTACGTCTGCGTTCCCACCGCATTGTGTAATAAATCGACTCCAACTTATGCCGAGTCGTGTACGGTATTCACGTCTACGACATTGTAATCGTTTACAGCCCTTCGTCGATACACTGCCGGACGAGGGCTCTGAAGACACCACGACGGTCAAGGGTTGTTTAACCATACTTCACCACCCTCATCGGTGCGGGTCGGTGACGCGGGTCACCGTGCTCGGCTGTGAGCCGTGCTCCGGAATTCAAACTCGAGTCACTGGGTTCAAAGCTTCATATGTTCCTGTGCACGCGTGATAGTTAAAGTGTCATTTGTTGGCCGGTAATAATGTGATACATAGAGGACTGCAGAGCTTGGGAGGAAGGAATTCGGCGCCTTCCTGCTGCCGTTGCCTCTCCGATTGTCTGGGGTTTTACGCGGCCTCTGCGAAAACCGCGCAAATGACAAACTCCGCGGAGTTGTGACGGCATTGTCACCCGATGGGGCGATGCGACGGACACACCACATCAGCTGCTCGTTCAAGGCCAAGTCGACAAAGCGAAGACCATAACTGGTTCAGACATCGCTCCCCACCGGAGTGTGTATGTCATGCACGTTCAACTTCTTTCGCACCGTGCGTAGCCAACCGTGCTAATCGGAGGTGCGGGGGCAGCACGACAAACGAAGCGCAAAAAGCAGTTCTAAAGAAATGAGTTTTCAATCTAGATGATGATGATTTAAAAGTGCATCGCTCCAGTGGCCTCCTAATATCGGCAGGAAGAGCGTTACAGACGGCCGCAGAAGCGCAGCTGAAAGGGCGATGCGGTGACCACCGTTTCTGTTCGATGGCTACCCAACATCCGCACCGATGTTAGAGGTGGCCCTGAGTCGAACTCGGGTCGTCAGGTTCGTAGTGTGGTGCTGATCACCACTGCTCCACCTTTCCCACAGCTTTGTATTGTATCGTAGCGTATCATCATGATCATCAGTCATTATCTGTCCACTAAGGACTTTTTTAAGACATAGCCATCTCTCACGGTTTTTTTTGCGATGCAACAATCCACATGCAAAGAGCCGCAGCTCTTGTGCCAGGCTAGGTGCACTTTGAGGCCATCACGTGAAGTGTTGATGGCTCGCCGGCTGGCAGGAGGTCACGGGACAGACCCAGGTGTTGTGGGTTTAACCGACTGAGATGACTGACGAACGGGCACCACCTGTGCTCCCCCACTCTTGCCAGCACACGCATCCACAAAGACACACGTGCACACACACACACATACAATTACAAAGACACAGATTAATGGTTCTGTCTCAAAACTCATTGGGCCAAACCAAGTATTCCCGAGTGCCAATAGTAGCTTGTGGCCAATGCAGTTAAGAGCAATATGTCAACAAAACCGGCGTCTTTCGCATGCAAATGCCTGTAATTCATCACGTCATTAATTACATTTGGCAAGACCTGGGCGGCTTTGGCAGAGCGTGGGATAAAAAAAAAATCTGGTTTTAGTCGGCAGCGCCAGTGAGTACAGCCTTGTCCGAGTTATAGTCCAACACCCGCACGACCCCCATTCTCTCGCTCGTGTTTGTGTGCACACGTGTTGTTGTCAATCCACTGCGAGATTGGTGGTTCGTTGGTGGGGGTTGGGGTAGGTACGCGTGAACGGACTTCGCCGCGCTGGGCAGTGTGCATCGGTGAATGCGAGGAGCATAGGAATACGGTACAACGATGGATGTGGGTGCATTTGCGCTCCGCTGCCCACTGCTTTGCCCCCATAGCAGCTTGTAATGAACTCCACCATCACCACCACCACCATCACCACCACCACCATCACCACCACCACCATCACCACCACCATCACCACCACCACCATCACCACCACCATCACCACCACCATCACCATCCACCATCACCATCACCACCACCATCACCATCACCACCACCATCACCACCACCATCACCACCACCATCATCAACCCCCAGCACAATCTTATCTTGGACATCGGCCACTAAATGGCCCAAGTGGCCGTCTTCCCACGTTCCCTCTTCTTCGTGGTGTGGGAACGTCGATTTGCATGACAAACCACAGGCAGGGCGACAAACCCCGTAGCCTCCCGCACCCCTCCTCCTCCTCCTCCCTCGCCCGCCCGCCCCCAGATTCACAGGCGCCGGGCAGTGTCGCTGTGTATTGAAGTTGCGAGCGATCGTAACGAGAGAGAGAGAGAAAGAACCACCTGGCGAATCGACGATTTGGTTTTGCGAGTTCCCAAATTGAAACTGCGTGTTCACAGCGATAACGTAGGTGGGGGTGGGAGGTTGGTGCGTGTGTTGTTGTTGTTGTTATTTACTTGTTACTCTTTCCATTCCTTGACGGTTTGACAGCGATTGACGATGCGGCGAGACCCCCCCCCCCCCCCCCGTGGTGAGAGCCAGCGGACTCGACCCACAACAGGAACGGGCGCACGAGTTTCGATCCTGCATGGATGCGGCGGGTTCAATACTCGTGATGGCGTCAATGTACAAAGCGCCCTGAAACAATCGTTCTCGGGGTTTGGCTCAACCCCATCATCATCGTCATCATCCCTCTGCGGCCGCTGCTTTACGGAGAGTTCAACAGCGTGTACGTATGTGTGTTGAACTTTCTTTCGCACCGTACGTAGCCAACCGCGCTCATGGGGGGTGCGGGGGAAGGACAACAAACTAAACAGAGAAAGCTGTTCTAAAGAAATTAGTTTTCATTCTAGATTTGTTTTCTTTAATATATGTGTGTCAAGCGGCCAGCTACAAACAGCACCGTCACAGTGGTAATATATAGAAGTGTAACACGTGTCTTGAATCGAACAATGTTATATGAATAAGAAGAGCTTGGGGAACACGGTTCTAAATAATTGAGTTGTCGATCTCGATGATGCATGGCTCCAGTGGCTTCCTAATCTCGGAAGGGAAGAGCGTTCCAGACGGCGCGTCTGGAAGCGCCACGCGGTGCGGTGACCACCGTCTTGGTTCGATGGCCAGCAGCCAGAAGCCGCTGCTGCCGCTGCTGCGGCGAGGATGGTCGGAGTTGGCGTGACGATGATCGTCGGATGCGGACTCGCATGCCCCCCGCCATAGAAATGTGGAATGTCCACCGCCGGCCCAGAGAGCTGTGATCTGGCGATGATGAGCGCAGCCGCAAATGCGACTCGATGTGACTCGGGTTCGCGTCAGCTGCGTTCCGACATTCGCCCGGAACGAGTTGGGCCCCGCTGTAAATCCTCGCCAGTGCCCTACCTTATACTGGTAGGAACCCACTGGTTCCACCAGCCCACAGGGGATTATTGTGTCCGTCCGTCGTGCAGGGAGGGGCTGGGTGGGGAGGGGCTGGGTGGGGAGGGTGGGGAGGGGCTGGGTGAGGAGGGTGGAGAGGGACTGGGTGGGGAGGGTGAGGAGGGGCTGGGTGGGGCTGGGTGGGGAGGGGCTGCTCACCCCGTAGTGCCCTTATAAAACTCAACGTTTAACCTACTCACGACGGCTTGTGCCCGCCCTCACAGTCGGGCATATTTGAGGAATACACCACGCCGCCGTTGACCCTGGCCATTGACCGAGCAACACAACGTTCCTACCAGCTCCCTCCGCAGGAATGTGTTTACAGATCAATTCAGAACTTATTGGTCACCCCCATGCCTTTATAAATCTCAACGTCCATCCGGCAAAGTCTCATCACGAGGGTGAAACACAAATTAATCGACACATTTTCATTGGCCCGTATTGAAACGGCTGTACGTCGTATGGACCTGAAAACTCAATTTCCCCTATACAAGAATACGGGCTGCTAAACGGAATAGATTGACAGCTATCTAAGGGTGACTCTGAATCAGAATATTTAGTTTATGGCGGAGCAATCCGATGAGCTGCAAAGCTGTTTTTTTCCCGCAGATGTCCAGTTAGCTACTCAAATGTGAACGAACCTGCAGCACACAGTTGTGTTTGCGGTGACGGCACTTTTATCTGACGGATTATTATTACCCGGGCCTCGCCCATCAAGTCAGGGAGACGCAACCCAGAACAGCACGAACGAATACATTCCTGCGCTCCTCGTTAGCCCGGTTGGCTACGTACGGTGCGAAAGAAATTCTACGTAGGTACGTGTGCAGTATATGCAAATACGAAAACGCCTGTTGCCCTCGCAGCTGCGGGTCGGCTTCCGTCCAGTAAATTAGCAACGATACAAACTCAACACAATCGTCAGTGCCACTGCGTGTGTGGCCCTAACAGAGAGGGGAAAAAACATTTAATAGGTGACGTTTCAGGCAATGGCCCCTTTTCATCATAACACAAGACTGATCATTTAAATGAGTACTTCCGAAGAGAAACGTGTCACGTAATCCATGCGTATGCTTGCTTTCCCCTAACTTGTTTAAATTCACTCGTGTGGGAGGGCGACGTGGTTTAATTCCAGCCGGATTCGGCCCGGTCGGCGATCTGGAAAATAATTCTACACCCGGCACACCACATCAAGTAAACATAAGCATTTGCTACGGATACTCCGGGCGCCACGGTGGCTAGGAGATGTTAACTACCTCGCCCGGTGTGCAGGAGTGCGTGGGTTCGATCCCGACCCTGACGCCTGCTGCATATTTGAAGTTTGCGTGTCTCTCTCTCTTTCTCCCCGTGGTCACCGTGGAATTTTTCTACGGGTCCTCCGGTTATTTCCCTCCACATTGAGAATCAACATCACCACGCGTTTAGAGTATTTTGCTGCTATAAATGTCCACGTGATAAGCCACTTCGCTGAGTTATCATTTGTGGCCAGGTAGCTTCCGGAGAAGAGCTGTAGAGCTCAATGGGGCATACCTGGGGGGGGGGGGGGGAAATAGTTAATAGTACTACTACAGAGGCACTTGCCAAGATTTGTCTTTGATATCCATTCCCTGTTGCGGTGTATAGCAAACATCGCCACTCGGGAGACAAATGCGGACCGGGCGTGGTGCTGGCCACCCACCCCCTCGCTCGCGTGTCGTTCCTGCCTTCACAGGTGCTCGCTAACAGCACTTGACCCAACAGTCTGTGAAACGGCTATACGGGGGATCTTTGTCTT